CCCCACAATTCCATGGTATCACCAGATTGCCAATCCCCACCACCAGAAAACCCCTCAAAAGTGATGTTGGTTGAGTAGACACATTCCGAATCTCCTGAAACTTGGTCCAGTCCAGTGATTCCTCTTCATCACCACTGCTCCCAGACCCATCATTTCCAGAAAAGCCCATGAAATCCTCTTCCTCCGTGGGAGCAGTAAGTATGTCCCGGATCTTCTTTCTCTGGCGCTCCTCGTCTGACTCCTGCTCTCGAGTAACCCTCTTAGTTCCCATATTCCCATCTGTATCTCCTTCCTCCTCCTCACTCATTTCACTCTCGGAGAAACCCTCAAAGGATTCTTCATCAGTGGGTGATATAAGTATCTCCTGGATTCTCTTCTTTTGCTGCTCATCTAACACCTGAGCACCTCGTTTCCCTCCTCTACCACTCCTACTACCAGTTGTAGCGTTGCCAACAGACTCTACTACAACACCATGGAATGACTCTCAACTTATTCACAGGCCTTATCAAAATCCGTATATTGGCCCCACAACCAAGCATCGACTTATATGTGAGATCGACTAATACACGAGTATATTCACAACCATCCTTAAGAGAAAAGCAGTGGTAAACGCACACTGGCCATAAACCTTCATACCATTGGGCAAGGTGACTGGTTTGTCAGGCTGTTGAGAAGATGAAGGGTAGGCAGTTAGGGAAGGAGTCCAGAATCAACAGCAAAACTTGCCTCTGTGGCCTATTTGGTCCAGAGAGGCCAGAATTTCATCTCCTTCTTCTAGGCTAATTGTGCATACAAAATTTCAATATTATGACACTTTTCTTCTCTATAGAGGAACACCTTGCTGCCTTTGTTGTCTAGAGACCGGCCCTTAAACAAGTTAGTATAGATTTCGGATGGTTGGAGACACACGGGTCAAGGGAAAGGAATGAAACACACAGGAGCACCAGGGATTTTTGTTTCTATCGAGTGCATTACAGCCGACAAAAAAATCTATTTCTGACGGCCAGCTCGTTTTCCTGTGCTTTTCTCACGGGCCTCTGCTTGGTCAACCTGAGTCAAATTCTTCATCTCTTCTTGTCCCATCGGAGAGAAAAAGTAAATCAATGAAGCACAAAATAATGGGACGAAGGAGCACAGGTCGGGTTTGGCTATCAATGCGCTCACACAAACTCAAATGAAATCATCATGGAAAACATGGTATCACTATTTTATGATCTAAGACTGCGTTTTTCAACCTGATGGTTGGGACCCCCTGGGGGGGGGAGGTCGTGAAGGGGGTATCAGAGGGGTCACTGAAGTCCATCAAAAAACACAGCATTTTCTGTTGGTCATGGGGTTTCTGCGTGGGAAATTTGGCCCAATTCTATTCAGAATGGTCTTTGATTGTAGGTGAACTATAAATCCCGGCAACTACAACTCCCAAATTTCAAGGTTTATTTTCTCCAAACTCCACTAGTCTTCACATATCAGCATATTGAGTATTTGTGCCAAGTTTAGTCCAGACCCATCACTGTTTGAGTCCGCAGTGCTCTCTGGATATTGGTGAACTACAACTCCCAAACTCAAGGTCAATGCCCACCAAACCTTCCAGTATTTTCTGTTGATCATGGAAATGCTCTCTGGATGTAAGTGAACTACAACTCCAAAACTCAAGGTCAATGCCCACCAAACCCTTCCAGTATTTTCTGTTGGTCATGGGAGTTCTGTGTGCCAAGTTTGGTTCAATTCTATCCTTGGTGGGGTTCGGAATGCTCTTTGATTGTAGGTGAATGATAAATTCCAGCAACTACAACTCCCAAATTTCAAGGTCTATTTCCCCCAAACTCCACCAGTGTTCACATTTGGGCATATTGAGTATCTGCACCAAGTTTGGTCCAGATCCATCACTGTTTGAGTCCACAGTGCTCTCTGGATGTTGGTGAACTACAACTCCCAAACTCAAGGTCAATGCCCACCAAACCCTTCCAGTATTTTCTGTTGATCATGGGAATTATGTGTGTCAAGTTTGGTTCAATTCCATCATAGGTGGAGCCCAGAATGCTCAGATTGTAGGTGAACTATAAATCCCAGCAACTATAACTTCCAAATGACAAAATTGCCCCCTCCCACCACCCCACCAGTATTCAAATTTGGGCATATTGGGTATTTGTGCCAATTTGGTCCAGTGAATGAAAATACATTCTACATATCAGATATTTACATTATGATTCACAACAAGAGCAAAATTACAGTTGTGAAGTAGCAACAAAATAATGTTATGGTTGGGGGTCACCACAACATGAGGAATTGTATTAAGGGGTTGTGGCATTATGAAAGTTGAGAACCACTGATCTAGGAGATGCTCCATTTGGCACATATATCTACGATTTCATCACTTCTCTCTGTTAATCAAGTGGTCTTTGATAATCATTCTTTTATCATGAATACTTTTCCATACTTCTAGTTGGCATAAGCCACCAAATTGAGGTGGTGCATGACTACAGATACAAGGGGTGTTACCCACGCTGTGATCCAGGGCAAAGGAGAGCAAAAGATAAAGCTGATCCCTGGATCCTCGCAACCTCTGAGGATGCCTGCCATAGGTGCAGGTGAAACATCAGGAGAATGCTTCTAGAACATGGTTATATAGCCCAAAAAACCTACAAAACGATCTTGACAGATTAGAGAGATGGGCCAAAACTAACAAAATGAAGTTCAACAGTGACAAATGCAAGATACTCCACTTTGGCAGAAAAAATGAAATGCAAAGATATAGAATGGGTGACGCCTGGCTCGAGAGCAGTACGTGTGAAAAAGATCTTGGAGTCCTCGTGGACAACAAGTTAAACATGAGCCAACAATGTGATGTGGCGGCAAAAAAAGCCAATGGGATTTTGGCCTGCATCAATAGGAGCATAGTGTCTAGATCTAGGGAAGTCATGCTCCCCTCTCTATTCCACTTTGGTTAGACCACACCTGGAATATTGTGTCCAATTCTGGGCACCACAATTCAAGAGAGATATTGACAAGCTGGAATGTGTCCAGAGGAGGGCGACTAAAATGATCAAGGGTCTGGAGAACAAGCCCTATGAGGAGCGGCTTAAGGAGCTGGGCATGTTTAGCCTGAAGAAGAGAAGGCTGAGAGGAGATATGATAGCCATGTATAAATATGTGAGAGGAAGCCACAGGGAGGGAGCAAGCGTTTTCTGCTTGGAGACTAGGACGCAACAATGGCTTCAAACTACAAGAGAGGAGATTCCATCTAAACATGAGGAAGAACTTCCTGACTGTGAGAGCCATTTAGCAGTGGAACTCTCTGCCATGGAATGTGGTGGAGGCTCCTTCTTTGGAAGCTTTTAAACAGAGGCTGGATGGCCATCTGTCAGGGGTGATTTGAATGCAATATTCCTGCTTCTTGGCAATGGGGTTGGACTGGATGGCCCAGGAGGTCTCTTCCAACTCTTTGATTCTATGATTCTATGAAAAACCCAGTGATTCCAGCATGAAAGCCTTCAACAAGACTAGACTTTGTTTTGTTTTTTGTCTCTGAGTGCATATTCTAAACTAAGAGGTTTCAAGGGGGAGTATATATTTTCGGAAATTACAAATTCAACTTCAAGTAAACATTTTAAAACTCTGCTACCCAAGTATATGTTTTTCTGCAATGGCATGTCTTTGTCCCTGGTAGTTCAAAGACATGGTTTATCAGTTTTAACAACTGACTAATCTGTGTGCCATTACATGAATGATTGTGAACATCACTTTTTCAAAGGGTTGACTTCTAACAAGGCCATGCCTTTCCTTGACTAGAGGTTTTCAAAGGGTGGTCTCTAGATGTTCTTGGAGATTCACATTTGCCAAACGGATATGACATCGTAATGTCGAAGGCTTTCATGGCCGGAATCACTGGGTTGTTGTAAGTTTTTCGGGCTATATGGCCATGTTCTAGAGGCATTCTCTCCTGACTTTTTGCCTGCATCTCTGGCAAGCATCCTCAGAGGTAGTGAGGTCTGTTGGAACTAGGAAAGTGGGTTTATATATCTGTGGAATGACCAAGGTGGGTCTGACGTGATGGTTGTTAGAGTGGTCTAATTCAACCAGAGAAGTCAGCCATAGCAGAGCACCTGATGAACCAACCTGGACACAGCATATTATTATTTGAGAACACAGAAATGCTGGACCACTCTCACAACCACCATGTCAGACTACACAGAGAAGCCATTGAAATCCACAAGCATATGGACAATTTCAACAGAAAGGAGGAAACCATGAAAATGAACAAAATCTGGCAATCAGTATTAAAAAAACTCTAAAATTACAACAGCAAAACAACAGAGAGGAAACAATCAGGCACATCTAATCACCTCTCAACAAAAGATTTCCCCAGGCACTGCCAGGCCATCAAATGCTAATCAAGGTGGTCAGTTGAAACATTCACACCTAACTCCAACAGACAAAGAGTCCTTTGTCCCACCCTGGTCATTCCACAGATATATAAACCCTTTTTCCTAGTTCCAACAGACCTCACAACCTCTAAGGATGCCTGCCATAGATGTGGATGAAATGTCAGGAGAGAATGCTTCTCAAACATAGCCAGACAGCCCCAAAAACTAACAGCAACCCAGTGATTCCAGCCATGAATACCTTCGACAAGACATAATTGGTAATGACAGGGGCTCATCTAATCACCTCTCAACAAAAGATTTCCCCAGGCACTGCCAGGCCATCAAATGCTAATCAAGGTGGTCAGTGGAAACATTCACACCTAGCTCCAGCAGACAAGAGTCCTTTGTCCCACCCTGGTCATTCCACAGATATATAAACCCTTTTTCCTAGTTCCAACAGACCTCACTACCTCTGAGGATGCTTGCCATAGATGCAGGTGAAACACCACGAGAAAATGTCTCTAGACCATGGCCATATAGCCTGAAAAAACCTACAACAACCAACGGATATGACATCATTTTTCTTCTCAAAAAGATTATGAATACCATTTTTTTTCAAAAAAGTTCATCACAACCATCTATCAATATATTTATTAAGACCTAGCCACAAGAGAGAAAGAGAAAATAGATTGTTCTTCGGAAGGACGCCGCATTAATTCAAGAGTGTAAAATCCATGCTGACGTTTCCAGTCTTTGGGTTGAAGCTCACAGTGTACGTAACTGCAGAGGGATTATCGATAAGAGATTCTGGCTCGGTCACTGATCTGAAGAAATACACTGCCTGCTTGCAGTGGGGGGTCCACTGGCAATAGCCCTGCAGGGGAAAAAAAACCAGAAATATCAATTTTGAAAGCATGTGCGTGGATTTGTTTAAGGCCAACAGCAAGCCTTTCCCAGGGGAGAATTGAGTTTTTACTCCTACGAGACAGAAGAAACGGTTCCAAGCTGCATGTGAATGCCTCCCATCTTCTTATCTCCAGTTCTGCAAAGATAATTTTTATAAGGGAACTAGCTGTACCCGCCACATGTTGCTGTGGCCAACCTTCCCTCCCTCTTTCTCTCCTTCCTTCCCTCTTTCCTTCCTTTCCTCTTTTTCTTTCCCTATCTCTCTTCTTTCTTCCATCTCTACCTGTTTCTTTCCTCCCTTTCTTTGCTCTTTGGTTACATCCTTCCTTCCCTATCTTTTGTTCCTTCTCTCCTTCCTTCCCTCTCTTTTTCCTTTCACTTTTTTATTTCCTTCTCTCCTTCCTTGCTTCTCTATCTTTCTTTCTTTCCTTCTTTCCCTCCCTGCTTCTCTCCTTCCTTCCTTCCCTTTTTCCCTCCTTCTCTCATTACTTCTTGACTGTCCCTTCCATTTAATATTGTATTTATATCTTACATAGAAAGAAGGAAAGGAAGAAGGAAGGAAGGAAGGAGGGACATGAAGGAAGGAAAAAGGAAGGGAGGAAGGGAGGGAAAGAAGGGAAGGAAAGAAAAGAAAGAAGGAGGGACAGGGAGGGAGGAGAAGGAAGGAGGGAAAGAAAGGAGGGGGATGAAGAAAGGAGGGAGGGAAGGAAATGAAGGGGAAGGAAAGAAGAAAGGGAAAGAAGAAGGGAGGGAGGAAAAGAAGGAAAGGAAGAAGGAAGGAAGGAGGGACATGAAGGAAGGAAAAAGAAAGGGAGGAAGGGAGGGAAAGAAGGGAAGGAAAGAATAGAAAGAAGGAGGGACAGGGAGGGAGGAGAAGGAAGGAGGGAAAGAAAGGAGGGGGATGAAGAAAGGAGGGAGGGAAGGAAATGAAGGGGAAGGAAATGAAGAAAGGGAAAGAAGGAGAGGGAGGGAGGAAAAGAAGGAAAGGAAGAAAAAGGAAGGAGGGACATGAAGGAAGGAAAAAGAAAGGGAGGAAGGGAGGGAAAGAAGGGAAGGAAAGAATAGAAAGAAGGAGGGACAGGGAGGGAGGAGAAGGAAGGAGGGAAAGAAAGGAGGGGGATGAAGAAAGGAGGGAGGGAAGGAAATGAAGGGGAAGGAAATGAAGAAAGGGAAAGAAGAAGGGAGGGAGGGAGGAAAAGAAGGAAAGGAAGAAGGAAGGAGGGACGGGAAGGAAGGGAAGGAGGGAAAGAAGGAAAGGAAGAAGAAGGAAAGAAGAAATGGAAAGAAAGGAAGGAAGGAAACAGAGGAAAGAAGGGAAGGAAGAGAGAGAAGGAAGGTCCTTCATTCAAGCACCATGGACCTTCCTCACCTCCTCCTCCCCCTCCCCGTCCTCCCCTTCCTCCTTGCTCCGTTGCTCCTGCTGGCACTCATCCGCCCTTTCCTCTTCCAACAGGGAAAGGAGGAGGAGACTGCCCTCCTGACATAGGAGGGAAAGAGAAGGGGCTGCATGCTGCAAGCCTCCACCTCCACTCCACTCCTTATGTGTGTGTGCGGCCGTGCACGTGTGCCTGACTTTAACGGCGGGCTGTTTCCCCGCGAGGAGGAGGAGGAGGGCGTGGCCATGGGTCTCTGTAGACATGCAGTTTCTCCTTTGTGGACATGCAGTTTAGAAGTCCTTTCTGCTTTTGGTTTTCGTTGTTTTTTTGAGTGGAGAACATACATTGGGTTGTTAGGGACATAGTGTCCAAATTTGGTGTCAATTGCCCCAGTGGTTTCTGAGTTCTGTTAATCCCACAAACGAATATTACATTTTTATTTAATATAGATTGCCTTGGCCTGGCATCAAACTGTTCTACGTTACTTCCAAGCTCTCATGTTTCCAATGAAGCTTGTCTAACTTAAACACATTGCAACGTCGGCACTATAATAGCTTCTGCATACATTTCCCAATGGGTTATTATAAATGCTAGTGAAATTACTAGGAGCCTTTGTTGTGCTATTTCAAGCTGGAAAGCCCAAACCCGTCCCGTGCACGAGACAGAACTGAACAGCACCGCTGGAACTTTTCTGCATTGCAATTTCACATTCTCCTTCCCACTTGGTCCCTGCGATGCTTGAAAGAAAGAGAGCGAGGCAAATACCTTTTCATCCGCAACCTGTACAAGTCCTGTGCTAATGCAAAGCCCGGGTACCAGTTGATATTCCATCCACAGCACAGCTCCGTGGGTCTTCCCGGTTCTGGAAAGAAAGAGCCGTGGGTATTGATCCTTTGCAAACTTTGAACAGCACTGGTAGATTCAAATGTACCTTAATTCGGAGGGTGCGCATTCCTTTTGAAATAGGAACAGTATCCTCCCACATCAGTTGGAGAGATGAAAGGGCAAGAACGCAGTGCTACACGAGGCTGAAACCTTGGGAGCAAATCATCAAAACTGGAGGCGGGTGCTAAGTGGGATTTCTCACTGGAAGCAAAGCCAGCCCGATTGGGTGGGAGCTGAAGCAACACGTTAAAGATCTGAACCAGAAGCTGCCATTTAATAAAGATCTACCTTCTTAGGCATTTTAGCTTATCTAATGTTTAATGAAAAACTCCAGGCTTCAAAGTCATAGGGGCAAGCTTCAAACATTCAGATTTGTGGGCCTCCCAGGGGCATCGGGCTAGGTACGTGTTGTATTCCAGGACAGGAATAACCCTCTGACTTTAAAATGCCACACGTTGAATAGGAAAACAATCCTTTTTTATTGAAGACTAGCCATCCCCTGCCACGCGTTGCTGTGGCCCACATGGGGGTTCTGTGTGGGAGGTTTGGCCCAATTCTATCGTTGGTGGGATTCAGAATGCTCTGTGATTGTAGGTGAACTATAAATCCCAGCAACTACAACTCCCGAATGTCAAAATTCTATTTCCTCCAAACTCTACCAGTGTTCACATTTGGTCATATTAAGTATTTGTGTAGAGTTTGGTCCTGATCCATCATTGTTTGAGTCCACAGTGATCTCTGGATGTAGGTGAACTACAACTCCAAAACCAAAGGACACTGCCCACCAAACCGTTTCAGTATTTTCTGTTGGTCATGGGAGAACTGTGTGCCAAGTTTGGTTCAATTCCATCGTTGGTGGGGTTCAGAATGCTCTTTGATTGTAGGTGAACTATAAATCCCAGCAACTACAACTCCCAAATGACAAAATCAATTTTTTGTGTGAAGGACATACATTGGGTTGTTAGGTGTCTTGTGTCCAAATTTGGTGTCAATTCGTCCAGTGGTTTTTGAGTTCTGTTAATCCCACAAACGAACAATACATTTTTATTTATATAGATAAGTAAAAACAGCAAAGTAAAAAAGCACTTTAAGGGAATAGGTAAATCCAATTAGGTAAGAAGATAAGTAGGAACAAATTAGTCCAAAGTATGGTTCAGCAAAGTTCAAAAACAAAGTTCAGACTTCTCTAATAAAATCCAAAGAACCAGGAAAACGTTGATCCAAGAGGCATGAGTATGCAATCACAAGAGACAAAGAGTCAAACCCTAAAACAGGGGTCCTTAAACTAAGGCCCGAGGGCCAGATACAGCCCTCCTAAGTAATTTACCTGGCCCTCACTCAGGGTCAACCTAAGTCTGAAACTACGTGAAAGCACACAACAACAACAACAACAACAACAACAACAACAACATTATCTCATCAGCCAAAAGCAGGCCCACATTTCCCATTGAAATACTAATCAGTTTATATTTGTTAAAATTTTCTTCATTTTAACTATTGTATTGTTTTTAAGTGTTTTTGCACTACAAATATGTGCAATGTTCATAGGAATTAATTCATTTTCTTTCAAATTATAATTCGGCCCTCCGATAATTTGAGGGACTGTGACCTGGCCCTCTGTTTAAAAGGTTTGAGGACTCCTGCCCTAAAACAAGAAATCCTTAAACATGAATCTTCCAAGCAAAGCTTCCATGATACAAGAGCAAGAACTTAGCAGGATTCTAAAACGATGCTTCATCTGACTATATTTCCTATGCTTGGAACTTTATATCCCTCGTTAAGACATTCCAAGTAGGGCTGGGCGGTTTCGTTTCGTTAATTCGTAATTCGTTAATAATTCGTTAATTTTTTTAATTACAAAACGATAACGAACCATTCTGGAGCAATTATTAAAAAAAACGAATTTTCAAAAACGTTTTGTAAATGCTTCGTATTTCGTTATTGTATTCGTTTCGTTATTGTTTTGAGGTCGTTTCGTTATTATTTCCGCATGTCTGGGGCAAGTTTTATGGTTGTTTTTTGTTTAATTAGTGAAAAAAAATTATAATATCACACCAACAGTCAACAACAGAGGGAGAGGGAAGCTTCAGAAGTTTTTGGAGGTTTTTTAGCGTATTTCGCGGTCGCGTCCGCCATTAACGAATCGCTTCGTTATTGTTTCGGAAATCGATTCGTTAATGTTTTGTAATTTTTTTCACATTTACGAAATTTCGTAAATATCGAACTTTTTAAAAGGAAAATTTTGTAATTATTTTAAATAACGAAACGCAAACCCCCCCCCCAAAAACGAATCGATTTTAGAAACAAATTTTTCCGTTGTTACCCAGGCCTAATTCCAAGCACTCCGAAATTGGTTTTGTTTTCCCTGAATGCCTCTCATCCTTATCTGTCAAAGCCTGGCAGAATGCCGAAGGCCTTGGTCGAGCTGTCTGTTTTGGCTAATTTCCACCCACCTGTCTATATGCTCATTAGTTTCTGCAGGTGCCGAGTTGTTTTCAAGCCCCAAATCCTAGGAACTCTCTGTGAGCAATTCAGGAGTAAACCATCATCCCTATACCCTGTAGGAACATTCTCATGGGAAACTACATTTTGAACAGGAAACTCTATGTCATTCTCTGCATCAATATCATTGACCAAACCATTGCCATCTTGAACCTCATTGACATCATTCCCCACATACAAAGCACCCTGATCTTGAAACACAATCACAGGCTGAACTCCAACAGTACGACAGGAAGAGAATTCTGGACTACCATATTTCATCATATAATAGTTGCACTTTTATTCCCTTTTTATTGGAAAAAAGGTTGTGCAACTATTATGTGATGAAAAAACTTGAAACAGTTTTAAGTACCAATAAAATAACTTGTTATGAAATGGTCAACTTCCTCTGGAAACTGTCCACAGAATTCCACTGGATGACCGAGAGATTCCTCAAACTCTCTGTCAAATCGTTCGATTTCCTATATTAGTTACTCTTCATTTGTAAATGCTTGCCCCAGGGGTCCTCAAACTACGGCCCGGGGGGCGAATACGGCCCTCCAAGGTCATTTACCTGGCCCTCGCTCAAGGTCAACCTAAGTCTGAAAAGACTTGAAAGCACACAACAACAACAACAACAATAATCCTATCTCATCAGCCAAATCAGACCCACACTTCCCAATGAAATACTAATAAGTTTATATTTGTTAAAATTGTTCTTCATTTTAATTATTGTATTGTTCTAAAGTGTTGGGGGGGTGGTGGTTGCACTACAAATAAGATACGTGCACTGTGCATAGGAATTCATTCATATATATTTTTCAAATTATAATCTGGCCCTCCGACAGTTTGAGGGACTATGACCTGGCCTTCTGTTTAAAAAGTTTGAGGACCCCTGCTTTAAGCCATGGTCAAACAATAGTCCATGAAAAACAGTTGAACACAAGAACCCAAAATCCCAGACTCAGGAAGCCAGAAGCGTGCTGCTTAAGGCCAAGGTTAATCCATAGAAGTTTGCATGGAAAGAGCCACGTTGAACTGACAACGCCTGTGTGTCAGTGAGAAGGCTAAATAGTAGAACGCATTGCGATGGCACACTTGGCTTCTCGCTTGCCTGCCAAGCGAGAGCTTCTCCGGACCCTTAATTGCAGACGATCTTGCCTGTTCATTAATTTGTTATCTTCAAGGCTCTCTAACCCCTTATCATCTTCGTCCAGCAGCTGGACCGGATCACCGTGAGAAGGCAAAGGAGACAAAGACATCTCTACCTGGCCGTGTGGAAATTCGTTCTCGTTATCATTCTCACTTTTCCCCTGAGAACTGACTTGCTGTTTTCCCTTCTGCAGCCTCAAAGTCAACCCTGTCTGAAGCATGAACAGAAATCTGTAACCTATCCTCCTCCTCATCATCTTGTATTGGCAAGTTTATTCGATGCTTAGACCATAGGTCTTTCACATACAAGTCAAGGCAAATAAATAAATACATGAACACCAGATTATGAAATACAATATAAAATACACAATAAAATCCTATAAATCATTAAAATGCTACATATATCGATAGCAAGATGCACCTTTAAAATACTACATAATGTGTAGACTCATACCTGCGTAATTAAAAACCAAGTAAAAGCAAATAGATACAGCTTTACTAAAACTACATAAACAGCCACTATTAGTTGAAAGCATCCCCAGCGCAGTCAACTGCAATATCAGAGATTAGTTTTGCCCGGATTTTCTGTGCTGCCAGGGCAAAAAGAGACACCTTTTGAGTAACCACGGGGTTAGTGTCAGCCAAGAGGTAAAAAATATTTTCGGACACAGAGTTGGTCTGAAGGAGGTGGAGAATAAACCCGAGTATTTTGGTTCTTGGATCAGAATACAAAGGGCAGAAAAGCAAATAGTGAGGCAGATCGTCAATTTCCGGGGCCCCACAAACACATAAACGAAGAACCAGAGGCGTGCCCGTGTATCTGCCATCAATCACTGCTGTGGGTATACTTTGAAAACGAAGGGCAGTGAAGGCTTGTCTAAGTTTTGGAAATGTGAGCCTAGTCAGGTAGATAGCCCTATCATGGTCATCATCATCTTGTAGGAACTCTGGCTCACAAAGCCCACAGGGGTCAGCTTCAGACTCAGAGGCAAGCTGAGTCACAACACTAGACTCCTATGTGTGGCTGTGATGAAAGTCATTGCCTGATGCCGAGGAGAAAACATTGTCTCGAGATCTACATTCTGTGTTCAAACAAGGATCACGTTATAGGCAAATATTGATCTTTACTGCACAGGATGTTCTAAGATTTTACAGCTGGGAGAGCCATAACACCATAATTTGGTGACGCGATAACACCATACACTGTGTGCAGGTTCGGAAAGAAATGATCAACCAGGGAACAGATGGTTGTATTTGGAAAGGAGGGAAAAGTGATTATAAATCAATTCAATCATATGTGACATTCTAATTTATACATTATTCATTGAAAACAGCGCGGCGTTTCATGCATGAGAGACATTTTTATTATCGCAAATATTTAAGATGACAGAAAAATCAAAGCTTTTTTCCATCCAAGTTTTTAAATTGTTTTTCTTAAAGCAAGTTAGTGCAGTGATGGGATCCTGTTCCCATAATTCCTAGTCCGCTGGACCGGCCACGTTGTCCGGATGCCTGATCACCATGCTCTATTCCGAACTGAAGAATGGAAAACGGAAAAGAGATTGAAAGATGGGCTCAAAACCAACCTTAAAAACTCTGGCATAGACACTGAGAACTGGGAAGCCCTGGCCCTTGAGCGCTCCAGCTGGAGGTCAGCTGTGACCAGCCATGCTGTAGAATTTTGCCTCGATCGGCGATATCCACATTGGTGTTTCAGTACAAAAGTAATTTTTGTATTTGTCCCAGACTCTAATTAGTGCAGATCTCACAAAATGATTTCCAAAGTTTTTTTCCATACCAGTTTTTCTGTACCACATGTACGAGTGCCAACCCACTCTCAAGTTGAAACCCTCTAATACCAGTGTTTTTTCCTTTGTTAGTAGTGACCAATCCTTAATCCAGACTAATGCACAGGCCTCAAAATAAGTTCTGAAATTTGGAAGTCCAAAGCCCCCTCTCTCCTTTTTGTCAAGCATGATCTTATGTTTAATTCTCGGCTTTTTGCCATTCCATATAAATTTCCCTTACTTACTTAGGCAATCCCTCGTTGGACGAGTAGGATGGTCTTCCATTATGGGTTTCCTTGTGGGTCTGCATGTGGCTGTGGAGCCCTATTCTTGCTCTGCATCTTCTTCCGCAGTGAGGGCATTGGTTTCCAGGTGGAAGGCGGTCCCGGTCAGGGTTGGCTTGACGCGCCTTCCTCCTAGCACGTTTCTCTCTTTCGCCCTCCACTTGTGCCTCCTCGAATTCTGCAGCACTGCTGGTCACAGCTGACCTCCAGCTGGAGCACTCAAGGGCCAGGGCTTCCCAGGTCTCAGTGTCTATGCCAGAGTTTTTAAGGTTGGCTTTGAGGCCATCTTTCAATCTCTTTTCCTGCCCACCAACATTCCGTTTTCCGTTCTTGAGTTCAAAGTAGAACAACTGCTTTGGGAGACAGTGGTCAGGCATCCGGACAACGTGGCCGGCCCAGCAGAGTTGATGCTGGAGGACCATCGTTTCAATGCTGGTGGTCTTTGCTGACGTTTGTCCGCTTGTCTTCCCAGGAGATTTGCAGATTTTCCGGATGCAGCGCTGATGGAATCGTTCCAGGAGTTGCATGTGACGTCTGTAGACAGTCCACGTCTCACAGGCATAGAGCAGGGTTGGGAGGACAATAGCTTTATAGACAAGCACCTTGGTATCCCTACGGATGTCCCGGTCCTCAAACATTCTCTGCTTCATTCGGGAAAATGCTGCACTTGCAGAGCTCAGGCAGTGTTGTATTTCCCTATATCTTTGTTCCATAGATCGAAGATTTTAGCATTTCTTATGATTGGGAGGTTTTGAAATAGATACAAAAGCCTGGGTAGAATGTTCATTTTAATCAGGGCTATTCTCCCTAGCAGAGAAAGCTTTAGAAACTTCCATTTTAATAGATCTTTCTTTACCTTTGTCCATGTTACCTCATAGTTGTTTTTGTACAGTTGGGCGTTTTTTGCCGTTAACCAGATTCCCAGGTATTTAATTGTGGAACATATTTTGATCCCTGCCTCCCTTCTCTAAAATGGATGCCGTGGCTTCGCCAGGCGCACTCTCTTAGGCCTAAGCTAGCTTGCGCAGGTAAGGGATTCATTACACGCCCCATCCCTGAAAATGTTGCACTGTTTTCTTTGGGTCCAACTTACCTTGTCAGGTTTACGAGGCCTTCTTTCCTGAGTGTGTGCTCCAACACAGTTTGTTGGAAGTCAAAGGTGAAGACTTCCTCTGGATCCGAGAGGGACTTGCAAGGATACTCCCACAAAGGATGAGGTTCTGCTTCCCTGGATTCCCTGAAGTCTAACGAATTCTATGGGAGGGAGGGAAGGAAACAAAGAAAAATTCTTGGCTTAAATGGAAGCTGCTGATTCTGACACTTGATGTAGACCTAAACTATCAGAAAACTCCTATATCTTCATATCAATATTCCCAAGTCTTCTGATCTTCAAGGGAGGACTTTCCCTCAATCCCAGCATTCCCACTGGCTTGCCTAATGTATGTATTTGGAATTTCTAAAAGAGCACATGACAAACCAACCTGGGCACAGAACATTATTTGAGAACACAGAAACTCTGGACCACTATGACAACTATCATGCCAGACAATACAGAGAGGCCACTGAAATCCACAAGCACATGGACAATTTTAACTGAAAGTAGGAAACCATGAAAATGACCAAAATCTGGTTACTAGTATTTTAAAACACCGGAATTAAGACTGTAAATAAAGAACACCACTTGGAAACTGAGAACTCCAGATAGCAAACAATCAAGGGCCAGTTAACACCTACCAAACAGAGGATGCCTCCAGACAACAACAGCCAGACTACCTCTATGATTGACTTTGCAAACTTCATTGTTGGAAAGAGCAACCTTCCAAGTCTTCACTATTTGTTTGTTAATAATGTATATATTTGCTAACCTGTATTGTATGAATATATTGATTTGTGGGCGGGGCTGCAGACATGTGATTATACTGAGCATGTTTAGACTCAAGACTCCATTTTGTTACCAGTATGTTTTTGTACTTCAAAAAGTTAGCAGTTTGCTTTAGACCTCAGTGGATGTGGATCCTGTATGCTTTTAGACTTCAATGGAAGCAGGTGTCATTTGGACTTATGCAGGAACAGTTTACTATGTGTTTGCTTTGAGAAGTTTTGAGTACAGTTATACACTTTGGACTTTCATGCGATGTATACTTAAAGACTTTGGACTACGGACTATTGATTAAGAATGATGCCCTGTGTTCTTGATACTGAGAAACCACATCCTATCTATAAATGTGTCTGTAAACTGAATTAATGCAAGATGTTTATGAGTAAACAAGATATGTTACTTTTCAAAGAAGACTTGTTTTTTGTCTGAGTGCATATTTTAAACTAAGAGGTTTCAAGGGAGAGTATATGTTTTGGGCAGCTGCAATTGCAGTTTCAACTTCAACATTAAAGAAACATTTTCAAAACTGCTAGCTAAATATATGTTGTTGCTTTTTTGCAGTGGCATGTCTTTGTCCCTGGCAGTTCAAAGACATAGTTTATCAGTTTAACAGTTGAGTTACCTATGTGTCATTACGTGAATGCTTGTGAACATCACTTGTTCAAAGGGTTGACTTCTAACAAGGTCATGCGTTGTAATGAAAGTTTAAACAAGTGAGATTGGTGACCTAACTTTGCCTTGCTGCATCCTGCTTAATATCATCACATAATCAATAAACTATGGTTTTATGACCTGTTACCTGGGTCCATTTTGACAGGACCCTGTATTTTGGTGGGCCAAGGTCTCCCAGTGGGCTTTAATGGATGACATTTAAACCCTGGACCCTTTAGAGTCCTAGTCAAGCAACCCAACGACTAAACCACTTGAGCTCGCCACTTCTGTTGTTTGCATTTTATAATAAATGGCAAAGTACAAAATATAGTGCAGCAACCAAAGAGATGTCAAAGCCCAGCAGCTTTTCCTCTTCGCTGGAGGGCGAGTGCTGCACTTGTCCAGAATCCTGAGCAGAGATGAATCCCAAGGGCCAGACTTGTATAGGAGTCAGAAAAGAATTTGTTATTAATTAACTGGATAAATCCGATTCCCCTCCAGCTATCTTCAAGAACGTACTCTTTTCAGTGCAGACTCTGCCACAGCTTCACAGCTGCTAAAGTGACTCATTAAACTTGTCATCCCAGACATTTCTAAGTAGCAGTTACAAATAACTACGCAATTTTTTTTGGCAATTAAGTTAATTGGTCCTGTGTTCTCGAACAATGAAGGCAGGGAACTCGCAAATGCTCCTTATTACTACAAAAAAAGGATGTGGTACAAAAGTTCTTGGGGGAGTGTTCGTTATTTTAAGAGCCATTATTGGACCTTTGTTTTCCTCCTCATTCTCATCTCGTGTTGCGAGGCTCTGATGCAGCTGCTTTTAATGGTTTGCTAATGCTTTTATAGAATTAGTCCATGCTTTGTTTTACTGCCAATACTAGGGTTTTAATACTATTTTATGGGTACGTGTTTGCACATGAATGCATCTAGGTATGGACATTATTATCTGCATCTAAACATTCACAAAGTCTTTTTATTATGTTACTAGCTGTACCCTGCCACGCGTTGCTGGGACCTATAGTAAGAATTTTCGAAGTAGAGGTAGATATCTGGACTATTATTCCTTCCCTCCTTTTTCTTCCCCTTCCTCTTTCTCTCCTTTCTTCCTTCTCTAACTCTTTCTTTCATTCCTTCTTTCGCTCTTTGGTTTCACCCTTCCTTCTCTCTTTCCTTCCCTCCCCCTTTCTCTACTTCTTCCTTTGTCTCCTTCCTTCCCTCTTTCTTTCCTTTGTTCACTTTTTATTTCCTTTTCTCCTTCCTTCCTTCCTTCTTTACCTCTTTCCTGCCTTTCCTTCCCTTTTTCTTTCCTTTGTACTTTCTTCCTTCTTTTGGTACCTCTTTCCTTCCTTCCTTCCTTCCTTCCTTCCTTCCTTCCTTCCTTCCCTCCCTCCCTCCCTCCCTCCCTCCCTCCCTCCCTCTTTCCTTCTTTCCCTCCCTCCTTATCTCTTTCCTTCCTTCCTGTCTGTTCTCCCCCAATACCATGGTAGAGTCCCTTCTAAGTCTATTTAATATAGAAATATATAGTAGTAACATTATATAGTAGTATATATAACAATATATATAATATAATATATATTATATAGCAATATACATAATAGTAATATATAAAGTATTATATATAAATAAATGTAATGTCTGTTTGTGGTAGTCACAGAAATCAAAAACCACTGGATGAATTGACACCAATTTTTGGTCACAAGATACCGAACATCCCAATGTATGTCCTTCACTCAAAAAAAAAAAATGATTTCGTCATTTGGGAGTTGTAGTTGCTGGGATTTATAGTTCACTTACAATCAAAGAGCATTCTGAACTCCACCAACGATGGAATTGAACCAAACTTGGCACACAGTTCTCCCATGATCAACAGAAAATACTGGAAGGGTTTGGTGGGCATTGACCTTGAGTTTGGGAGTTGTGGTTCACCTACATCCAGAGATCACTGTGGACTCAAACAATGATGGATCTGGACCAAACTCTACACGAATACTCAATATGCCCAAATGTGGACACTGGTGGAGTTTGGGGAAATAGAATCTTGACATTTGGGAGTTGTAGTTGCTGGGATTTATAGTTCACCTACAACCACAGAGCATTCCGAAGCCCACCAATGATAGAATTGGGCCAAACCTCCCACACAGAACCCCCATGTGGGCCACAGCAATGCGTGGCAGGGTACCGCTAATGTATGTATGTGTGTGTGTCACACCAACCAGTGATCTAACATCCATACGTGTGTGTGTGTATGCGTGTGTGCGTCTATACTGCTATATAATCCAGTCCTAAGTAGATAATCTGGATTTTGCATGGCAGTGTGGAAGGCTTGACTTTGGGTGCATCTACACTGATTTAATAAAGGAGGATGAAGCTGGTGAGGGGAGGAGAAAAAGGAAAGAAAGAAAGGGAGGAAGGGAAGGGAGGGAAGGAGAAGGAAGGGAAGTAGAGAAAGGGAGGGAGGGAGGGAGGGAAGGGGGGGGTTGGACCGGATGGCCTTTAAGGCTCCCTTCCAACTGGTTGGCCATCTCTTGTGAGGGCTTTGATGGTGTCTTTGTTTACTGCCAAATGAGGTTGGGCTGGATGGTCTTTGGAGCTCCTTTCCAAGCAATGTCAGTTTCATGTGTCCCTATGACCCCCATCATTGTACCTTCCTCCTTCCCTTGTGCTGTGGGAGTGTGTGTGTGGGCAAAGGGGGGGGGGCAGAGAGTCAGTGTGTGTGCACAGAGTGTGGCCAGCCTCCCTCTTTTCCTCCCCCCCCCCCCATCCTCAGCCTCTGCCCTTTGATCCCTTGCCTTAGTGTTAGTTAGGCGCCGAGAGACATCGCAGCTACTGCTGCTTCGGAACCCTCATTCTGTGTCCTCAGCATGAGGGATAGGGGAGGTGTGTTGTCTTCTTCCTTTTTTGAATTTAAAGGTGTTTTTCTGGGAGTTTTTTCAGTGATGGTCACTCCTTGGATTGTGAGGAGTTTTGTTGCCAAGTTTGGGGTCATTTGGCCCTGTAGTTTTTTTTGTTTTTAAGGTTCTCATTATGCACAGAGCATTTATATATATATAGATTGCTTTGTTTAGGCCATGTCCAGATTTGATTCCGGGACCAGGGGTAGGAAGTAGGGCTGGGCGGTTTCATTTCGTTAATTCGTAATTCGTTAATAATTCGTTAATTTTTTCAATTACAAAACGATAACGAACCATTCTGGAGCAATTATTTAAAAAAACGAATTTTCAAAAACGTTTTGTAAATGCTTCGTATTTCGATATTGTATTCGTTTCGTTATTGTTTTGAGGTCGTTTCGTTATTATTCCCGCATGTCTGGGCCAGTTTTATGGTTTAATTAGTGAAAAAAAATTATAATATCACACCAACAGTCAACAACAGAGGGAGAGGGAAGCTTCAGAAGGTTTCGGAGGTTTTTTAGCGGACCCCTGTGGGGGTCGCCAGGGGGTGTCAGAGGGGTCGCCAAAGACCATCAGAAAACATAGTATTTTCTGTTGGTCATGGGGGTTCTGTGTGGGAAGTTTGGTCCAATTCTATCGTTGTTGGGGTTCAGAATGTTATTTCATTGTAGGTGAACTATAAATCCCAGCAACTACAACTCCCCAATGTTAAGGTCTATTTTTCTCGAACTCCTCCAGTATTCACATTTCAGCATATTGAGTATTCGTGCCAAGTTTGGTCCAGATCCATCACTGTTTGAGTCCACAGTGCTCTCTGGATGTAGGTGAACTACAACTCCAAAATTCAAGGTCAATGTCCACAGATCCTCCCAGTATTTTCTCTTGGTCATGGGAGTTCTGTGTGCCAAGTTTGGTTCAATTTCCATCATTGGTGGTGTTCAGAATGCTCTTTGATTGTAGGTGAACTATAAATCCCAGCAACTAAAACTCCCAATCCCCCCCCCCCCCACAACCCCACCAGTATTCAAATTTGGGCATATTGGGTATTTGGGATTTGAAAATACATCTTGCATATCAGATATTTACATTACGATTCATAACGGTAGCAAAATTACAGTTACGAAGTAGCAATGAAAATGTTATGGTTGGGGGTCACCACAACGTGAGGAACTGTACTAAGGGGTCACGGCATTAGGGAGGTTGAGAACCACTGCTTCAGAAGGTTTTGGAGGTTTTTTAGCGTATTTCGCGGTCGCGTCCGCCATTAACGAATCGATTCGTTATTGTTTCGAAAATCGATTCGTTAATTTTTTACCATTTACGAAATTTCGTAAATATCGAACTTTTTAAAAGGAAAATTTTGTAATTATTTTAAATATCGAAACAAAAAAACCCCCCAAATACAAATCGATTTTAGAAACAAATTTTTCCATTGTTACCCAGGCCTAGTAGGAAGGGATGGAAGAGATACTGAGCTGAACTGAGTGAAAGCATGTGTGTGGAGCCCCCGGTGGTGCAGTGAGTTAAAGCGCTGAGTTGCTGAGCTTGTTGACCGAAAGGTCGCAGGTTCGAATCCGGAGAGCGGCGCGAGCTTCTGCTGTCAGCCCCAGCTTCTGCCAACCAAGCAGTTCGAAAACATGCAAATGTGAATAGATCAATAGGTTCCGCTCTGGCGGGAAGGTAACGGCGCTCCATGCAGTTATGCTGGCCACATGACCTATGGACAATGCCGACTCTTTGGCTTAGAAATGGAGATGAGCACCACATCCCAGAGTCGGACATGACTGGATTTCATGTCAGGGGCAAACCTTTACCTTTTTACCTTATGTGTTTGGAAAAACATGGGGTGTTACCCAGGGAAAGCACGAAGAATGCCTCGCAGCCTGTGGGGCTCAGCAGATGGCCACCCCCCACCACCCTGTGTGCTCCTGAGACAGGCGCAACTCGCCTACACACTGCAATCGGCACACTAATGTGTCACGGCTCACAGCCCAACACACAGGTTTGAAAGTTCTGGCCTAGCTCCCCAGATGACCAATTCTGCTGCAATGTATTCCATTTACTGTCCATGTTGGCGAGAAACACACATTAGACCACTTTCTCCACCATTAAATCTATGATGCAAATAGCATTTCACAGACACAATGGGAAGAATGCCTCACCTTTATCATCTCATCCATGATGCTCACATCAAACCCTTCACAACTGCCACATGGGCTGCGGATGCGCCACAAGTCCTAGGGAAAAAGAAACACAATGGTATTTCCTTTAGCACTTCAAAATGAAATCATAGAGCCCTAGAGTTGGAAGAGGCCACACAAGCCATCCGGCCCAGCTCCTGACATACAGGAAAAGTACAATCAAAGCACTCCCGACAGATCACCATCCAGTTTCTGTTATAAAAATAGTAATAATAAGATTCACGAAGTGAAAGATATGGACAAATTAACATTCTTTTTAAAAAAAAAAGTTCGGGAAATCTTATAAGAGAAACTGATTGGTCATTTTTTTTGAAAAATATTTAAAATAAAAGAGGCAGGAAAATAACAATTGATAAATATTTTCTTGTATAAGAATTATGATAGTCAAATAATGCAATAACGCCTTTTGTCACTTGTGTAAAAGAATACTATCCTCTGAGAAGGAATAGATGAAACGAAAATAATAGGACAAGAACATTAATATAAGACATGCAGAGACACAGAATGGAAGTCAACATTTACCTTATTGTCTTTTTTCTCTCTCTTTTTACCTCCCACTTTTTCTTTTTGGGAGAGATTTTAAATCTTTCCTCTTTTCCTACTTTCCTATATGTTAATGTTTTCCCACTTTCCTTGTAACTTCTTTATTTTTATTTTTTTTCTCAGGTGGTGGTTTTATATAAACTTATGTGAAAATTTAATAAAATTCTTTTTTTTAAAAAAAAAAGAATAGTAATAATAACAATAGTAATAATAGAATTACAGAGTGGGAAGAGACACCATAGCCATTCAGTCCAAACACCTTGTGCCATGCAGGAAAAGCACAATCAAAGTACCCTTGAAAGATGGCCATTCAGCCTCTCTCATTATAATCATAATCATAATAAACACAATCCTAGAACTGGAAGAGACCCTAGGGGTAATCCAGTCCAACCCCCTTGTGTCGTGCAGGAAAAGCACAATCAAAGCACTCCCAACAGATGGCCATCCAGCCTCTATTATAATAATAGTAGTAGTAATAATAATAGAATTATAGAGGTGGGAGAGACACCATAGATAATCCAATTCAACCCCCTTCTGCTATGCAGGAAAAGCACAATCAAAGCATTCCCGACAGATGGCCATCCAGCCTCTGTTTAAAGGCCTTCAAAAAAAGGAGCATCCATCACACCATGAGGCAATGAGTTCCACTGTTGAGCAGCTCTTGAAATACAATGTATTTGCCTGGCGGTATTAGAACCACTGTATAAATGCTATTTTATTTCCAGTTCAAATACACAAAAAGCACTTTTAAATCTGAGTGTTCTATCAAACCAGCATAGATTTTAAAACAAATTGGAAAAGATATACATTTCTTAAGGTTGGCTCTGCATCTCGTGGTGCCAGAACGCAGACTGTTCAGCGTCTTCCGAGTCGCCCAGTCTTCTGTGTGCCCAGAGGAGAGTCTCTCATTTGGTATCAGCCACTGATTGAGGTTTCGGGTTTAAGCCTGCCACTTTTGGACTCTCGCTTGCTGTTCCTGCAAGTGTCTCTGTAGATCTTAGGAAGCGATTTCTTGATTTAAGGTATTGGCATGCTGGCTGATATCTAAACAGAGGATGGGCCGGATATGTCAATAACTTGGTCCTTTCATTACAGGCTGCTACTTCCCAGCGGATGTCAGGTGGTGCAATATTGGCGAAACAGGATAATTTCTCCAGTGGTGTAGGGCATAGATATCCTGTGATAATGTGGCATGTCTCATTAAGAGCCACATCCACTCTTTTAGTGTGGTGAGATGTGTTCCACACTGGGCACCAGAAGCAACCAGAAGCAATTCAAAATGGGCAACAGCATAATTGCATACATGTTTATTTGAAAGTCAGTCTCAGTTTATCATAAAAATGTGTCTGAGCTTTTTGTCAGTGGCATCGGCCGCACAGCAAGGCAGAAACAGATCAATCACAGCCACCTTAAGCTATAAACTTCTTTATATTACAGCTATATAAATTAGAAGCTACTTAACACTAAGCACATCGTAAACTTGCTTCTTTCCCTTCCGATCATAACACTGTGAACACACAAACACTGTTATCAGTACTAGTCCACACCTCCTGCATTCCAGAGTGACGTATGACGTACAATGCATGGTGTCCATTTGTTCTATACACTTGATTTATGACACTTCTAGGAATGCCGTTCCCTCCATGGTTTAGTTAACTCTTTCCACACAGGAATACACTCGGCACATAGCTACTGTATTTTAAACATACAAACATATTTTGAAATCTACATTATAAATTGCAAACAGCTCCAACACTTTTGCTCTCAGATTGTGTTGAACTCTCCAAGGATAAAAAAGCAATGCATTCAGTTAATCTGTTCTCCCTCCACCATTCATTACAACATCACAAATCCCTTCTAAGGCGAAACAGTGTAAGTTATAACAAAAACACAGTTGTCCTTAGATTGCCAATGCTGGAGCATGTCAGAACGATAATCCAAAGCATTTTTATCTCTGGAGAACACCATTCTCAATGACTGCTAGCCATGTGGCTTGAACTGTTGACAGGTGGCCACAAAGCTCATCTGTCCTGAAGCAAAGCAGTTCTTTTAGATCTAGATGATGCATTCAGAGGTGATGCACTTGAATCCTAAAATGCCGCTATGGGGGAAAAACCAGAGGCACTTTACCTTGAACTCCACAACCATCAGGTGAAGGGAAGCCGACTCGGGGAGGACCTTTATGTCACTGGTGAAGTGAGGTGCCAGCGCCGTCCGGCCGTACCAGAAATATAAATTGTGCCATGGTAACAAGCTTGTAGAGAAAAAGGGCTCGCCAATTAGAACGGATACCTTGGAGAAAAGAAGGGGAAAGGGATCTAAGCATTTGAAAACAGACCAAGATGCACATATCTGAGCACTTTTATTACCACTCTAGCCCTCGGTTAAACCCTTGTGCCGGCAGGACTGAAAACTGACAGATCAAAGGTTCGAATTGGGGGAGGACACAGATGAGCTTCCTCTGTCAGCTCCAGCTCCCCATGCGGAGACATGAGAATAGTCTCCCACAAGGATGGTAAAACATCAAAACATCTGGGCATCCCCTGGGCAACATCCTTGCAGACAGCCAATTCTCTCACACCAGAAGCAACTTGAAATTTCTCAAGTTGCTCCTGATACAGGGCAAAAAAACACCCTAGACATGCAGGAGAGTTTTCAGAGACTTATAGAATTATGGAGTTAGAAGAGACCATATGGGCCATCTAGCCCAATCCCCTGCCATAATGGAAAAGCACAATCAGAGCACCCCTGACAGATGGCCATCCAGCCTCTGTTTAAAAGCTTCCAAGGAAGGTGTTTCCACCACACTCTGAGGCAAAGAGTTCCACTGCTGAACAGCTCTTACAGTCAGGAAGACCGGGATTGTGGCGCAGCTGGCTGAGTGTCAGCTGCATTAAGATCACTCTGACCAAAAGGTGATAGGTTTGAAGCCAGCCTGGGTTGGAGTGGGTTTCCAACCAATTGTGTAGCCTGTTGTCGACCTTTGCAACCCGAAAGACAGTTGCATCTGTCAAGTAGGAAAATTAGGTACCACCTTAAAGTGTGGGGATGCTAAATTAACTAATTTATGAGGCCAGCAAGCACTCCAGCAAGCACTCCAGCAAAAAAGCATGCAGGGAATGCGGAAGTACTTCATCAGTGTCGCAGATGGATGATGAAAGCGACAGTTCCCCTAGTGGCCAGAAAAAGTTAAATAGCCTCTGTGTTTGTCTGTATATGTTGTATGTCAAAATTGGCATTGAATGTTTGCCATATATGTGTACATTGTAATTCGCCCTGAGTCCCCTGCCGGGTGAGAAGGGCGGAATATAAATGCTGCAAATAAAATAATAATAATAAATAAAGCAAAATAGAGAGGCATCATGACTTCTCTCAATTTAGACCCTAGACTCCTTCTGATGCGCCCAAAATCCCATTGGCTTTTTTAGCAGCCACATCACACTGTTTGCTTCTGTTCAGTTTGCTGTTCTCAAAGATTCCTAGATCCTTTTCACATGGATTGCTGTTGAGCCAGGGATCCCCAATCCTGTATCTCTGCATTTCATTTTTTCTGCCGACTTGTAGTATCTTACGCTTCTTCTTGTTGAGATTCATGTTTAGTTTTGGCTAACCAGCTCTCTAATCTGTTAAGTTGTTTTGAATTCTGATCCTGTCGTCCTGAGTATTAGCTATCACTCCTGATTTGGTATCATCTGCAAACTTAATAATCATTCCCTCTAAACCTTCATCTAAGTCATTAAGAAAGATATTGAATAGTACTGAGCCCAGGACAGAACCCTGAAGCATCCCACTAGTCACTTCTTTCCAGGATGAAGAGAAACCATTGGTGAGAACGTGTATTGATCCTCTCTTCTTCTCTTCCCCCATAAATATGATAATTGTACAAGAAACTTGGTAACAGAAGAAAATCCTCTCAACCTCATCTTTTTCCAGTTTCAAAATGCCAAGCCAATGCAATGCAAAAAGGCATCTAATGAAGACACAAATACAAATTAAGGCTTACTCTACCACTGAAAAGCTGTTAAGATTTGGCCAGGATGCCAACAACAACTCTAAAACCTCTCAGTCGGTTCGCAAAGGTACAATGGTTATCAACCTTCCTCATGCCGCGACCCCATAATACAGTTCCTCATGTTGTAATGACCCTCAACCATAAACTTATTTTCGTTGCTACTTCAGAACTGTCATTTTGCTCCTGTTATGAATTGTAATGTAAATCTCTGATATGCAAGATGTATTTTCATTCACTGGACCAAATTTGTACAAATACCCGATATGCCCAAATGTGAATACTGATGGGGTCTTTTTCTGTGGGGGGGGGGGGGGTTGATTTTGTCATTTGGGAGTTGTGTTGTTGTTCATTCGTTCAGTCGCTTTTGACTCTTTGTGACCTCTTGGACCAGCCACGCCAGAGCTCCCTGTCGCTCGTCACCACTCCCAACTCCTTCAAGGACCAGCCAGTCACTTCAAGGATTCCATTCATCCATCTTGCCCTTCGTTGGCCCCTCTTCCTTTTTCCTTCAATTTTCCCCGACACAGTTGTCTTCTCTAAGCTTTCCTGTCTTTCCTGGGAGTTGTTGCTGGGATTTTTAGTTCACCTACAATCAAAGCGCGTTCTGAATTCCACCAATGAGGGAATTGTGTCAAACTTGGCAAACAGTGCTTCCATAATCAACAGAAATTACTGGAAGGATTTGGTGGACACTGACCTTGAGTTTTGGAGCTGTAGTTCACCTACATCCAAAGAGCACTGCGGACTCAAACAATGACAGATCTGGACCAAACTTGGCACAGATACTCAATATACCCAAATGTGAACATTGGTGGAGTTTGGGGGTAATAGAGCTTGACATTTGGGAGTTGTAGTTGTTGGGATTTATAGTTCACCTACAAAGAGTATTCTGAACCCCACCAATGATGCAATTGGGCCAAACTTCCCACACAGCACCCCTAGGACCAACAGAAAATACTGTGTTTTCTCATGGTCTTTGGCAAGCCCTTTGACATCCCCTTGCAACCCCCCCCCCCCCCAGGAGTCCCAATTTCCAGGTTGAGAAACGCTGCACTACATGCTTTAAAAAGTTTTTAAAAGTCTCCCAAAAAATAGAATTGACTTACCTTTTTGTCCCCAAGATCAGAAGAAGTCAACGACTCAGGGTTCTTCTCTATTATTTTAATTCTATTTTCTAGATGGTTGGCCTTAAAAATCTTTAGAAAGGAAAACAAATAGTGAGTGACTTCCCCAAGCTCTCATTCCTTTTGAGAACTGCTTTCCAACACAAAAGGCATAGCCAATCATTTAGGACAAGGGTGGGCCAATGGACAGGCCTATGGAGATATTTTCTGGGCAGATCCCTTCTGGGGACGACAAAGAGTGCAACAAATCACAGAAATAAAGCTCATAACTGGAAGTTGGTGGAAGCCACTTCTTGTTTTAAAAAACAGCTTTTTAGATGTAGAGGCATATAAAAGGCTTCCACGAAGTAATGGTTGCTTAGCTGTAACATGTTTCTTCAAGTGGTGATCTGAGAAATTCACACATGTGGTATTTCCTGTGCTTGCATTCCTCATAGAGTATATAACTAGTGAGAGGGGCTACTGCCTCAGTTCCTTTTGTCTGCAGCTTAGGAATCTCTTGTTCTATAGCAGGGGACCTCAAACTACGGCCCACGGGCTGGACCTGGCCCTCCGAGGGCATTTATCTGGCCCGCGGGGTGTGGAGAAGGGTGAGAGGCGATGGGCGAAGCGGCTTCGAGGCCACTTCGCCCGCCACCTCCCTGGGCCCAGCCTGGTCTACCTCTGCCTTCTGGAGGAGCCTTGCCTCATCCCAAAGGCAGGAGAAGAGGGGGAGGCGGTGGACGAAGCAGCTTTGGGGCCAATTTGCCAGCCACTTCCCTGGGCCCAGCCTGGTCTTCTCCTGCCTTATTTATAGTGTTTTTTGCACTACAAATAAGATAGGTGCAGTGTGCATAGGAATTCATTCATGTATTTTTCAAATTATAATCTGGCCCTCTAAATTATATGATTACTCTCTAGTCTCAACATTTCCTGAATTCTAATGCTTATATAAGGCTTGAGGGGAGAGCTGAAGTCAGCCTGCCAGTTGCTCACAAATTTGGAAGCGTAATTGATAAAGAAAGCAGACTCAAAAGAACTCCAAAGTACATACAAATCAGATGAGAACATGATAGAGAACCCTAAATCCCTCAAAACTAAAGACATAAAGATGAGGAATCGTGCTTGTTTACAATAAACTATAATCACATCCAATCTTCTTTATGCTAGCACAACTAATATTTTAACTAAGCCAATTCACAAATAGCTGTACACCTCTGTGCAGATACATCTACAATTTATGTAATCCTGAATACCCAAAGGGCAGCTTTTCCCAATCAGATGCTTTCCAGATGTGTTGGGATTGCAATCCCATCATCCACAGTTAAAGGCGGAGGCATATACCTGAACCCACATTTTCTTCGTTGCTTTACCACTGTTTGCTTTTAAAACAATCTTGAAGACGTAAGAGCGGGGCCACCGGTTGTTACTTCTCTAATGTATTATTTTTATGCAAAACATCATGAGCATTAATTCACCCCAAATTACTAAAATTACCAACTTCTGGTAGAAAAGAGTTTCTTCAAAAGACTTCTAATCAACACTCTAGAAACAACACCCTAGAATCACTTTCATTTAATTCTCCTACTTAGCGCCTGCAGAGCAATTTTCATGTTATTCCACCAATTTCCTTTCAAAGATTTAATCCTTTTATTTTAGGTTGTTGCAGAGAGCAATTTGTACTGAAATGCTGGATATCACATGGCTGGATCTTTTTTTAAAATAAAAAAAATCATATAAGATGATTTGAACAGAATATTTTCAAAGAAGATTGTGACGCATAAAATACAGGGTTAGTCAAAATGAATAGGCCAATAAGAAAATTAATTTTAGACAAATGTATGTTTACTGTAACCAAACCACAGCTACGTAGCGACAGATAAACTATCAAAGTTTTGTCTCACCTTCAGAGATGTTCGATATGGGCGCCCCGTGTGACACGGCAGATGTCCAAGCGATAGTCCAGTTCATTCCACATCCGTTGCAGCACATCCGACGTAATGGCATCGAATGCAGCAACGTCTGGGAAGGTGTTCGTTGAGGTCCTAACCCTAACCCTAACCCTAACCCTAACCCTAACCCTAACCCTAACCCTAACCCTAACCCTATCCCTAACCCTAACCCTACCCTAACCCTAACCCTAACCCTATCCCTAACCCTAACCCTAACCCTATCCCTAACCCTAACCCTAACCCTAACCCTATCCCTAACCCTAACCCTAACCCTACCCTATCCCTATCCCTAACCCTATCCCTAACCCTAACCCTATCCCTAACCCTAACCCTAACCCTAACCCTATCCCTATCCCTATCCCTAACCCTATCCCTATCCCTAACCCTAACCCTAACCCTAACCCTAACCCTAACCCTAACCCTTGAAATTCTCACTGGACCGTAATTACTGACATTGTTTTAGCAAATGTCATCACACAAAACGCCTTCTCTTTGCTTGATTCCGCCATTTTGAAAACAGCGACCCCTAGCGACGCCTAGCGGCATTAACGTACATGTGTGTTGCTCAAAAAAAACTTTGATAGTTTATCTGTCGCTACGTAGCTGTGGTTTGGTTACAGTAAACATACATTCGTCTAAAATTAATTTTCTTATTGGCCTATTCATTTTGACTAACCCTGTATATTTAATGTATGGTTTGAATGGATTTGTATGAAAGGTGTATGAATGGGGCCTAATTGGACTGAAGACACAATTCTAAAATAATGAAGCCTGGAAAACAACTATACTCAGGAATTATATTTGAAAGTTGATGAACTGTGACAAATGAACTGTTGAACTTTTAGAGGAAATTATCTCTGTTTACATTGCCAAAGACAATCGCTCTTTTAAGTAAGAAAGTCAACACAAGGCTCCTTATGTTTACCAACACCAATTAGGAAGAGTCAACATCTGCCAGGAACTGAGAGGAAGCCAGGCTGGAAAAAACATCATTCATTTACAACTTTGGAACATCAGCAAGAAATATCACTATATAAGAGACCTTATTACAATCCAAAACTGTGACAGATAGCTATGCTGTTCACCCGCCATGCTCTACTGAGAGAGATGGTGTACCTTGGGAGTGGCAGATCTGCTATGGGAAAGCAGCATTCTGGTCACTTGCCTCCTTTTTTCAAGGGAAGAGAAAGAAGTTCAATTTTGGAATATGCATTTTGGTGTTTTAGAAGTTTTGGAAGTTTTAGAACTGTGTGTTGGCAAGCTGCAGGGTAAGCAGGGTCTGGCCTAAGCAGGCGCTTCTCCAAGGAAGGAAAAAGAATATGGTAATATTTGGATGAACAGAGGCTGGATGGCCATCTGTCAGGGGTGATTTCAGCTCTTACTGCCTACTACAGGGAAAACCAGCTGATCCCAACCCATCTAAAACACAGACATGTGCCTTTCATCTCAAGAACAGAGAAGCATCCCGAGCTCTGAAGATCACCTGGGAAGGAATCCCACTGGAGCATTGCAGCACCCAAATACCTGGGAGTCACTCTGGACCGTGCTCTTACCTACAAGAAGCACTGCCTGAACATCAAGCAAAAAGTGGGTGCTAGAAACCATATCATACGAAAGCTGACTGGCACAACCTGGGGATCACAACCAGACACAGTGAAGACATCTGCCCTTGCGCTATGCTACTCTGCTGCTGAGTATGCATGCCCAGTGTGGAACACATCTCACCATACTAAAACAGTGGATGTGGCTCTTAATGAGACATGCCACATGATCACGGGGTGTCTGCGCCCTACACCACTGGAGAAATTACACTGCTTAGCCGGTATTGCACCACCTGACATCCGCCGGGAAGTAGCAGCCAATAGTGAAAGGACCAAGGCAGAGACATCTCCAGCTCATCCCCTGTTTGGGTATCAGCCAGCACGTCAACGACTTAAATCTAGAAATAGTTTTCTAAGATCTACAGAGACACTCGCTGGAACACCTCAGCAAGCGAGAGTCCAAAGGTGGCAGGCTCAAACCCAGAACCTCAACCAATGGCTGATACCAAATGAGAGACTCCCCCTGGGCACACAGAAGACTGGGCGACTTGGAAGGCACTGAACAGACTGCGCTCTGGCACCACGAGATGCAGATCCAACCTTCAGAAATGGGGCTACAAAGTGGAATCCACGACATGCGAGTGCGGAGAAGAGCAAACCACAGACCACCTGCTGCAATGCCTGAGCCCTGCCACATGCACAATGGAGGACCTTCTTGCAGCAACACCAGAGGCACTCCAAATGGCCAGATACTGGTCAAAGGACATTTAATCAACTACCAAACTCACAAGTTGTGTATTTTTCTGTCTGTTTGCTTTGTTTCTGTTAGAAATGTAATATATAATGGACTGGTTGCTCTGACACGACAAATAAATAGGGGTGATTTGAATGCAATATTCCTGCTTCTTGATTTGAATACGATATTCCTGCTTTAAACAGAGGCTGGATGGCCATCTGTCAGGGGTGATTTTAATGCAATATTCCTGCTTCTTGGCAGGGGGTTGGACTGGATGGCCCATGAGGTCTCTTCCAACTCTTTGATTCTATGATCTATGAATGAGGATGAATGAATGTGTATGGGTAATGTGAATGTTGAGTAAAAATGTAATTCCCCTCTTGTCTGTTTGTTAGACAACGTAACTGTAGGTTGTTTGTGAATTGAATGTGGTTACATATAATCTATATGTTGTGGTTCGGCCAGATGAAGATGAGGGGTTTGGGGGTTCAAGACCTGATGGTTCTGTAGGTAAGCAAACAGAGGGGGCTTTAGAGCAAGATGGTTCTGTAGCTGAGGGAATGGAGGGGTTTTTGGAGTAAGATGCAGTTGCTAAGACACAATGTGAAAGTGGAACTGTTTTGGACAACAACAGGCAGGGAGAAGAGGATAACATTAACTCATCCACTGGCTACCAGTTTGCTATCGGGCACAATTCAAAGTGCTGGCTTTGTCCCAGAAAGCCCTAAACGGCCCCAGCCCAAATTACCTGTCCGAACGCATCTCTCCCTATGAACCATTGTGGAGATTAAGATCCTCCGGGAAGGCCCTGCTTTCCGTCCCACCATTGTCACAGGCACGATTGGTGGGGATGAGAGACAGGGTCTTCTCGGTGATTGCTCCCCACTATGGAACTCCCTTCCTGGTGAGAACAGGTCGACCCCCTCTCCCTGTCCTTTAGAAGGATGGTAAAAACTTGGCTGTGGGACCAAGCTTTTGGGACAGGGCAATAAAGCAGCAATAGAAAAGATTACCAGGCCAATTAGATTTGACGTGGATGACTAGGATGGTTTTAAATGGTGTATTTTAATATTTTGATAAATATTTTTAATTTTTATGTATGTATATAAGAATTTGTGTCCTGGCATTGAATGTTTGCTGTATATATGCTGTGCTCCGCCCTGAGTCCTCTTCAGGGTGAGAAGGGCGGAATATAAATGTTTTAAATAAATAAATAAATCATCCAAAAAAGCAGCTGGCTTAGACAGAGATACTAGGCTGCTTCTGAGGGGATAGAGAGTCAGGTGCAGGAAAATCCATGAGAAAGAGAGGCAAAAGCAGGCCTCTCAAGGTCAAAGGAATGTGTTCATGTTTTGCAGTCCTTAAATTAGTGAGAGAGCTGTTAGGATTTTAGATCAAGCAACATCACTACTGGAGTGAGAAACTCCTGTGTTGTTCCTAGTTCGTGTCGTAGTTCAAGATCCAAGAATTATGCTCCGTGTTTTATGGATTTACCTTTAGATTCCTGACCATGTTTTGCTCCTTGTTTTCTGGATTCTTGTTCATGTTTTAAGCATTGTTTTCCGGATTTACCTATTGCCTTTGGGACTTGCTTCCTTTATTAACTCTTGGATTTTTACCCTTCTATTTGCCTTCGGCCCTTTTTATATGTGTTTTTATCAACAAACTGTTTATTACCATGTTTGGTTTCTTGGTGAATGCTGTGAGCAAGGTGAACTCCTGCTGATGTGCAACATAATAGGTCTGTATGTCTAAATGATGTTCTGTAAAAGTTTTGATACCCTTTCTCATACTGGAAAATTACAAGAAAAAGAACATATGCTTTAAAGTTATTGAAAAGTTATTCATAACAAGATTGTCTTTTTAATTGATTTTTTGGGGAAGTAATTTTCAAAGATAGATGCAGCCTTCCTCCCCAAACTAGAATAAAACCAGATACTTAACACGAAAATATGACTGTAAACTATGACAATTGATATTAACCCTATCGGATTATATTCTACTTACTCCTTTAAACCTCTATGTCACATGGGCAACCTTCCAAAACAGTTCTCGAAATGTTCATATGCGAAAAGAGCAGCTAGAAAAATCTAATCCAATAGAGACTATTTCAGTTCTGGACTAACAAGGATAAGTCTTAGGCAAAGCTCAATAGGTTGAAAAGATACGCTCAAATATACAACTGAGTCATGCTAAGAAGCAGTAGAGATTCAACTTGAATTCATTTGGGGAAATATCATGAGGCTAGCATGACGACAATGTGTAGACATACATTGTTGAAAGCATGTTACTTACCTTCTGCATGAGTGAATGAGACACTGAGGAGGTTTCCAGTGTAAACACCTGAAACAGAAAGAAAGGAAGATCCTGATGGCAACAATAGTTTAGTCACTCTTAACAATGAAAAACCAGTACTGGCAGTCTCCAAGTTACAAACATCTGACTTACAAACGAGCCATAGTTTTAAAAGGGGGCTGAGGCAATGAGAAGTGAGAGAAATCTACCCCTCGGAAGGGAAATCCACACCTGAAAGAGTTATTATCATGAGGAAAACATGTCCCAGCTGAAGCTTTATCCCCAATTCTTGTTTCCACAACAAGCCATTTTTTTCCAAAATACAATGATCACTGGGGCAGAAAAAACCTACAACAACCCAGTGATTCTGGCCATGAAAGCCTTTGACAATACATTGAACATCTCTACGGGGAGAAACTGTTCCAAGACACACGAAAATTGGAAAAACTAAGGACCAGGAAAGCACATCTACTGTGCTCCCTGACTTTCCTTCTACGCTGCAGAGACACAGATACCATCCCACAATTTCTCGCAGCCAAAAGGACTTTCAAAACACCACAGGCTCACCGGATCTATGGCTGCCTGGAACGCAACCTCTTACGAGAGAGAATTCACACCATCCGCAAAGAACTACAAGAGTCCTTTGTCTCACCCTGGTCATTCCACAGATATATAAACCCTTTTCCCTAGTCCCAACAGACCTCACTACCTCTGAGGATGCTTGCCATAGATGCAGGCGAAACGTCAGGAGAGAATGCCTCTAGACCATGGCCATATAGCCCAAAAAAAAACCTACAACAACCCAGTGACTCCGGCCATGAAAGCCTTCGACAATACATCTCCAGATTCTAGTTTGGAAAACAGTCTGACACCTACTAAAGTTAATGAGAAGTCAGATAAGCAGAGTCGGCAGCTGGAGATTAGCCAGAATCAACAAGAGGCCCAATGTTTACGTAGATCCAAAAGAATTCGTCAATTAAAGTCAAAGACTGGGGGAAAACGAAAACAGTTTTTGGGATTTAAGGTTTGCCTGTAGAAAATCTTGTCAGATCAGGCATCGTTTGGAAACCAAGTTCTTGTGCCATGGAAGTCTTGTTCAAGGGATCTTGTTTCTGTGGAGTTTTGGATTGTCTTTGCATCCTGCTTGATTCCTGTCTGGATTTAATGCTGTCGTGGATTGCCTGTATTTCTTATCATAGAATCATAGAATCAAAGAGTTGGAAGAGACCTCATGGGCCATCCAGTCCAACCCCATTCTGCCAAGAAGCAGGAATATTGCATTCAAATCACCCCTGACAGATGACCATCCAGCCTCTGTTTAAAAGCTTCCAAAGAAGGAGCCTCCACCACACTCTGGGGCGGAAAGTTCCACTGCTGAACGGCTCTCACAGTCTGGAAGTTCTTCCTTATGTTTAGATGGAATCTCCTTTATTGTAGTTTGAAGCCATTGTTCCTTGTCCTAATCTCCATGGAAGCAGAAAACAAGCTTGCTCCCTTCTCCCTGTGGCTTCCTCTCACGTATTTATACATGGCTATCATATCTCCTCTCATCCTTCTCTTCTTCAGGCTAAACATGCCCAGCTCCTTAAGCCGCTCCTCATAGGGCTTGTTATCCAGACCCTTGATCCTTTGAGTCCCACTCCTCTGGACACATTCCAGCTTGTCAATATCTCTCTTGAATTATGGTGCCCAGAATTGGACGTTGCTTTGGGTTACTACTGTTTATGGACTAATACTTTTTGGAACCTTCTCATTTTCTTACAAGCATTTATTTCTTCTGGCTATTTACTAAGCTTTAATAAAAGAAGATTTGATTCTCTTCGTGTGGTGTGTTTTAAGTCAGAGGGCTTCTTCTGTACCTGGAGTGCAACACTTATTTACTTTGGGCCCATTTATCCATAAAAGCATGAAATCTTCCAAAAAGAGATTTTGAAAAAACAACCATCACCATTAAGTTAAGTCCTATTAAGCATTAGTTTAATAGGAGCAAAAGTGTTAAGCCACTACAGCACAGATCCACGCAGATCCCCAATTTACATAATCCCAGTTCCATCTTGGCCATAGAAATATATAATATTGGGACACAGAAAGATAAATGGATACAGAACAATGAGCGTTCGACTGAATGGTTAATCCAGCGGGAGCAGGCCTGATTAATGAATGCTACTTAAATCAACAATTACGACACTTTCATTGATTCCATTTATCTATTTCAATGGGTCCACAATGGGAATTTTTGCCTTAAATGCCGCACCATCTTTTGTGCCTGCAAAACATAATCGAAGACGTCCTGTAAGGGAATTAACTGCACAAAGAAGCAGCAATCTAAAAAGCAGGGCCCAGCTTACCATACATAAAAAAATAAAAATCATGAATGCTGCTTAACTCGGCAGGAACTAATAGATTAGTTATTTTCGCCCCAGTCCGTCAAGATTACAAACTATTGTCATTATTTTATATGAGCAACGCAGTCCTGGATGCTTTTGTTCAGCTGAAGACAAGTGCAAAGACATCTTGGAAAAGTTGAGAGTTTTTGGAGGTGGATTTGAAACAGCAATGAATGAGAGGGCACCATATCTGAGTTCTGGGGCAGCACAAAAAGGTAAACAGAGCCATTTTCAAAGAGCAGGAATGCCATGAAAGTCACAGGATATATATATCAGCATTCTTATGATTATGAATATTTCCTCTTCAAAGAAAGGTGTGAAATACATAAATAAAAATATAATATATATTATATATATTATATATTAAAATATATATTAAAATATATATTTATATATTATATATTACTATATAATCTATATAAATAAAAATGTAATGTTTGCTTGTGGGATTAATATAACTCAAAAACCACTGGGCGAATTGACACCACATTTGGACACAACACACCTACTAACCCAAGGAGTGACCATCACTCAAAAAGAATTGATTTTGTCATTTGGGAGATGTAGTTGCTGGGATTTATAGTTCGCCTACAATCAGAGCATTCTGAATTCCACCAATGCTGGAATTGAACTAAATGCGGCATACAGGACTCCCATAACCAACAGAAAACGCTAGAAGGGTTTGGTGGGCACTGAACTTGAGTTTGGGAGATGTAGTTCACCTACATCCTGGGAGCACTGTGGACTCAAGCAATGATGGATCTGGACCAAACTTGGAATGAATATTCAATATGCCCAAATATGAACACAGATGGAGTTTGGGGGGAAAATAGACCTTGACATTTGGGAGTTGTAGTTACTGGGATTTATAGTTCACCTACAGTCAAGGAGCATTCTTGTCAGGTTTTGCAATGTATTGTAATGTAATATAGCTGAGTCATGCACTGCTAATGGGCTTCTATTGGAAATGCTGAGTCATGCATTAACTGTATATAGGGAATCATTTGGGGAATGTGTTCTGGCCTAGTCCAGGTGATTGTGAATGATGTAATCCTGGGTCTGAGTTAAGTTAATGAGTTGGGAACCAATCAGAGATTGCTATGTGTAATTGTATAGAATTGTATATAAGGAAGTCATGTACAGTGTATATTTTTCCTTGGGCTGTGATGTTGTTCGTCGAAGGCTATATGTAATTAAAAGAACCTGTCTGCTAAAACAAGATATAACTGTATGCTGTGGTAAGTTTGTAATGCCATCTAGACTGGGGGAAAAATAATAGTAAAACTGACAATGGCCGGGCATGTGCTCAAGTGTCTGTAAAAGGTTCCAGAGTGACTGCAGGCTGTGGGAGCAGTTGACTGAAAATACTGTGCAGGAAGAAGCTACTGGAAAGCGCTGAAGTTGTGCAACTGATCTGCTGCTGAATTGTGAAGTTAATCTCAACAATTCTGAACCCCACCAACGACAGAATTGGGGCAAACTTCCCACACAGAACCCCTATGACCAACAGAAAATACTTAAGGCCATCCAGTCCAACTCCCTTTACCAGGGCAAGAAAACGTAATCAAATCCTTCCTGACAAAGAGCCATCCAGTCATAGATAGAGATAGATATATGTGATTCACACATACACACAGATATAGTATCATAGATTTGAAAGGGACCCCTAAAGAAGGACTATGATATGTTGCATGTTCCAGAGTGGGCAAACCAGACAATCTCCACATCAACACTGACAAAGAAATAGCAAGAAATACTGTTGACCCACAATCATAAAGACATTACATATATTAGAAACCAACACTTTCGCATTACTTTATTTTCCAGATCACCAGACTGGGCCACAGCAACGCGTGGCAGGGGACGGCTAGTGATCAGATATAAAACAAAAATGAAAATTCTAAACAAAAAAGGATTGAGCAACGAATAAGGCATATAGAAAAACAATAGAATATCTTACCTCTTCTGCTCCCAAATGATGAGCCAAGATAGGAAGGAGGCTGCCATCACTGACGCTGAGGCAAATGCTGTTCGGCTTCAAAACCTTCAGGAGAAAAAGAAAAGCTATCAGCATTTCTCACTTTAAAGTAAAGGGAAAGGTTTCCCCTGACATTAAGTCTAGTTGTGTCCAACTCATCTCCATTTCTAAGCCGAAGATCCGGAGTTGTCCGTAGACACCTCCAATGTCATGTGGCCAGCATGACTGCATGGAGCACCGTTATCTTCCCACAGAAGCAGAACCTATCGATCTACTCACATTTGCATGTTTTCGAACTGCTAGGTTGGCAGATGCTGAGGCTAATAGTGGGAGCTCCCTATGCTCTCCGGCTTCTAACTGCTGACCTTTTGGTCAGCAAGTTCAGCAGCTTAGTGGTTTAATCCACCGTGCCACCGGGGGCCCCAAGAGAACTCCTAAGTACATACAAATCAGATGACAACATGACAGAGAACGCTCAATTCCTCAAAACTAAAGACATAGAGAATCATTGGGACTTTGGTGCAGCTGGCTGGGAGTCAGCTGCATTAAGATCACTACTGACAGAAAGGTCATAATTTCCCTTTATCTCACTTCCTGTTGTCCTAGCCCTGTTCTTTACTAGGAGTCGTTTGCAAGTTGAGGACTGTCTGTATTGTGAAAGAAATCTAAATGTTTGCCACTACCCAGTCTGTTTTCACCCCAGAGCTAACCAAGTTTGGCTATACAGGAAGATGAAAAACAAAACAGAGTTTAGAAGAGCCAAATATATATTTACACGCTTCCTATCCAATGCCCTGGCATTCAGAACTAGAGGCAGGAAAGAAATATATTACACTTAGAAAAACCTAGGAATAACTAGTAAAATATATAAGATAATAATTGAAATAAAGAAAGGAAAAACAAAAAAATAACATTCTCAAGAAGGTCTGGAAAGAATATTTAGGGATAAAAATAAATGAAACAGAGTGGCAACAATTATGGAGACAAAGACATCTAAAAGAATTATCAATACGGGTTAAAGAAAATTATTATAAGTTAATATGGAAATGGTACTTAACACCAGTAAAAATAGCAAATATAAATAAAAACTATTCAAAAATTGCTGGAGAGGATGTCAAGAATCAGGAACATATATACATATGTGGTGGCAATGTAAATATGTAAATAATTTTGGGGGGAAAGTATTTAGAGAAATAGAAGATATAATGATTATTAAAATAGAAAGAAGTCCTAGTATAGTTTTATTATCATTATATAATAATAAACAACTAAAAAAGAGGATAAAAATGTGATAACAATAGCAAGACTGCTTATAGAAAGGAACTGGAAAAAAGAAATAAATATACAAATAGAGGAGTGGTACAAGGAAGTCTGGAAATTGGCAATACATGATAAGCTGACGTGTATATTAAAAGTTAAAAGAGGTATACGGAAAGTGATTTTGATGATGTATGGAGACAATTTATTGAAAAAAGGATTAAAAAATAAAGAAGGAAAGTTACCTCCACAAAAAGAATTGAAATTTTGGACAGATGATATGTAAAAGCTGTGGCTTGGGGGGGGGGGGGAGCACAGCGGTGAGGGACAGATAATATGTATAAGCAGAAAAATTACACTAGATGCCAAAAGTATGATAGGCTGTATTGAATAATATGTATCTGCTATAAAAGAAACAATGTATAACAAATGTATTAGACCATGATAAAATAATAAAAAAATATTATTAAAAAAACTTAGAAAAACCTACTCACTTTCTGCAGAGCTTCCAAATACAGAGATGTTCGATTTTGATCGTTCAGTTCTCCAAACCGTGGCCGGTTCCACAGCATGTGGGCCTGGCACCTACACACAGGACTCTCAACAGCAACGTCGCCTTCTTCCGCTCTGAAAACATTGGGATGAATGCAGTCAACCGATCTGTGTGTTTGCCCTCAACCGTACTTGATGTGACTGTCTGAGGTAGTAAAATACACAGATCCGTGCTCTATTTGAAGTGTGTTCATTTCATTGATCAAGGTGTGTATTTAGATCAGGAGTCCCATGATGTTCTTTAAAGGTAAACACTGACATTTAGTCTAGTTGAGTCTGACTCTGGCCGGTGGTGCTCATGTCCACTTCTAAGCCAAAGAGCCAGCGTTGTCCGTAGACACCTCCTAGGTCATGTGGCCAGCATGACTGCATGGAATGCTGTTACCTTCCCACAGAGTGGTACCTATTCGTCTACTCATATTTGTTTGTTTTTGAACTGCTAGGTTGGAAGAAGCTGGGGCTAACAGTGGAAGCTCACCCCACTCCCCAGATTCAAACCACCGAATTTTTGGTCATTAAGTTCAGCTGGTGGTTCTTTACATCCCAGTAAATAGGTAAGGCTACAAAGTAGGAAAGACTGGATCCCGTAAAAGCCAGAAAACATGGCTCTGTATTGTACTTATCACTTGTAATAATAACAACAACAACAACAACTTTATTTATACCCCGCTCCATCTCCCCCAGGGGGACTCGGGGCGGCTTACATGAGGCCACGCCCATCAATACAATAAACACAATATTACACAAAAGCATAACACAATATAACACAAAGCATAACCTTTGAAGTATTCTGTAATCTTATGGACCTTTGCTTCAGGTTCTACAAAAAAGAATACAAACTCAGCCTGTTGTTGCTTTGCTTTCACCAAGTTTGGAGGAAGCCTTAACATCACATTTCATCTTATTCAATACCACCGAACTATGAGTGTGAAAAAGCAGGAAAAATGATACACAGCAATTATTGTGGTTCCTCTGATTTATACCCAGGTTTGGAAAGAACCTGTCACAAACACCTTGTTGAAGGCAATGGGTGTCCAGATCTGTAGCTTTCTGGAGAAAATATTATCTCACAAACAAAGTGGGAAGTCTTTATTTCTAAAAGCATACATTGGGGCATGAAACAAAATTCCAACTGACAGTTGATTTCCTTCACACCTCTTATCCCTCACCCTGGCCCCTCCCCTTCATTGCTCCATGAAAACCCTCTCCCTTGTTTCAAATATACACAAACCAGATATATTTCCCCATACCAAAAAAGGGAAATGCGAAAGACTGCTCCAACTTCCGTACAGTGGCCCTTATTTCTCATGCCAGTAAGGTAATGCTCAAGATCCTGCAAGGAAGACTCCAGCAATACATGGAGAGAGAGTTGCCAGATGTTCAAGCTGGGTTCAGAAAAGGCAGAGGAACAAGAGACCAGATTGCCAATATCCGCTGGATAATGGAGAAAGGCAGGGAGTTTCAGAAAAACATCTACTTCTGCTTCATTGACTATTCTAAAGCCTTTGACTGTGTGGATCATAATAAATTGTGGCAAGTTCTTAGTGGGATGGGCATCCCAAGCCACCTTGTCTCTCTCCTGAGGAATCTGTACAAGGACCAAGTAGCAACAGTAAGCACTGACCACGGAACAACAGACTGGTTCAAGATTGGGAAAGGCGTACGGCAAGGCTGCATCCTCTCACCCAACCTTTTTAACTTGTATGCAGAACACATCATGCGATGTGCAGGGCTTGATTAATGCAAGGCTGGGGTTAAGATTGCTGGAAGAAACATTAACAACCTCAGATATGCAGATGACACCACTCTGATGGCCGAAAGCGAGGAGGAGCTGAGGAGCCTTCTAATCAACGTGAAAGAAGAAAGCGCAAAAGCCGGGTTGCAGCTAAACATCAAAAAAACCAAGATTATGGCAACAAGAATGATTGACAACTGGAAAATAGAGGGAGAAACCGTGGAGGCCGTGACAGACTTTGTATTTCTAGGTGCAAAGATTACTGCAGATGCAGACTGTAGCCAGGAAATCAGAAGTCGCTTACTTCTTGGGAGGAGAGCAATGTCCAGTCTCGATAAAATAGTGAAGAGTAGAGACATCAGACTGGCAACAAAGATCCGCCTAGTCAAAGCCATGGTATTCCCTGTAGTCACCTACGGATGTGAGAGCTGGACCTTAGGGCAGGCTGAGCGAAGGAAGATCGATGCTTTTGAGCTGTGGTGTTGGAGGAAAGTCCTGAGAGTGCCTTGGACTGCGAGAAGATCCAACCAGTCCATCCTCCAGGAAATAAAGCCCGACTGCTCACTGGAGGGAAGGATACTAGAGACAAAGTTGAAGTACTTTGGCCACATCATGAGGAGACAGCAAAGCCTAGAGAAGACAATGATGCTGGGAAAGTGGAAGGTAAAAGGAAGAGGGGCCGACCAAGGGCAAGATGGATGGATGGCATCCTTGAAGTGACTGGACTGACCTTGAGGGAGCTGGGGGTGGTAACGGCCGACAGGGAGCTCTGGCGTGGGCTGGTCCATGAGGTCACGAAGAGTCGGAGACGACTGAACGAATGAACAACAACAAGATATAAGGCATGGTCTAATTTCCTGGCTTCACACAAAATCAAAAAATAAAGTCATGACAATGGGTTCCTTTGTCTAATAACAGGTGTAACTAAATCACATGGTGTTTGTAGCTTGACAAAAGGTAACATCACTTGTTTTGCCACACAATAGTAAGTTCTTAGTTTCTCTTACTGTTACCAGGCTCTGTAAATAGTCAAGGAGGAATATGGTTCAAGTGTTGGTTTGTGCTATTCATTAAGACGCGGTTGTTTCAGTGTGCCTTCCCAGAATAAGGAAACTCCCAGCAATATGTCCCTAAATGCACTTTTACAGGGGTAGGGAACCTTTGGCCCTCCAGCTGTGGTGGACTTCAACTCTCACAATTCCTTGAGGCTCGGCATTCTCCCCAAAGGCTTACCTTGGCCCAATGCCGAGCCTCAAGGAATTGTGGGAGTTGAAGTCCACCACAGCTGGAGGGCCAAAGGTTCCCTACCCCTGATCTAGGATTATCTACATGCTCTATCCCTCTCCAAAATTTCTATCCTGTTTATATGTCATCTGGTCACACCTAGCATTATTTTTAAATGTTTAATTAGTACATTGGCCCTGCCATAGGTTTTTAAACGTGGCTGTGTTATTGTTAATGTTTATTGCTATTTTCTGTTTATGAGTTTATTTATTGTTTGTATTACTATTGCTATTGTTTTTGTTGGAGCTATCTTCATAGACCTGTCAGCAGCCTATGATTCTGTGAACCACCGCCTCCTCCTGAGAAAAATGTATAATATCACAAAGGACTACCACCTCACCCGCCTCATAGGAAACCTGCTACAAAACAGGAGCTTTTTTGTTGAGTTCCAGGGCCAGAGAAGCAGATGGCGGAAACAGAAGAACGGCCTACCTCAGGGGAGCGTGCTTGCTCCATCCATGTTCAACATCTACACAAATGACCAGCCACTGCCAGAAGGGACAGAGAGTTTCATCTATGCTGATGATCGTGCCATCACTGCTCAAGCAGGGAGTTTTGAGATGGTAGAACAGAAGCTCTCTGAAGCTCTAGGTGCTCTTACTGCCTATTACAGGGAAAACCAGCTGATCCCCAACCCATGTAAAACACAGACATGTGCCTTTCACCTTAAGAACAGACAAGCATCCCGAGCTCTGAGGATTACCTGGGAAGGAATCCCACTGGAGCATTGCAGCACACCCAAATATCTGTGAGTCACTCTGGACCGTGCTCTGACCTACAAGAAGCACTGCTTAAACATCAAGCAAAAAGTGGGTGCTAGAAACAATATCATACGCAAGCTGACTGGCACAACCTGGGGATCACAACCAGAAACAGTGAAGACATCTGCCCTTGCGCTATGCTACTCTGCTGCTGAATATACATGCCCAGTGTGGAACAAATATCACCACACTAAAACAGTGGATGTGGCTCTTAATGAGACATGCCGCATTATTACGGGGTATCTGCGCCCTACACCACTGGAGAAATTACACTGCTTAGCCGGTATTGCACCACCTGACATCCGCCGGGAAGTAGCAGCCAATAGTGAAAGGACCAAGGCAGTGACATCTCCAGCTCATCCCTTTTTTGGGTATCAGCCAGCACGTCAACAACTTAAATCAAGAAAAAGTTTTCTAAGATCTACAGAGACACTCGCTGGAATACCTCAGCAAGCGAGAGTCCAAAAGTGGCAGGCTCAAACCCAGAATCTCAACCAGTGGCTCATACCAAATGAGAGACTCCCCCCTGGGCACAAAGAAAACTGGGCAACTTGGAAGGCGCTGAACAGACTGCACTCTGGCACCACGAGATGCAGAGCCAACCTCAAGAAATGGGGCCACGAAGTGGAATCCACGACATGCAAGTATGGAGAAGAGCAAACCACTGACCACCTGCTGCAATGCAACCTGAGCCCTGCCACATGCACAATGGAGGACCTCCTTGCGGCAACACCAGAAGCACTCCAAGTGGCCAGATACTGGTCAAAGGACATTTAATCAACTACCAAACTCACAAAATTTGTATTTTGCCTGTTTGTTTGCTTTGTTCTGCTAGAAATGTAATATAATTGACTGGTTGCCCTGACACGACAAATAAATATTGTTTTTGTTGTTGTATTGTGGGCTCGGCCTCATGTAAGCTGCACCGAGTCCCTTGGGGAGATGGTAGTGGGGTACAAATAAAGTATTATTATTATTATTATTATTATTATTATTATTATTATTAAGACATCTGGTTGGTGTTGAAACCTTAACACAGTGGATGGGGAAAGAGTGCAATTTTTGCTACAGTTACTAGCTTGTATTTGAGTTGTATTATAGTTATGGTCATATTTATTATTTTTTTATTGATTATTATGGTGTACTTCCCAAGTCCAATATTCTTTGGTTCACATTCCCCATGCACTTCAGCATCTCATAGTTACCTGCCTTTTTGAAGCTTATACCACACAGAATAATCATCATGAAAGGCAGTCAGGTTCACACTCTGGCCCTGGACGATAGGATCCTCATGAGGAAGGAAATACACACACTGCATCCAGTGATCTCGCCACTACAAAGGAAGCATGGAGAGAAACCGCAGCATAAAAAAATGTTTATAGCACTGATGTTTAAACTAGGCCACCCCACCAACATTTCTCCTTCTTTCAGTGTTAGAAACTGAAGTTTGCAATAGAGACATGTTAGCAGTGAATGCAGGACTAGTCACCCATTTCAGAAGAAATGGCTGCATGAAAACAATAAAGGCCATGAGGTTGCTCCCTTCTCCACAATAGCCATTAAGAATCATGTTTAAACCCAGTCTGACTATAAAAACTACAGAGTGAGGCAGCATAACTTGGTTTTTTCAAAATCTGGAAAGCAGGCCGGTCACTCCAAATCCCTCCTAACTGAGATGGTCCTGTTCCTGTTTAATTGCTCTGTTTCCATGATACCTCCTGTGCCATTTATGTTCCTATTCACTTTACTGAACTACTTACCTTTTAATCATTTTGTATGTTGGCCTCCTTCCCCCCTCCAAAATGGGGTTGGTGTTGCTTGATGCTTGTTTATTACTGTTATTGTGTTTTGTGTCTTTTTAATTTGTAACTTGCTGTTGTTTTGCTTTTAATTGTATGTTGCCTGGGCTTGGCCCCATGTAAGCCGCCCCTAGTCTCCTTGGGGAGATGGAGGTGGGGTAGAAAAATAAAGTTCTTCTTCTTCCTCCTCCTCTCTTCCTCCTCCTCGTCCTCCTCTTCTTCTTCTTCTCTGGAAGTGTTCCCTCAAATTTATTTATTTTATTTATTTATTTACAGTTTTTATATTCCGCCCTTCTCACCCCGCAGGGGACTCAGGGCGGATTACAGTGTACACATATATGGCAAACATTCAATGCCAGTTTGACAAACAACATATACAGACAATACACAGAGGCTATTTAACTTTTTTCTGGCCGCCAGGGGAGTTGCTGCTTTCATCGTCCACCAGCGACACCGATGAAGTTCTTCCGCATTCCACATTCGCCTGAGTCTTTTCTTTATGGCCTCATAAATTAGTTAATTTGGCCTCCCACACAAGGTGGTACCTTATTTTCCTACTTGACAGATACAACTGTCTTTCGGGTTGCAAAGGTCGACAACAGGCTACACAGTGGCTGGACTCCCACTCCAACCCGGGCTGGCTTCGAACTCATGACCTTTTGGTCAGAGTGATCTTAATGCACCTGACACTCAGCCAGCTGCGCCACAATCCCGGTGCAAAACAAGGGGCCAAATCTGGAGAGTGGGCCGGCCACTCCAAATCCCCCCGAATTGAGATGAGACGCTCTGGGAAGTGTTCCCTCAAAACAGCCATTGATGCTCTTGAAGTGTGTGCAGTTGCACCGTCTTGTTGGAACCAAATGTCCCCTGAGTCCAACCCATCTAGCCGTGGGGAAAAAAAATCCTGTAGCATGTTTACATACCGGTCTGAATTCACTGTCACTGCGACTTCATTTTCCTCAAAGAACCAGGGACCAATAATTCCAGCTGAGGAAATGGCACACCACACTGTGATTTTAGGTGAATGCAAAGGCCTTGGATGCAATTCTCGAGGATTGTTGTCAGCCCAGCAGCGCATGTTTTGTTTGTTGACGGATCCACACAAATGAAAATGGGCTTCATCACTAAAAAAAACAATAGCGTCCTCAGGAATGACTTCGAAAAGAACCTCACATGCGTTCCTCCGAGAACTGAAGTCACGTTCAGAAAGTTCCTGCACAATCGCCATCTTGTAAGGATTAAAATGAAGATCATCGTGAAGAATTCTCCTCACAGAATGATCGGAAATTCCAAGGGCAGACGCATGTTTGCGCGCAGAATGCCGTGGTGATCGCAACGTTGAAGCTCTCACTGCCTCAATGTTCTCAGGTGATGTAATGGGCCGAGGGACTCCAGTTCTTCGCCTTGTCGCACTTGCAGTTTGTCTGAATGTAGTGATCCACATCACAATTGATTTCCTGTCCGGGACAGGGGCCAATGGAGCTAATTTAAAGCGATTCTGAAAGGCGCACTGGGTTGTGATCACAGAACATCCGCTCGAAAAGTAGGCCTCAAGGGCAAAAGCACGCTCCTCACTGTTCCAACGCATGATGGCGACTGAACTGTGTCAGGACAAAATTTTATACTCCCGCCTCTCGGACGAGACCACTAGCGCTCCATTACGTCTTCAACCGACTGAATGACGTGCATTTTAAAAAAGGAAGTTATGATGCTGCACCCTGTATTTCAGAGAATGGTAAACAAGTCAGAAGCTGTCTATACTATGTTTGCCCATACCTGGTCTATACAGAATTTTCTAATTTACCCATTAGCATTAAAATGACAGTAGTACAGCATAAGATTAAGAAGGTTTTAATACATTACCGGGATATCGTCAGAGGCAGGCTGCACCCAGTATGGGGCCATGGTACATTTTATTGAACCAGCAGGGTCCATGTCGATGTCCCACCAGGAGAGGACCACCTGGGCTTTGCCGGACTCTATAGGCTCCAGTTGCATTGTGTGAGAAGATGGGGCTCTGCTGACTTGCTTACTAAAATCTACACTGTGGAACACAATGAATTGCCATCAGTTCATTTTAAATAGCAATTGCTAAGAAACTGGTCACCAAAGAATCCAGAAATATGTCAACTGGGCTGAGCAAGGCTTCTTGAAGTTTGCAGAGTTTTACCAGGAACAACAGTAAAGATTATAGTCATAGGATCATAGAATCATAAAATCACAGAATTGGAAGAGACCTCGTGGGCCATCCAGTCCAACCCCATTCTGCCAAGAAGCAGGAAAATTGCATTCAAAGCACCCCCGAGAGATGGCCATCCAGCCTCTGTTTAAAAGCTTCCAAAGAAGGAGCCTCCACCAGAGCAGAGAGTTCCACTGCTGAACAGCTCTCACAGTCAGGAAGTTCTTCCTAATGTTCCTTTCTTGTAGTTTGAAGCCATTGTTCTGCGTCCTAGTCTCCAGAGCAGCAGAAAACAAGTTCGCTCCCTCTTCCCTATGACTTCCTCTCACATACTTATTAGGCATGTGCAATCCATGGTTCTAAATGGTTCTAAAGTGCTTACAAAACTAAAGTTCTGGTGGTGAAAACTAGGGGGCGCTGGTGCTTTGCTTCTACAGTGTTGTTAACGTTCTGGTGGTGAAACTTTCAGAACTCAAAATTTCATTATAAATGGCAGTTCCTAATAGGTTCTGTCATAAAAATCGCCAATAATGAAATAATAATGAAATTTGGAAGTTTTGTTAGAGTTCTGAAATTTTCACCACCAGAACTTTAGCAACACTGTAGAAGCAAAGCACCAGTGCCCCCTAGTTTTCACAACCAGAACTTTAGTTTTGTAAGTACTTTAGAACCATTTAGAACCATGGATTGCACATGCCTGATACTTATACATAGCTATCATGTCTCCTTTCAGTCTTCTCTTCTGAAGGCTAGACCTACCCAGCTCTTTAAGCCGCATCTCATAGAACTTGTTCTCCAAGCCCTTGAACATTTTAGTCGCCCTCCTCTGGACACATTCCAGCTTGTCAATATCTCTCTTCAATTGTGGTGCCCAGAATTGGACACAATATTCCAGTTGTGGTCGAACCAAGGCAGAATAGAATTGGGGTAGCATGACTTCCCGGGATCTAGACACTAGACTTCTTTTGATGCAGGCCAAAATCCCGTTTTGTTGGCTCATGTTTAACTTGTTGTCCACGAGGACTCCAAGATCTTTTTCACATGTACTGCTCATCCTCAAGTTATCACACAATATTTCTTAACAGCGAACAGGTATTAACCATTTCATCTTAGAAATGTAAAGGTTCCTTTAAGCATGCACACATTTCTGTACAAAAACATACAGGTGTTTGTATAATATGCACATACATAAACACAGATATAAATTCACTGACTTAAATACAGTCTATCAGTTGCTTCAAGCATCGCCGTTGAGGTTTAAAGTCCTAAATCAGGGTGGGTGATAAGTGCATCATGAGACACCTACAGTGTCCAAATATGGTTGCCCAACTGGCTTTCAGGAGGCCACGTACACTATTATAACTACATCCTCTCTCTAAATAGTCTGGAACTATAGTATCTGAGGGGGCCTCTGGTGGCACAGCAGGTTAAACCACTGAGCTGCTGAACTTGCTGACCGAAAGGTTGGTGATTCAAATCCAGGGAGCAGGTTAGCTCCAGCTTCTGCCAACCTAGCAGTTTGTAAACATGCAAATGTGAGTAGGTAGGTACCGCTTCTGTGGGAAGGTAGCAGAGCTCCATGCTGTCATGCTGGCCACATGACCTTGGAGGCGTCTACGGACAACGCCGGCTCTTCAGTTTAGAAATTGAGATGAGCACCATCCACCAGAGTTGGACACAACTAGACCTAATTTCAGGGGAAACTTTTACCTTATAGTATCTGACAGTTATTATGACTGTCAAAAGAAGAGGTATGCTTCCAAATCAGGTAGAAATTAAAATGTTGGTCTTCTTGATCACATCATCCCATCTATAAAACTTTCTGCTGCATTCCATTCCTTCAGCGCCCTATTCATGAGTTTTAGTTGCCAAGTATATTTTTGTTTACCTGGACTTTCAATGGTATCTAGTGTGGTTTTGATTTACTGCTCTTTTTACTCTGTTGCCTGCCAAGTTTTATAATAAGGCACTATCTCACAAAACATTGTTTTAAAAGGATGCCCTAAGCCAGGCATGGGCAAACTTCGACCTTACAGGTGTTTTGGATTTCAACTCCCACAATTCCTAACAGCCTACCTATTGTGGGAGTTGTAGTCCAAAACACCTGGAGGGCTGAAGTTTACCCATGCCTGTCCAAAGCCCTTTGAGAAGCAAAACTTGAAAAACAGATAAATAAATGTCTCACAAACAACGTGGGAAGGCTTTATTTCTAAAAGCATACATTGGGGTATGAAACAAAATTCCAACTGACAGTTTATTTCCTTCACGCCTCCTATCCCTCACCCTGCCCCCTCCCCTTCATTGCTCTCATTTCCATGGAAACCCTCTCCCTTGTTTCAAACATACACAGGCCAGGTATAAGGCATGGTCTAATTTCCTGGCTGCACACAAAACCAGGAAACAAGGTCAGGTTGGTGTTGAAACATTAACACAGCTCTTCACTCACCTGAACATTGTGACAACTTCACTGAGAGCCACGAAGTCAGACAACGGCACCTGATTCAATTGCATATCATAGACAGAAGGTGATCCTGGGCAGTTCTCCATTTCTGGTGGGGAGACAATCACCTTCTTGCCACCTTCTGCTTGGACATGAATGGGAAAGAGCTTGTTCCAGGACCACATCCTTTTGGACTCCACCAACTGGGCATAGACTGTTGCCCTGTGAGGCACTGCTTCACATCCTTCCTGGACATTTGAGAACAAAGAGTGAAGAAATTGAGCCATTGATTCATGACCCCTGAGAAAAATCAAACTGTAAAATGTACTCTTATGCAAACAAGGATTCAAGTCTAAATATGAGGCTTTAAACCTTCTCTCAACAGGTCTTCATTATTTATTTCACATCTGGGTCCCACTATATTTATTTGGAAGTAGTATTTCAGCATCCAGCCTAAATATCCCAAAGTGCCAGATGCTGCCTGACTTTGGAAGCTGAACAGGGTTTGCTCTGATTGGTTCCTGGATGAGAGACTGCCAGGTATATTTCAAAGGAATGAAGTGGTAAAACTGAGTAGTCTTTGCCTAAGAAAACTCTATGAAAATCATTGCGTCACCATAAGTCAACAGGCAACTTGAAGGCTCAAAATATTGTGCATGCTGAATGACAAAAAGGGTTTCAGTCTAAACAATTATATTAATAAAAATGCTCACTCCTAAATAAATGTGCAAACCGCATATACTTGAATATAAGCTGAGTTTTTCAGCTTTTTTTTAGGGTGAAAACGCCCCCCATGGCTTATACTCAAGTTAAAGTTATTTATTATTTTACTCTGTTGTTATTATTATTATTTACTATTTTACTCTATTTATTATTATTACATTATTTTACTCTATTATTATTACTACATTTATTGTTCTACTCGATTATTGTTACTATTACATTTGCATTATTTTACTTTTATTTTTATTACATCTATTATTTTACTCTATTATTGTTATTATTACATTTCCATTATTTTACTCTTTTATTTTATTACATTTATTATTTTACTCTATTAATACTATTATTACATTTCTATTATTTTACTCTATTATTATTGGAAGGATAGATAAGCATATTTACATTGAAGAAGGTTAGAATAATGGTTGAATCAGAGTTGGACAGTCTTATCTTGAATTACAATTTTATGTAAATATTCAAAAACATTTATTTATTTATTTATTTATTTATTTATTTATTTATTTATTTATTTTATTTACAGCATTTATATACCGTCCCTCTCAGCCCGCAGGCAACTCGGGATGGTTTACAGTTGGTACCTCCTGATTTAACCTCCTGATGCCTCAATTAATGTAATTTGATTGCTGCATTTCCCATCCTCGGCTTATACTCGAATCAATATGTTTCCCCTGTTTTTCGTGGTAAAATTTGGTGCCTCTGCTTATATTTGGGTAGGCTTATACTTGAGTATATACGGTAAATTCCTTTCCTTACTAACATTTTTTTTCTTTCTGCTTCCCTCCTGTTTCAAAAAGGTGTGGCAACTTTCTCAAAGCTACTTGTTTTTAAGTCACACTGAACCAATACAACAAAAATACCAAGATGGACCCCTAGAGATGTCAAAAGAGACTTTGATTATTACCACCATAAATTAACAATGACAACATTAAGTTCTTGTGGGTTTTTTCGGGCTATATGGCCATGTTCTAGAGGCATTTCTCCCGACGTTTCGCCTGCATCTATGGCAAGCATCCTCAGAGGTGAGGTCTGTTGGAACTGGGAAAAAAAGGTTTATATATCTGTGGAATGACCAGGGTGAGACAAAGGACTTTTGTCAGTTGGGCTAGGTGTGAATCTTTCAACTGACCACCTTGATTAGCATACAATGGGCTGACTGTGCCTGGAGCAAACTCTTCTTGAAAGGTAATTAGATGTCCCTGCCTGTTTCCTCTCTGCTGTTTTTGCTGTTGCAATTTAGAATTTTTTAATACTGGTAGCCAGATCTTGTTCATTTTCATGGTTTCCTCCTTTCTGTTGAAATTGTCCACATGTTTGTGTATTTCAATGGCTTCTCTGTGTAGTCTGACATGGTGGTTGTGAGAGTGGTCCAGCATTTTTGTGTTCTCAAATAAAATGCTGTGTCCAGGTTGGTTCATCAGGTGCTCTGCTATGGCTGACTTCTCTGGTTGAAGTAGTCTGCAGTGCCTTACATGTCCCTTGATCTGGGCTCTCCAGGCCAATGTCAGACATCAGAAGAGCTGCAAGACCAAGAACAAGCCACGAGAGTAAAGATGAAGATCCACCCAGAGGAAAAGTGTTCCTGCCATACATCAAGGGAACCACTGACCGCATAGGGAAGCTGATGAGGAAACACAACATACAATCTACAAACCCACCAAGAAAATCCAACAAATGCTACGTTCAGCAAAGGACAGAAATCAAGGAACATGAAAGGCACTGCAGACTACTTCAACCAGAGAAGTCAGCCATAGCAGAGCACCTGATGAACCAACCTGGACACAGCATTTTATTTGAGAACACAAAAATGCTGGACCACTCTCACAACCACCATGTCAGGCTACACAGAGAAGCCACTGAAATACACAAACATGTGGACAATTTCAACAGAAAGGAGGAAACCATGAAAATGAACAAGATCTGGCTACCAGTATTAAAAAATTCTAAAATTGCAACAGCAAAAACAGCAGAGAGGAAACAGGCAGGGACATCTAATTACCTTTCAAGAAGAGTTTGCTCCAGGCACAGTCAGCCCATTGTATGCTAATCAAGGTGGTCAGTTGAAATATTCACACCTAGCCCAACTGACAAAAGTCCTTTGTCTCACCCTGGTCATTCCACAGATATATAAACCCTTTTCCAGTTCCAACAGACCTCACCTCTGAGGATGCTTGCCATAGATGCAGGCGAAACATCAGGAGAAATGCCTCTAGAACAAGGCCATATAGCCCGAAAAAACCCACAAGAATTTAGTGATTCCAGCCATGAAAGCCTTCGAAAATACAATGACAACATTGCACAGAACTGGGAAGTTATAGCTGTGGAAGCTCATTGAGAAGAACTTCTCTTACAGGAGAACATAATGTATCGCTTCAGGGTCAATTCATTTCTTACCTGCACAAGGTACCTGTGGGCATGCTCATAAGAAGGCAAGGCCCCTTCTCCAATCAATTCGGTATCAAACAGTTCCGTGATCAGGATGTTTGCACGAGACTCCATGTCTCCATCTAGAATGTATAACACAATATAAACAAAATCAACTAACTTGGGATATTTAAAAGCAAGTCTGCTATGAAGAGGTCTGGAGCTAAACTGTACATGCCAAACCTGTTGTGGCTCAGTTTCCTCAGGACGAGAAGGATGATAGGTTACAGATTTCTGAACATGTCCCTGTTGTTGATACTGAAGATGAGGCGGCGTTTCAGATTTGCATAAAATATAGAATGTGCAATATTTTATGCAAATCTATATATATAAAAATGCTCTGTGCATAATGAGTACCTTAAAAACAAAAGAACCCATGAACGAAATCATACCAAATTTGGCAACAAAATGTTTCACAACACAAGGAGTGACCATCACTCAAAAAATTATGATTTTGTCATTTAGGAGTTGTAGCTGCTGGGGTTTATAGTTCACCTATAATCAAAGAGCATTCTGAACTCCACCAACGATGGAATTAAACCAAACTTGGCACACAGGACTCCCTGACCAACAGAAAACACTAGAAGGGTTTGATGGGCATTGACCTTGAGTTTTCGAGTTGTAGTTCACCTACATCTAGAGAGCACTGTGGACTCAAACAATGATGGATCTGGACGAAACTTGGCACGAATACTCAATATATCCAAATATAAACACAGATGGAGTTTAGGGGAAATAGACCTTGACATTTGGGAGTTGTAGTTACTGGGATTTATAGTTCCCCTAAATCAAGGAGCATTCTGAACCCCACCAACGACAGAATTGGGGCAAACTTCCCACACAGAACCCTCATGACCAACAGAAAATACTGTGTTTTTTGGTCTTTGGTGACCCCCTGCCCCCCGGGGTCTTGACTTCCCAGGTTGAGAAATGCTGCCTTAAGGCCATCCAGTCCAACTCCCTTCACCAGGGCAAGAAAACATAATTAAAGCCCTCCTGACAAAGGGCCATCCAGCCATTCACAGACACACATATATGTACATGACAGATGCAGTATCAAAGATTTGAAAGGGACTCCTAAAGAAGGACAATGATATGTTGCATGTTCCAGAGTAGGCAAACCAAACAATCTCCACATCAACACTGGCAAAGAAACAGCAAGAAATACTGTTTATCCACAAGCATAAAAATTACATATATTAGAAACCAACACTTTCTCATTACTTTACTTTCCAGATCACCAGACTGAGCCACAGCAAAGCGTGGCAGGGGACCGCTAGTCATTTATATAAAGCATTTCTAAAGGAATTTTTTTAAAAAAAAACAACGTCCTTTCTTTCATGCAACACAAGATAGGGATCCACATAAATCTTACCAGGGCCCACTGTAACTTCAGTTGAGTGTTTGTTGATTATCTTTATCTTGTTGCTAAAGCCGTTTTTTTCTACTATCTTCCCAGCAGTTTCAGCCATAGGCTTGAAGACCTGCGAAATATCAATTACACAGCACATTGAAGAAGTACCAAAACGTTTCAGGCATTGCTTTACTCACTCTTGAAAGAGATCCATAAAGTAAGCTGAATAATCTCATTATTGTAAGTGGACAAATTTGATGCAGAGACAGGGAAAGAAGACTTCTCTTCTCATAATTCAACTCAAGCTGTGTAGCACATTCAAAGCAGGAAGGTATTAAAACTAAGGACTATCTAGAACAGTGGTTTTCAACCTGTGGATCCCCAGGTGTTTTGGCCTACAACTCCCAGAAATCCCAGCCAGTTTACCAGCTGTTAGGATTTCTGGGAGTTGAGGGCCAAAAACATCTGGGGACCCCAATTTGAGAACTACTAATCTAGAACAGTGTTTCTCAACCTTTCTAATGCCACAGCCCCTTAATACAGTTCCTCATGTTGTGCTGACCCCCAACCATAACATTATTTTAGTTGCTACTGTGATTTTCGAAACTGTAATTCTGCTTCTCATAGAATCATAGAATTGGAAGAGACCTCGTGTGCCATCCAGTCCAACCCCCTGCCAAGAAGCAGGACAATCGCGTTCAGGACAATTGTGTATTATTATGAATTGTCATGTAAATATCTTATATGCTAGATGTATTTGTATTCACTGGACCAAATTTGACACAAATACCCAATACGTCCGAATTCGAATACTGGTGGGGTTGGGGGGGGGGTGATTTTCATTTGGGAGTGGGATTCATAGTTCACCTACAATCAAAGAGCATTCTGAATTCCACCAATGATGGAATTCAACCAAACTTGAGACACAGAACTACCATAACCAACAGAAAATACTGGAAGAGTTTGGTGAGCATTGACCTTGGGTTTTTGGAGTTGTAGTTCACCTACATCCAGAGATCATATGTTCTGCAGTCATACGTTCTGCAGTTGATGGTGCTTGGTGATGGTAGGGTTAATGTAAGTATTAGTTCTAAAGGGTTTAGTAATCTGTAAGAGTTCATGGATGAAAGCAATTAAGGGTGGATGTATGCAAGAGATAGTTTGCAGCTGGGTGTTTGTGGATATAAGGAGTGAGCCTCGGAAGTGATCTTCGGGAGAAAAGTATTGTCTTATCTTGGTGGTAGATGCTGCTGGTTTCCCCCCAAGTTTGTGGATTTTCAGTATCCTGACCTGTCTCCTGAACCCTTGTAACCTTGAACCTCTGGACTGGGTTTTGACAACAGTATAGACTCTTGATCCCTGGACTTTGTTTTTTGAACTCTCGGCGTTTGACCACTGGACTGGACCTTTTGACTATTGAGTTGTTTTTGCTATCCGTTTTTGTTTATTTTGTGGCTGAGTGCTATCTTTATGTTTTATATTTTGGTCTATTAAAACAGCCAGCAAATAAGTGCTGTTTTAATTAAACTGTTTGATAAAACTGGGAGTTTGGTTCATCTCTGCCTAAATAAGGGAGAGCCCTGGCAACGTGACAAGCAGATCCTCTGTGGGCTGCTTTTTCCATGGAGATCAATTATATCATGCAGGTAGGAGATACAACCTATGTTTACCTTTTTGGGTGAAATTTCTCAGAACGCTTTCTCAGATACAAGCCTTGTAAAAATTGGATGGGATTTTGAATTGGCCCGGACAGCTCACAGAACCGAGTAGCCAAGAATTATAACTTGGCCAGGAATCTACTGCTTGGAAAACCTTTAACTCTGTGCTCTCAAGAGTATGGGCAAGATCTCAGATGAAACACAAACATTTCTGGGCATGTTAAAATGTGTTCCTCATTAAAGCATAAAACCCGGCCAAGACAGACAGCCTTACTTCCCAATCCATGTGGTTTCTTGCCAGAATGTAAACCAAAGGTGGGAAACACACCAGATGGGCAAAACATTTGCTTTCATTAGTCAATACTTAGATGTTAGGCCAAAACAACAAATAAACCTATGTTGCCTTACCACTCTATCATGATTGTGTCTACCAAATTTAAATGCAAATAGATTTTTTTAGAGCATACACATGTAGAACTTCTGAGATCCTGCACTCCATCTCATTATCTATCTATGTCGGTAGGTTGGTTGGTTGGTTGGTTTGTACCACAAAAGTTCCTACATGGCTTGATAGATGTGGATCAAATTTGGCAGAAATATCCTTCAATATCCAACTTAAAATAACTGCAGGATGTGAACTAGCAAGCCACCTCTTTCAGGCCAAGAGCAGAGGGAAAGAAAAGAAACAAAATAGATTGGCTATTGCTAGGTGAAGTGACCCTCTCTCACGTTTCTGGGATAGAAATGGAGCGAAGCAGATTGGCTGATGCTTGCTAGGGAAAACTACTCTAAAATATAGCAGAGCATCCAAAAAGCAAACAGGACACTTAAAGTTGAGCATCAACTCACAGCACGCAGGGTGTGAAGTGCCGTGTGATGTGGCTGTAAATAATTCAGAGGCAAACATGCCATTTTTAAGATCGGACTCTGCGTCTTTGCCTGCCTAAGCTCTGAATTCTTTATAGCCACAACCAACAGCACTTCATGCTTTGCTCACTAATGAACCGAATGCTCAACTTTTAGTATCCTATTTGTATTGCTCTGCTTATTTTGGTTTTTTTTGGTGTTTTTTTGTCATGTCAGGAGCAACTTGAGAAACTGCAAGTCGCTTCTGGTGTGAGAGAATTGGCCATCTGCAAGGACGTTGGCCAGGGGACGCACAGATGTTTTATCATCCTTGTGGGAAGCTTGTCTCATGTCCCCGCATGAGGAGCTGGAGCTGATAGAGGGAGCTCATCCGCACTCTTCCCAGATTCGAACCTGAGACCTGTCGGTCTTCAGTTCTGCCGGCACAGGGGTTTAACCCACTGCGCCACTAGGGACTCCGTATTTTGGGGTAGTTTTCCCTAACAATGCTAAGTGACATGTGTATAAGCGGAAGAAAGCAACAGACAAACAAGGGAAAGAAAAGAAGAGAGAATTAAGGAAGGGAAAGAAAAAAGGAGGGAGGGAAGGAAGAGAACGAGAAGAGGAAAAGGTATGCGGGGACTAAAGGAAGAAAGAGAAGGAAGGGAAGAGAAGGAAGGGAAGAAAGAAAGGACAAGGGAGGGAGGGAAGGAAGAGAGAAAGAGAGAAAGAGAAAGAGAGAGAAAGAGAGAAAGAAAGAGAGAGAGAGAGAGAGAAAGAGAGAAAGGAAGAAAGAAGTGCAGAGAAAGGAAGAAAGGCCTTTGATTAATCAGTGCAATGAATGTGACAATCACAGGAATTGAAATATGGACGATGAATTTTGGATCACGACTCTAGTTATGAGACGCATTTGGTTGTTGCTGTTGTGTAATATTGTGTATTGTGTTCTTTTGTTTTGAATTGTAGATTGTTGACTGTTTTTATCCTGTTGTAAACCGCGTTGAGTCGCCGGCTAGGCTGAGAAATGGCGGTATACAAATAAAGTAAATAAATAAATAAATAAATAAAGGCAGAGAAAGAAAGAAGGGCAGAGAAAGGAAGGAAGGAAGGAAGGAAGGAAGGAAGGAAGGAAGGAAGGAAGGAAAAGGAAGGAAGGAAGAGAAAAAGAAACCAAGAAAAGGGGGAAGGTCTACGATGGAAACAAGGGAAGGAAATAAAGAAATAAAGAAAACAGAGACAAGGTGTATGCAGGAAAGGGAGGAAGAAATGAAATCCAAAACAGGGCAATACTAGGTATATATATGTTGTTGTGAAATGCTTCACATGCAACAAGCAATACTCCATTCATTACACTTTTGCTTATGAAGCATCACATGTACAATTTTAGAAGTTGAAGACTGCAAGGATCATCTAGTCCAACCCCCTGCTATGCAGGAAAAGCACATTCAAAGCATATTCATCTGATCCCCCTTAAATGGTCCTGGGACAAGGGAGAAGAGATGCTCACCTCCACAGCATAGCAGAAATCAGCCCCTGCTGTCACGGCCATCATGGACAAGAGTCCTGTGCCGGTTCCAATGTCCAGGACAATTGCACGTTGCCCTCTTTCTTTTACTCTCCCCACAGCAGCACGGATACCCTGATAATACTTTTGATTCTGTAAAAGGAAGCAAACACCAGTTATTTCAGCATGATCCTAATTCATCCACTTGTGGGCAGATGCAGCTATGAAATCTGAAACGAGGCACCAAAAAAACCCCCCAACATAGGTAAATGAAAACACCCTATCTTTTCAAAATATGACTGATGTATATGTTGCACTCCGAGGCTGGGAACCACCACTGTACTTAACACACACTCCAGTCCAAGGAAAAATAGCAAAGCAGTGTATTGAAGAATATATATGAAAAGCAATTCAGCTAAATAAAATAAAAAAACCATAGTCCAAATATCAGTAATAATCCACAGAATTCAAAGTACAAGAGTAACATCAAAAAACCAGGAATACAAAAACAGAACAAATCCAAAACATGAGATTCAGGAGCAGTCATCAAAACTTGGAATCATGAGACATGAACAAAAGGAAACATGGAACTAGAAATCCCTTGACTTGACAATAGATCTATACTCAAACACCAATATTGCCTGGACTGATGGACCCATCTGCTGGGCTAGCTAATATAGAAAGAAAATCATGTCTTCTCAGCTGGGAAACTGATAAGGACTTCTTGGCTAACAGGAGTCTTGATATTTGTACACTCTCCTGAGAAGCTCTATGTTGATGGAACATAAATCTCCTATCTAATTGCTCATTAGTCTCTCCACCTGGAGTTTCATTTTGCTATCTCAGGTTACTGGTTGTCTGTTTGATGGTTGTTTTATATTGTTCTCCCCTTACGAACCACTGAGGACTTTAAGATCATCTGGGGAGGCCCTGCTCTCGGTCCTGCCTTCATCACTAGTACGTTTGGAGGGAACGAGAGACAGAGCCTTCTCAGTGGTGGCCCCTCGGCTATGGAACGCCCTCTCTAGGGAGATCAGATCTTCTCCCTCCCTCTTGATGTTTCGGAGGCAAGTTAAAACGTGGCTGTTCGAGCAAGCATTTACAAATACAGAGTAGCTAATATAGGAAATCGAATGACCTGACAATGGAACTGGACAATGCTTGATAATAATGAGATGCTTATTGTAGAGAAGTGTTTATTATAAAGGGTTTAATGTACTGTGTTTAAACTGTATTTATGTTTTACATGCGTGGCCATGGCCCAGCTGTGAGAGATAGGTTGCCATGGTGACAAGGCAGAAGAGAAGGTGGGCGGAGCTTAAGGAGATAAAGGTTTGAAAGTAACAGTTAAGAGTCAGTCAGGAGGATGAGACCCTGAGAAGAGGAGCGGAGTCAGTTAGGGCTCTGTGTGGTGAAGCCGTATAAATTCAGTTAGTTCTTAGCATTTGTGAATACTTCTTCAGCAAGGGAGCTGAAGGTGAAACCTTGTTAGATTGCTTGTGTTAAAAAGAATCTAACAAAGGGGGTTTTAGGGATCCCAGTAGTGAAAGACTGGAGATCGGTGGTTTGATCCGGTATAGGACAAACAGAGTGAATATTCACAACAGGGAACACTGAAATAATAAAGTACTTCACTGAAGAAGGAGTTTAAAGGATTGTAACATCAGAAGCCTGAATGTATCTCTACCAAGCCATATTGTAACCATCAAGTTTGTGCCAAGTTCAACATCTCAGTATTGCAACAATTACGCTCTGTTAACAATAAACTTGTTCTCTCTGTGTTATAAATCTGCCTCCTCCATTGATTTTACATTTGGTGCAATCCACTCTACCAAAGTTTCCTCACAACGCAGATAGGGATGAACAGAGACTTCAATTCCAACATCTCTTTATATATATAATGGTGGCAGTGTAATCAAGCAGTATTGGGACTTCCTTATAATTTATGCTGAAATTAGGTGGATCAACATACATATTTACTTAATTTTGGTAATCCCATTTAGGTGGGATTACGTATCCTTACACTTATGATGTTGGTTTTACTGCTTTGGTGATGTTTTATACTGTTTAATGTTTTATCTATATTATGTTTTATGTATACTGATTTGTTGGAAAACACCCTGAGTCGCCGATTGGCTGAGAAAGGCGATATACAAATACAGTAAGTAAATAAATAAATAATTTATGCCATTGTTTTATTTTGCTTGTTGCTGTTTTTATGAATTTTTATGTGTTATTTTAACTATGTTGATCGGGTTTGTCCTCATATAAGCTGCCTGAGTCCCTTTGGGGAGATGGAGACGAGATACAAAAATAAAGTTGTTGTTGTTATCGTCGTCGTCATTGTCATCATCGTCTGAGCTCAGATCTGCTCCTGACCTTACTGCTCTAGCAAACTGCCTTTCAGGAATGTGGCCTTTGGACACAGACCACTCATTCTCAGGACTTAAAATCTCTTGCTGGCTCTCCTGCTGTTGTGGCTCAGCAGGAGCCTCAGGAAGAGCTGGAAGAGGATGTTGGGTTTCAGATTCCTGGACATGTTCGTATTGTTGATACAGGCCATGTTGATGCTGATGCTGAAGACGAGGAGTTCCAGTTTCCCATGGGAATGGATGTTGTCTTAGAACAGTGGTTCTCAACCTGGGGTCCCCAGATGTTTTTGGCCTCCAAATCCCAGAAATCCTAACAGCTGATAAACTGGCTTAGATTTCTGGGAGTTGTAGGTCAAAAACATCTGGGGACCCAAGGTTGAGAAGCACTGTCTTAGAAGATGTTTCTAATCTTAGTGAAACTTCACTAAGGTGCAGGCAGAGGAGGCGAGTCAGCCAGGCAGCTCTCTGCCTGCCGATTCTGCTGATTCCCAGCTCCAGGATAATGAGTTATTTGATCTTGAAGGTTCTCCACAGTTAGATAGGGAGAATCGCTTGGAACTCAGGGTTCGCTGTAGTACAAGGCTTGCAAACAAGAGAGAAGTTAGAAGTCAGAGGAATGCTTTCATGCTGGGAAAGTATATTTATTGAGCTGATTGAAGGCAACCTTTTGTCAGTGCAACTTCAGCGAACACTCTGATAACTTCTTGGGATTGCCTGGGTTTTTGGGCAATGCTTTTGGCTTCTTGGGATTTTGATGTGAATTTTGGCTTCTTGGGACTCTGTCATGCTGCCATGGAATCTTGTTTGATCAATGCTTATGGATTGTGCTTCATGTTATTTGCCTTTGGACTTTGGAAACTCTGCCTTTGCATTTAAGACCCTGTTTGACTACTGAACTCTTGCAACTTTGCTTCTGTGTTTAAGACTTTGCCTTTTCTTTAATAAACTACAAAACCCACAGCCTTGGTGTGTGTGGTGTTCTAAGCAAGTTGAATCTATCCTGAGGTCCGACACCTGCTGACTTGAAGACCCAGAATTCCCAGTGTCATCAGAATGACTAACAGGCCCAGAATCCCCAGAGAGATCAGTTGCAGGCACAATCAAAGGCTGAACTACAACAGTATAGCCCAACAAGAACTTATCCACAATACCCAGACTCATACTAGAAGCTCCAGGAACTCAGTATAATTTTTTTGTTCAAGATTTCCATGCCTGCACATAGGGAAATGCAAATAAGTATAAGAGATGTAGTCCCAGAAATATTTGTTCCAACTGATTATCCCAGCTAACTTTGAGAAATGCTCTTTTTTGAATATGTAATTCTAAATATCTAGCTACAGACCCTTGGGATGCATTATCTTAAAAGGAATGGTTAGTCCTCTGTTGTGTATAACACAAGTGTTCGACCCACCAAGGATTTTTTTTATCCCGCTCCTGCCAAGATCTACAGGCAGAATTTCAAAACAAAAAGATTTGCGGAAGCTTTGCAGCTCTTTAAAGCTAGATACAGATGGACATAATTCCCTGTAGGAAATGGTAGCTGACAGACTTCTTCTGATCCCTCCATCTTCAAAAATGTCACCTTCTTAAAATATGAATTAAAGGAAACAAGTACAAAAAGCTAAAGGGGCCTGGAAATTAGCTGTCTGTTCAAAACATCCCTCGGCTTTGGCAAGTTGGAAGTTTGAAAGGATTTGTTTTTAAAAAAGACAAACATTCTAAACAACATCCAGGGCTACTTTGAAGATGAGTTAGTCTAACCATCTGAACTAGAATTTTGTAGCAGCAGGAGAAAGCAGGCTAAAAGAGTGGCACAAAAGCCCCTGAGAAACAGATGGGACGCTGTCCACATTATCAAAACGTGGCAATTCCTATGGGAATCCAATCCAAGAAAAAATAATCAACTCAACATTACGTTTTAAAGTAATTTCATGTGTTGTTCTTCTAATTTCACCAGTAAGACTGAATGGTAGCTTTCCATAACCTGTTGTATTTCAGAGCATCTCATAAATTATTTATAATTATATTTATTTGTTCCCCCTCTTTACTTGGAAGCCTTATACATACTTACATACCTTTCTTTATACCAAATAAAAATTTAGTTGAAAAAAAATTATATTCCATTTATATTCCACCCTTCTCACGCCAAAGGGGACTCAGGGCAAATCACAAAGCACATACGCAGCAAACATTCAATGCCGTTATACAGGCAGGACAGACAACAGATAGAGGCATTATGCTGGCATTTTCCCAACTTTGGCGTCCTGGAGGCTGTACTCAATTCCGACCATATGGGGGTGTTGTCACTCTACCCTCTATGACAAAGAGCCCTTGATTACAGACTTCCTCCTTCCTTTGATCATCGGCATTTTCTGGTATTTCCTTTATGGTGCCATAAAATACCTCCCTGCTTAAGCGGTGTCTAATTTCTCTACTCACAGCTCACAGCTGTTTCTGAACTGCTTAGGTTGACAGTAAGCTGGGCTGAAGGTCAGGTGCTCACCCCAACCAGGGCTTCGAACTGCCCACCTTTCACTTGCTGTTGGTATTTATCCAGCTGTGCTAAACCCCAGCCCTTTAAACTAGTAGCATAATAGAAATTTTTCCCATGGATGATGTAGCATATTGGGAGAATATTAAATGGGGAAGATGGGAAATGCTTCTGCCCACAAAAATAATAAAATTGCTTAGAAGTCATCCCTCCACCTTCAACATATTCCTGAATTACAGCATGCTTCCCACAAAGCATGTAGTCTCCATGCAAAGATTAAAAATTTGGCTCATTTAGCAATATTTATGTTGGGACTCAGCCTGTGTTTCACCCTGAATCTGTTATAGTGTTTCCCCCTTCTAATGTTTCTTAGCCTGACTTGGATGTCAGTGAGGATGAGATGCAAAATGGAGACACTTTGGACAATAAGGTTACTGCAAACTCTGATTGAGAAGGGTCAGGGGAAAGGCGAAGTTCTCATGAGAAAATTCCTGCCTGGAGTTTGCAGGAAAGTTCACTCCCTTCTCCAGGCTCGAGTCTGCAAGATAGTTTCAGACCTGCTGTTAATGAAGAGATAGGTAAGACCAGTCGCCGTCTGGAAATCAGCCAGAACCATAGAGAGGCCCAATGTTTATGCAGGTCAGAAAGAATTCGGCAATTAAGGTCAAAGTCTGGGGGGAGTAGAAATCGTTTTTGGGACTTAAATTGAGCTCTTAAGGAATTTCCTTCAGACCGAGCATCTTTGGTATCAAGTCTTCTCGATATTCCTGTGGCCTCGACTCCTAGGTTCCCTGGATTTTCAAGTGGATTAGCAGTGGCTATGTTCATGGTTTGTATAGAAGGCATTTGATATTTCTTTGCATCTGGATTAAAACAGCAAGCTTTTGGAACTTTGATATTATTCCTATGTTTGGACACTGTTTATGTCACTGCTTATTTGGCTTTTTGCTTTTGGACTTTTATCAACTTTATATTCATCTCTTTTGTTGGCTCCTATTATTCTTTAAATAAAAATGACTCTTTTTTTCATCCAAAGTGTGGTGTAATTAATGATTAGAGGGTCCTGATCCTATTCTGGGGTGCAACAATTTATGTCCATCTACCAAACAATTATAGCTGAGAAACCAATATCAACAAAACTGCTTTTTTAAAAACTTTTAGAAGTCGGTGATTCGGAAGCTCAAGTTGGTACAAAATGCAGCTGCTTAGCTTCTTGCAGGAATTCCGATGCAATGCCACATAACACCAATCTTACTGCAGCTGCATTGGTTACCAATTGAGCATCGGGTCACTTTCAAAGTGATGGTACTCACCTTTAAGGCCTTGCATGGTCTGGAGCCAATGTACCTGAGGGACCGGCTCACCCCCTACCAACCCCAGAGATCCCTCCGTTCTGAAGACCAAGATTTGTTGGAAATTCCCAGTGTCAAGACCTTGCGTCTTAACAGCAACCAGACGCAGAGCCTTTACAGCAGTGGCACCATTACTCTGGAATACTTTGCCACCTGAAGTCCATGCCTTGTGGGACTTATCAGCTTTCCGCAGGGCATGTAAGACATATCTGTTTCGGCAGGCCTTTGATTTTTAATATTGCTGTTTTTAAATTGTTTTAAATTGTTTTTAAATTGTTGTTCGATTTTAGCCTGTTCTTGTAAGCCACTCCAAGCCCCAGGGGAGTGGCGGCATATAAGTTCGAATAATTAAATAAATAAATATATAAAATAAAATAAAAAGAAACAGTAGACAGCTGCATCTCTTTCTTTAAGACAGAGTGGGGGTTAATGCAGGAACCTATTCCCATTAGAGAAGCTTAATTTTTTTTATCTTCCTGACAGTTAAAAAAGAGAGACTTGTTTTGCTAGCAAGAGTGAACAGTGAAAGAAAAATCCAAGCGTTTGTCAAACCATTATAGTAATTAAGCATTTAAAAAAATACAAATAGAAAAATGCAGCATTAACTTTTCAATATTGTTATTTGTACTTCCTGCATCTTTTTCAGATGAGGAAACGTGGACTACAAAATAGAAAAAGGGGGATTTGTATTTGTGATGTCTAACGTAGGGGAACCATACAGTGGATGAAGCAAAGTATGCAATCTGAGCATTACTCACCCGATCTTTGTCATTCAGCATGTCTGCATAACACGATCTGTAAGAAAGGTTCAAATCACAGATTAAAAAGAGTAAAATATTAGTAAAATATTTAGCAAGAGAAGAATGACACAATAAACAAGATGGTCACTTCCTACACCAATCAGGTGTCAGGTTATCACTTTAAAACTAAGACCACTGTTATTCCATGTACAGTAGAGTCTCGATTATCCAACCTTCGCTCATCCAACGTTCTGTATTATCCAGCGCAGTCCAGGGTGGGAGAAAGAAAGAACCCTTCTCTGTTTTAGGGCTAAATTTGTAAATACAGTAATTACTACATAACATTACCGTGTATTGAACTGCCTTTTCTCAGCAAACGAGAGTCCAAAAATGGCAGGCTCAAACCCAGAACCTCAATCAATGGTTGATACCAAATGAGAGACTCCCTCCTGGGAAAACAGAAAAGTGGGCGACTTAGAAGGCACTGAAGAGACTGCGCTCTGGCACCACGAGATGCAGAGCCAATCTTAAGAAATGGGGCTACAAAGTGGAATCCACGACATGCAAGTGTGGAGAAGAACAAACCACTGACCACCTGCTGCAATGCAACCTGTGACCTGCCACATGCACAATGGAGGACCACCTTGCAACAACACCAGAGGCACTCCAAGTGGCCAGATACTGGTCAAAGGACATTTAATAGAATACCAAGTCTGCAAACTTTGTGTTTTGTTTGTTTGTTTTAATGCAATACAACTGTTTTGGTTTGCTCCTGACACGATAAAAAACTGCTTTTTCTATCAATTTGTTGTAAAATCTGATGATTTGGTGCTTAATTTGTAAAATCATAACATAATGATAACATAATTTGGCATTCAATAGGCTTTTCCTTATCCAACATTTTCACTTATCCAACGTTCTGCTGACCGATTTATGTTGGATAAGCGAGACTCTACTGTACTTTTGCTCTTCAAACTCTAATCAGAACACTAAATATAACAGATCCCAGAAAAGAATTATACCACCAGAAACCAGAAGATGGCGATAAATTTGCATCAGCACACACTGATTTTGGACTAATTAAATGCTAATCAAGCTTGCCAATTGCAACATTCACAACTGTCTCAAACAGACAAGAGTTCTTTCTCCCACCCTGGACATTATCCCACAGATATATAAACCTCATTTTCCTAGTTTCCAACACTCAACCTCTGAGGATGCCTGCCATAGATGCAGGCGAAACATCAGGAGAGAATGCATCTGGATTTTGTCCAGACAGCACAGAAAATTCACAGAAACCCAGTGATTCTGGCCATAAAGGCCTTTCACAACACAATTTTGGAATAATTTGCTACTGAGCACACCATGATTTTAGAACAATGTGCAACCAAAATTTTATTTCAGGTTTTTCTAAGAGTTTTATGCAATAGGAGCACTGATCAAGAAAAGTAGCATTGTCACTCTCTTCGGTCAGACCTCACATGGAATAACCCTGTGTGTGGTTCTGGACGTGACAGTTCAATAATAAGAATGATAATAGAAATAATTTTATTACCCGCCTCTCTCCCTTTGATAAGCTGGACTGTGAATAGAAAATAGCAACCAGAATAATCAAAGGCCTGGAAACTAAGCTTTAGGCAGAAACAAGGACTAGTGAGAAAACTTCAGTGGATATATCTTTTCTCTGTGATAATAACAATTTCAGGAGTGAATTTCCCTTCCGAGGAGAAGACTCCTCTCACTTCCTGTTGTCTCAGCCACATTAACTAGGAGTCAATTGTAAGTTGGATGTTTGTAACCTAGGGATCAACTGTATTTGTGAAAGGAATCTAAATTTTTGCCAGTTCAGAGCCTCTTTTCACCTCGGAGCTAGCCATGTCTCGCTATGTAGGAAGATGAAAAACAAAACAGAGTTTAGAAGAGCCAAAGTGGGCACAATAACAAGACTCTTAGTTCCCTGTGCTCATTCGTACATAGAAACTGGGAGGACAATTTCCAAGGACTCTGATCTCATAGTGGTCTTTCTGATGTTTGGAGATCTCAAGGCATCTTTCTCCTATCTGATGGCCCTCTGATATCCAGCCAATCACTGGCTTCAATGGTTACAGGCAAGAGTTGTAGACCAACACATGTAATTGACACCAGGCATTACTTCTAGAAAAATGTCTGTAGTTTAGCATGTGTGTCCTAAAATACCACCAGCAACCAGAAGATGGCATTAGATAGACAGGCATTAGCTTCTACTGAAGACACCATTATTTTGGAATACTTTATTTATTTAATTTATTTACGACATCTCACCCCGAAGGGGATTCAGAGCGGCTTACAAGATATATAGACATAAAATAGATTATATTATTAGCATAGTACAATATCAGTATTATATATTACTATATTGGAGCCTCCGGTGGCACAGTGGGTTAAACCCCTGTGCCGGCAGGACTGAAGACCGACAGGTCGCAGGATCGAATCCGGGGAGAGACGGATGAGCTCCCTCTATCAACTCCAGCTCCTCATGCGGGGACATGAGATAAGCCTCCCACAAGGATGATAAAAACATCAAATCATTGGGGCGTCCCCTGGGCAACATCCTTGCAGATGGCCTATTCTCTCACACCAGAAGTGACTTGCAGTTTCTCAAGTCGCTCCTGACACAACAAAAAAAAATTACTATATTGTACTAAACCATTATATTGTAATATTATTAGAAATATTACATGTAATATAAAATATAAAATTATAATATATTATTATATTGTATTACATTACAACATTATAAATATGATGAGTATATACAATATTTTATATTATATTACATTCAATATATTATGTTATTAGCATAGTACAATATCAGTATTAAATATTACTATATTGTACTATACCATTATATTGTAATATTATTAGTAATATTACATGTAATATAAATATATAATTATAATAACATTATTATTAGTATTATATTGCATTGCATTATAATATTATAATTATTATATGTATTTACAATATATTATATTATATTATATTATTATATTATTAGTATAGCACAGGAAACAAGGTGGAACTGCCCCCTGCCCGCGCCCCCTTACTTCACTCTGGCTCAGAGTGTCAGTTGGTGCTGGGGGGAGGGGTCCCCCAACTGAAGCCACAGGGAGGAGGGAGCAAGCTTGTTTTCTGCTTCCTTGGAGACTAGGACGCGGAACAATGGCTTCAAACTACAAGAGAGGAGATTCCATCTGAACATTAGGAAGAACTTCCTGACTGTGAGAGCCGTTCAGCAGTGGAACTCTCTGCCCCGGAGTGTGGTGGAGGCTCCTTCTTTGGAAGCTTTTAAGCAGAGGCTGGATGGCCATTTGTCAGGGGTGATTTGAATGCAATATTCCTGCTTCTTGGCAGGGGGTTGGACTGGATGGCCCATGAGGTCTCTTCCAACTCTTTGATTCTATGATTCTATGATGACATATGCAGGAGACAAGATGTCAGCTTTTTCCAAAAATTCAATACAATTCTAGACTGCATTGATTAAGGAAAGTAGTAATGCCACTCTCTTCTACTTTAGTCAGACCTCACCTGGAACAACCCCATGTCCAGTTCTGGACATCAAAGTTCCTGGAAACCAAGCTTTATGAAGAAGAACAGAGGGAAGGATGTTTAGATTTGAGACAAGAAGACCAAGGGTGCATCTACACTGCAGAATGAAAGCAATTTTACCCCACTTGAACTGTCATGGCTCACTGCTATGATATCACTGGAGTTGTAGTTTTGCCAGGTCTTTAGCCTTCCCTGCCAAAGTATGCTGGTGCCTCACCAAACTACAATTCCCATGATTTTGTAACATTGAGCCATGGCAGTTAAACTGGTGTCAAACTACATTCATTCCACAGTGTAGATATCCTGGGAATAGCCCTCTTTAACTATCCCAAGGAGTGTCATGTAGAAGATGGATCAAGCTTGTTTTCTGCAGCTTCAGAGACCAGAAGACAAGCTAATGTAATGAAATTATAAGCAAGGAGATTGCATCTAAACATCAGGAAGAATTTTTACATAGTTGTTTGACAATGGAATGGGCTGCTTTGGAAGCTGGTGGAATCGCTGTCTTTGAAGGTCTTTAAAACAGAGGATAATAATGTTGATGATGATAATAATAATAATAATAATAATAATAATAATAATAATAATAATAATAATATAATAATAATAATAATAATAATAATAATAATACTTTATTTATATTCCGTCTTTCTCACCCCGAAGGGGACTCAGGGCAAAACACAGTACACATACACAGCAAACATTCAATGCCACTTTGTATAGACAATACACAGACAGAGAGAACAGAAGGAGGTGGTTTGTTTCGACTCAGTGTCCAGCTGTTTTTGGTGCCATAGAAGGTTGGGCTCGAGTCCAGGTGGTTCGGTTGCTCTATCCTCTATGACTAAGAGCCGTCAGGACTTCCTTCTTCCTTTTGGTCACCCAGGATTTTCTGATCTTTTTTCTTTATGGCATCGTAAAATATCTCCCCCGCTTTTAGCGGTACCTAATTTCTCTAATCACAGCTAAAGCTGTTTCCAAATTGCTCAGGTAAACAATGAGCTAGCCTGACTGTTGGCAGCTCACGCCAACCCAGGGCTTCAAACTTGCAACCTTTTTGGTTGATAGATCTTATCATTGCTGATGATTTACCAGCTGTGCTAAACCTCCGGATATATTTCAGGGATGCTTTTGTTGTGTATTCCTGAATGGCGGAATGGGGCTGGATGAGATGGTTCTTGTGATCCTATCCAGCTCTTAACATTCTAATAACACTATGTAACACATTTTTTGTTCCTGGGTTATAAATATCATTTCCTAATTGGTTCTAATTTGTTCTATCATTAAAATGTAGAAAAGATTTATTAAGCTGGAAAACATTGTTTTTGCAGGACATCCTGCAGCCAAATTGCTCTACTTTTTCATTGAATATACTAGCTGTACCCGCCATGCATTGCTGTGGTCAACCTTCCCTCCCTCTTTCTCTCCTTCTTCCTTTCTCTCCTTCCTTCCCTCTTTTTCTTTCCCTTCTTCTTTCTTCCTTCTCTACCTTTTTCTTTCCTCCCTTCCTTTGCTCTCGGGTTCCATCCTTCCTTCTCTCTTTCCTTCATTCCTCTTTCTGTCTTTCATCCCTTCTCTTCTTCCTTCCCTCTTTCTTCCCTTTCTTCTGTCACTTTATTTCCTTCTCTCCTTCTTTCCCTCCTTCTCTCCCCCCCTTTCTGTATATACGTGTTTTGTGTGTGTGTGAGAGAGAGAGAGAGAGAGTGTGTGTATATATATATATATATATATATACACACACGCATATATGGCTGTATATATTTGTGTATATGTTTATGTGTGTGTGTGTTTGTGTATATATGTGGTTTTGTGCATGAGTTGTAATATATTTTTTTTTGCTTTTTAAGTCTCTTCTGTGTTTTTCAGTGTTTTTATGAGTGATGGTCACTCGTTGGCCTGATAGGTGTCTTGTGTCCAAATTTGGTGTCAATTCATCCAGTGGTTTTTGAATTATGTTAATCCCACAAACGAACATTACATTTTTATTTATATAGATGACTTCTTCAAATAACCCAGACAACACCGGGTACCCATGCTAGTATATATGTAAAAGGCTAACCAGGCTGAAGGAAACGCAATAAACCTTGCACTTGGGGAGAAAATGGACCCCAAATCCCCCAATTATGACTCATCCCAAAGCTGCAATGATCTGCCCTGACTGTTCTCAAATTATTATTACTTTTAAAGATAAAGCGACCTGGCAATTTCTTGATGGTAGTCATAGTCCTCGCCTTCCTCCATCCACTCCACAGCCCCAGTGGTTGGGTTGGCCCTTCCGCAGAAGACCTTCATCATGTGTTTGGGGAGAAATAATGCTTCTTCAGATGTTCCCTTCCCTTTCAGGCATGATCAGAAATCTGTAACAGACAGACAAATCACAGTCAGGATGGTGAGGGAGAGGAAATAGCATGGGCATGCGTCAAGATGGAAGGCCGACCGGACTCTGTACCCGATTGTTTCCATCAGTGTCTCGAGGCCGTTACTGGATGGTTGCGTGCCAGCAGGTTGAGGGTGAATCCAGCAAAGACGGAGATCCTATGGCTGGGTCAACCGGGCAGTGGGGACATCCATCTGCCTACCCTGGATGGCGAGGCACTACACCCGTCATCATTGGTAAAGAGTCTGGGAGTCCTTTTGGACCCTCTGCTGACGATGGAGGCCCAGGTCTCCGCCGTGAGCAGAACCGCCTTCTTTCACCTGCGGCAGTTTAGACGGCTGGCCCCCTCCCTGTCCAGGGACGACCTAGCTACGGTGATCCAGGCCACCGTCATCTCAAGACTGGACTACTGTAACGCCCTCTACATTGGCCTCCCTCTGTCGGTGATCCGGAAGCTCAAGTTGGTACAAAATGCAGCTGCTCGGCTTCTTGTGGGAATTCCGATGAGATGCCACATCACCCCAATCTTACTACAGCTGCATTGGTTACCAATTGAGCACCGGATCACTTTCAAAGGGATGGCACTCACCTTTAAGGCCTTGAATGGTTTGGGGCCGATGTACCTGAGGGACCGCCTCACCTCCTACCAACCCCAGAGATCCCTCCGTTCTGAGGACCAAGATCTATTGGAAGTCCCCAGTGTCAAGGCCTTGCGTCTAACAGCAGCCAGATGCAGAGCCTTCACAGCAGTGGCACCCTCACTCTGGAATACTCTGCCACCTGAAGTCCGTGCCTTGCGGGACTTACCAGCTTTCCGCAGGGCATGTCAGACACACCTGTTTCAACAGGCTTTTAATGTTTGATACTGTTGTTTTTAAATTGTTTTAAATTGCTTTTAAACTTTGTTAGATTTTAGCTATTCTTGTAAGCCGCTCCGAGCCCCAGGGGAGTGGCGGCATATAAGTACAAATAATAAATAAATAAATAAAACTTGGGCCCTCCAGGTGTTTTGGACGTCAACTTCCACAATTCCTAACAGCCTCAGACCCTTTTCTTTCCCCCCTCAGCTGCTTAAGCTTCCCACTTAATAATGAATGGAGGAACATCATCCTCGGGCTACGAGGGATCTCGTAAGGAAGTCAGGACTTATGGGAATTGAAATCGAAAACACCAGGAGGGCCCAACTTGGCCCATGCCAGAGAAAGCATCTTTTCCCTGCAGAATGTGAGGTAAACAACGCTTTCTTTCGATGGAGCGGGTGCAAAAGGAGGCCCAGCGCACTCTGCACATGCTCAGAAGCACTCTTGGCTACAGTTTCCACTTTCCTTGGCTACAGTTCATCACCTTTCCACTTCCTTCCATGTTTTCCCACCTACCTGTCAATTCAGCGCCGGCCTCACGCGCCACCCGCCGCCATCTTCCCAAGATGCAATGCGGCCTGAGAGAGAGGAGAGTCTCAGCCAATCCCGTGGAAGGGGCGTGGCCTGCGCGTAGGAGGCGACGGAGAAGGGAAGCCTCCTTCCCGTCGTGCCCCGCGCGCGGCCTAGTCCGGTTGCCATGGAGCGCGCGGCGGTGCTCCGCGTGAAGAGGAAGCGCGGAGGCCCTCTCCCAGTGGAGGCCCTGGTTCTGGCCTGCAAGCGGCTCCGCACCGAGGCAGGTACCGCCGCCCCAGCCGATCAGCATGACGTGGAGGAGAACCTTTTCAAGCTGGTGGCCACCCTGACCTCAGAGGTAAGGCAGATTGAGGCCCTTAAAGTGCCATGGCCCAATGTAGTGGTGTGCAACTCCTTCCCAAAGACTCCCGGGGCCTCTTCTAATTATACAAAAAATATTATTTCAGGCCCAGCGTGCGACAGCACAAACACATCTTTTGAGATCTCTATGTGCTCGAGAGTTCACTTTGATGGTCAACCTCCACTGGATATTTTATTTATTTATTTATTTATTTACCTTACTTATATACCGCTGTTCTCAGCCCGAAGGCGACGCACAGCGGTGTACAACAAACAACAACAGCAAGAATTCAGTGCTACAGTATAAAAACAGTTAACAACCTTACACATTACACAACCCATTCACTGTCGTCTCGTCATCAAAAACATGTTCCAGATTCGTCATCCATTGTTCCATTCCAGTGTTCATTAACCAATCATTGCACTCATTATTCGAACACCTGCTCAAACAGCCAGGTCTTCACTTTTTTGCGGAATACCATTAGAGATGGTGCTAGTCTAATGTCCGTAGGAAGGGCGTTCCACAGCCGAGGAGCCACCACCGAGAAGGCCCTATATCCCGTCCCTGCCAGCCGTGCTTGAGAAGCAGGCGGGATCGAGAGCAGGGCCTCCCCGGAAGATCTCAAAGTCCTGGTGGGTTCATAGGCAGAGATGCGGTCAGATAGGTAGCTTGGGCCGGAACCGTTTAGGGCTTTAAAGGCCAACGCCAGCACTTTGAATTCAGCCCGGTAGCAGATCGGTAGCCAGTGGAGTTGGCGCAACAGGGGGGTTGTATGCTCCCTGCGCTCCGCTCCTGTTAAAATCATGGCTGCCGAGCGTTGGACTAGTTGGAGCTTCCGAGCTGTCTTCAAAGGCAACCCCACGTAGAGAGCGTTGCAGTAGTCTAAACGGGATGTAACCAGAGCGTGGACTACCGTGGCCAAGTCAGACTTCCCAAGGTACGGGCGCAGCTGGCGCACAAGCTTTAGCTGTGCAAATGCTCCCCTGGTCACCGCCGAAACCTGAGGTTCCAGGGTCACACTCAAGCTGCGAACCTGCGTCTTCAGGGGGAGTGTGGCCCCATCCAACACAGGCTGTAACCCTATGCCCTGTTCGGCCTTTCGACTGACCAGGAGGACCTCTGTCTTGTCTGGATTCAATTTCAATTTGTTCGCCCTCATCCAGACCGTCACAGCGGCCAAGCACCGGTTCAGGACCTGAACAGCCTCCTTAGTAGCAGGTGGAAAGGAGTTTTGACTGTACAAATGTCTAAACCAACCCTTCGTGCAAATGATAGTAAAAGACAAAAATGAAAACAAAACATAGTATTCAATTTCATTTAATAAATTTTGAGTTTGCTTTTGTTGTAATGACATAGGCCCATGCTTATATGAATTTCTATAGATGCATGTTGAATTTGCATGAATATTGTCTCCAGCTCTCAGACAACATTTCCAGTTACTCTGTAATTTAGTGAATATTGAGGAGAAAACCTCATCCTGACAGAAACAAAGAGGATTCTGTTTGGTCCTCTCCATCACTGACATGATTGCTGATTCACATTTTCTGGTTCATGATAAAGAGGCAGAGAATAAAAAGGCAGGGAGACTACAGCTTGTAATGTATATGTCACCAGCCTTTCCTTGGCACAGGCCAGTTTTCTTAACAAACCAAGCAACAAACCTTATGTAGTAAGATTTACTAAGTGTTACTTACTGCAGAAAAATTATAAGATACCAGACCAAAATCTGTCATTTTGCAGAATTGTACTTTTGATTGCAGTACTCTACATTTCCAAACACTTCATATCAGTTGGATGACAGCAAGACTTCAGGCTTATTTATGCCTTCTTAGATGCCCTTGAAGGTGACAAGCATACTATCATTTTGTCACCAGAAGACATAAAGAAATGAACTAGAAAATGTTTTCATGGCATGAAGACAGCAGAAGCAAGAGAAAAGAATCTGAGTGCACATAGTATCATCAGTTGTTTTAATCCAGAAGATGTCTACATTAAATAATTACATCTGAAATACTATAAATATTTTAAAATATGTCTTAATCTTCCAAGCTCTCTATAATTTTCTCTGGTTTTCATCATCAAAATAGTTCTTCTAATTATAAATCCCAGGATTCAATAGCACGGGGTCCTAGCAGTTAAAGTGGAGCCAAACTGCATACAGTGTAGATGCATCCCACCCAGAAGACCATGAAAAGTGCAAAGACTTACTACTTCATCAAACTAGAGAATGAATCCACATTAAATCTGGTTTCTGCCTCCTAATCTAACTTTCTGCTATGCAGGAAAAGCACAATCAAAACCATCCTGGCAGATGGCCACCCAACCTCTAATAATAATAATAATAATAACAGCAACAACAATAATAAATAGATTTCTAGCATTAGAAGAGACCCCAAGTATCTAATCTAACCTTCTGCTATAGAAGAAAAGCACATTTAAAGTTCTCCCAACAAATAACCATCCAGACTCCATTGTAATAATAATAATAATAATAATAATAATAATAATAATAATTCACAACCTCTGAGGATGCTTGCCATAGATGCAGGTGAAACGTCAGGAGAGAATGCTTCTAGAACATGACCATATAGCCCGAAAAACCTACAACAACCCAATAATAATAATAATAATAATAGTCATCATCATCATCATCATATAGAAAAAAATGGGAATGGAAGCACCATCAAAGCACCCCTGACAGGTGATCATCCAGCCTTTGCTTAAAAGCTTCCAACAAAGGAACTTCCATTGGACTCCAAGGCAGAGAGTTCCACAGTTGAACAGCTCTCCTTACAGTCAGGAAGTCCTTCCAAATGTTCAGGTGCAATTTGAACCCATTGCTCCAAGTCCTAGTTTCCAGGGCAGCAGAAAGGAAGAATTCTCCATCTTCCTTGTGATATTCTTTCACGTATTTATACATGGCTATCATGTTTCCAGACCTTTGATCATGCCTGTTGGCACAACTTTGTCCCTATTGCCTTCTACCTTTCCAAGCTTTGTTGTCTCTGCTAGCAAGTCATTCCTTCTCATGATATGGCCAGAGCTTCTGAGGTTAAACATGATGTGATTTTGCTCTCCTCAGGATGAGCCTGTCCAGAAGTATGTCCAAGATGCTATGACCAAAGAGAAAGCCGCCCAGCTTCTGCGACCCTCCCGAGGAAGCGCCCAGAGAGTGATCGAGGACCTTCGCTCTTCCAAAAGAGCCGAGAGGCAAGAAAGTCGCTATCGCCTGGTTGCCAGCCATCGTCCGAATTTCACTGATGGAGAAAATGCTGTCGGCGATACAAATGGGGAGAAGTTAAGTGAAAGCAACCGCTTGGACTCTGGAACTTCTCAGCAAGAAACCTCTGAGATCTCAGGCTGTTCTGGTGGATTCCAGTTGTTTGATATCATACAAGAAGATGAAGAGGAGAAAGACCCTGTTTTGCAGGTTGGTAGTCTGTTCTGAGCAGTCTGTTACCTCTCTTGAAATTTTATTTACTGTATATACTTGAGTATAAGCCTAGTTTTTCAACCCTTGTTTTAGGCTGAAAAAGCCCCCTTTGGCTTATACGCGAGTCAAGGTGATTTATTATTTTGCTCTGTCATTACTATTCGGGATGTATTTTTATTACATTTATTATTTTACTCTATTATTATTATTATTATTATTTTACTTTATTGTTATTATTACATTTATTATTTTATTTTATAATTGTTATCATTACATTTATTATTGTACTCTATTTATGATTATTATTATTAAATTTATTATTTTACTGTCTTTATTATTATTGGAAGGATACGTAAGCACTTTTACACTGAAGAGGGTTAGGGCAGTCTTATCTTAAATTACAATTTTATATAAATATTTAAAACCATTTAACCTACTGATGCCACAATTAATGTAATGTTATTGGTATCTATTTTCATTTTGAAATGTACCTGTAGCTGCTGAATTTCCCACTCTCGGATTATACTCGAGTCAATCTGTTTTCCCAGTTTTTTGTGGTAAAATTAAGTGGTTCGGCTTATATTCGGGTCGGCTTATACTCGAGTACGGTATTTATTTACTGTATTTGTATACCGCCTTTCTCAGCCAATCGGTGACTCAAATGTTAGAAAAACCTCTGATTTATCTAAAGCAGGCATCCTCAAACTGCGGCCCTCCAGCTGTTTGAGCCGCCAACTCCCAGAATTCCTGACCATTGAACAGGCTGGCTAGGGATTCTGGAAACTGGAGGCAAAAATAGCTGGAGGGCTGGCATGGAGTGCCGTTACCTTCCCGCAGACGCAGTACCTATTGATCTACTCACATTTGCATGTTTTCAAACKGATAGATTGGCAGAAGCTGGGGCTAACAGCAGGAGCTCACCCCACTCCCCAGGTGTGACCTGCCGACYGTCCAGTCAGCAAGTTCAGCAGCTCATCAGTTTAAAMMMAMMAKKSRCTMMAWWYWTAYRTAWRWWTKKAGTSMMYTKKTKKKTTAAACTGATGAGCTGCTGAACTTGCTGACTGGACRGTCGGCAGGTCACACCTGGGGAGTGGGGTGAGCTCCTGCTGTTAGCCCCAGCTTCTGCCAATCTATCMGTTTGAAAACATGCAAATGTGAGTAGATCAATAGGTACTGCGTCTGCGGGAAGGTAACGGCACTCCATGCCAGCCCTCCAGCTATTTTTGCCTCCAGTTTCCAGAATCCCTAGCCAGCCTGTTCAATGGTCAGGAATTCTGGGAGTTGGAGGCTCAAACAGCTGGAAGGCCGCAGTTTGGTGTGAAATAATTATTTTTCAAATATTATTGGAGCAAGTTCTCTTCCTCCCCATGTGGGTTAGCCTTAAACCAAGACTTAAACATGTCAATTTGCTTTGTGTTCAACATCAGGAAACGAATTTGATAGAAAAGATGTAAAACTAGTTAATGATTATTTGTTCTGGTACAACTGTACCAGGAGCTCCAATTTTGTTTGCTTTGCATTGAATGTTTGTTTGCAGTCCTAAGTTTCAGAGACTCTGCAGATAGGTGGCTTCTTTTGGTTGCAGTTATAGGGCAAGCCACCTGTCCATCATCGTTGAGTTTGGTCCCGCCCCTTGTGGGAAGGGAAGGGGGGGCATTTTTTAGTTAGTTTCAGCTAGGGAGTCAATGTACAGGACGTGTAGACTTTCTCCTGTACAAAGGCTTCAACCCTTAAGACTTCCCGGGGGAGAACAGTCTTAAGAGCATCTGAAGATTCCCAAAGGTTCCAGGGAAACAGCCTTACAGCCCTGAGGAATTTAGGAGGGAATAACAGCTTTAAACACCAAGAACTCCAGCTAAGTGACTACAGGCCTACTGGTACGTCCACTTGGTTTTGTGACGCAGTTCAGCCCGGTAGTGGATCCACATCAGTCAGGTCTAGGTTCACAGTTAGCCTGGGAGGAGCTAGAAAGGGATTTTTCCTTGAAAGTAAAGCAAAGAAACAGTTAGAATCCACCAGTTGTTTGAAGCCTGGAAGCATTTGTTTAACCTTTGAAGACAAAAGAAGTTTCTGTTTAATTGTTCATCAATAAAAGACTTTGTTGTATTTAAGCTCAAGCCTTCTAAAGACTGTTTAATGGGGGAAAATTCTCTAAGTGCTTCTCTTCAGGCCCCCTGGCTTCCGTTGGGCTAAAGTTGCACGTCCTGTTTTAAAAAGCACTTCGTTTCAAGCCCAGCGGTGATATTATTACATTATTAGATTATTAATATTCCTCCCTTTCTCTTGTTTTAATGGGATCCACAGTAATAATACTGTTTTAATCTAACAGAAGCCAGATGATCCGGATGTGATTCTCTGCAATGCTGTAGAGATGATTCGTGAGCGTTTAGTAGTGTCTGACCCTAAAACAGAAGAAGAGCCGAGTTCAAAAGACGGAGACTACGTTTATGATATCTACTATATGAAAACGACGTCCCCAGGTTGGATTGAAAACATTCTGTCCGTACAACCCTACACTCAAGATTGTGAGCTGGTAAGCATGCCATGAGACCACAAGATACCTGCTAATAACAACAGTTGGTTTACTGACTCAAAAGGGTATCTGACTCCTACTTTACTTCAGTGGCTGACATTTTGTCCTGTAGTGCAAGATTCGCACATTTTAATGAATGCAGATAACATTGCAGAATCCATCGTGTTTTCCTTCTTTCTTCTTTATTTTTCCTTCTGGGGTGTTTATATTGTTTGTTGTGTGCAGAACTGTGGTTGTGGCTTCCCCTCCTCTTGAGAATGCTTTTTGATACTGACCCACAGGTGGATGAGGAGCGCATCTCTGAAGAAATATATGAGGACGAGGATGATGAAAACAATGAGAATAACTGGCGCAACGAGTACCCTGATGAAGATGATTTTCCTGAGGGAGATGAAGATGGTATTGCTGTTTTGATTAATAACACTAATAAGTAATATTCGCTTCCATTAAAGACAAACTAGGATGCCCCCGGTGGTGCAGTGGGTTAAACCATGTCCGACTCTGGGGGTTGGTGCTCATCTCCATTTCTAAGCCAAAGAGCCGGTGTTGTCCATAGACACCTCCAAGGTCATGTGGCCGGCATGACTGCATGGAGCACCCTTACCTTCCCACCAGAGCGGTACCTATTGATCTACTCACATTTGCATGTTTTCGAACTGCTAGGTTGGCTGAATCTGGGGCTAACAGAGGGAGCTGATTCGAACCTGTGACCTTTTGATCAGCAAGTACATCAGCTCAGCGATTTAACCCACTGCACCACGGGGGGCTCCAATGAGCTTTAAAAGAGGATCAAATGAATTCATGGAGGATACATGAAAGAGGGCAGGGATTACAGCTAGTTTCCATGTTTGCAGGTTAAACCTTTGCAGATTTGACAATTAGTTGGTTTCATGACACTATTTATTTATTTATTTATTTGTGACATTTATATGCTGCCCTTCTCACCCCGAAGTGGACTCGGGGCGGCTCACAAGCTATATATACATACAATAGATTATATTATTAGCATAGTACTATATCAGTATTAATTATTACTATATTGTATTATACCATTATATTGTAATATTATTAGTATGTATTACACCGGGGGCTCCATATTAAAATAAATTACTATTAAACACATGGTACAAATAAGGCTAAAAACCTTGCAAAACTACACCTCCCATGATTCCATACTATTGTGCAATGTAGGTTCATCCCAGGCTGAGCCCTTCCCTATATATCAGTGCTTCTCAACCTGGAGTCCCCAGATGTTTTTTGCCTTCAACTCCCAGAAGTCCTAACAGCTGGGAAACTGGCTGGGATTTCTGGGAGTTGTAGGCCAAAAACATCTGGGGACCCCAGGTTGAGAACCACTGCTATATATATGTGTGTGTGTGTGTATCAATACTAGCCATCCCTGCCACACGTTGCTGTGGCCCAGTCTGTGTATATGTGTTTTGTGTGTATATATATTTGTGTATGTGCGTTTGCGTTTATATATGTGGTTTTGCGTGTGTTGTAATGGTTTGGGTTTTTTTTTTTTTTTTTTGCTTTTTAAGTCTCATCTGCTGTGTTTTTCAGTGTTTTTATGAGTGATGGTCACTCGTTGGCTTGATATGTGTACTGTGTCCAAATTTGGTGTCAATTAGTCCAGTGGTTTTTGAGTTATGTTAATCCCACAAACGAACGTTACATTTTAATTTATATAAACTACCCATCCCCTGCCATGTGTTACTGTGGTCCAGTCTGTGTTTATGTGTTTTGTGTGTGTATGTATTTGTGTATATGTGCATCTCCCTCTACGTGCCACGTGCAGTTTAAGATCATCCGGGGAAACCCTGCTCTCACTGCTGCCAGCGTCGTAAATACGTCTGGCAGGGACTAGAGTCAGGGCCTTCTCAGTTGTATCCTCCCGTCTGTGAAACTCGCTTCCCAACAAGATAAAATAAGCTTCATCCCTCCTGTCTTTTGAAGTCGTGGTTCTGGGACCAGGCTTTTGGACAGCAGGCATAAATAGCACTTTGGAAATGGAATTTGACCGGAATGGTGATACAGCGGTTAATACTGTTTTTATTGTTTTAATTAATGTTCTATTCATTGTTTTAATAGTTGTTATATTGCTTTGTTATATTTAATGGCATCAAACTGTGCCAAATATAAGCCGTCCTGAGTCTCCCTTCGGGAGTTGAGAAGGACGGGGTAGAAATGCTGGAAATAAATAAATAGTCTGGTCATCTGGAAAATAAAGTAATTAAAAAGTGTTGATTTCTAATATTTGTAATTTCTTTATGCTTGTGGGTAAACAGTATTTCTTGCTGTTTCTTTGTCAGTGCTGATGTGGAGATTGTCTGGTTTGCCCACTCTGAACATGCAACATACAATTGTACTTCTTTAAGGGTCCCTTTCAAATCTATGATATATCTCTCTATGTGTGTGAATCATATCTATCTATGGCTGGATGGCTCTTTGTCAGGAGGGCTTTGATTACGTTTTCTTGCCCTGGTGAAAGAAGTTGGACTGGATGGCCTTAAGTATTGGAGTTCTGTGTGGGAAGTTTGCCCCAATTCTGTCATTGGTGTGGTTCAGCATGCTCTTTGATTGTAGGTGAACTATAAATCCCAGTATCTATAACTCCCAAATGTATGCCAAGTTTGGTCCAGATCCATCTTTCTTTGAGTCCACAGTGCTCTCTGGATGTAGGTAAACTACAACTCCCAAACTCAATGTCAATGTCCACCAAACCCTTCTAGTCTTTTCTGTTTGTCATGGGAGTTTTGTGTGCCAGGTTTGGTTGAACACCACCATCATTGGCAGAGTTCAGAATGCTCTTTGATTGTAAGTAAACCATAAATCCCAGCAACTACAACTCCCAAATGACAAAATCTTTTTTTTTTTTTTGAGTGAAGGACATACATTGGGCTGTTAGGTGTCTTGTGTCCAAATTTGGTGTCAATTCGTCCAGTGGTTTTTGAGTTCTGTTAATCCCACAAATGAACATTACATTTTTATTTACATAGATAGCGTTACTCCTCCTTATACTAGTGTTGGATGGCAATGTTCCTCTCAATGTTCCTCTCATCTGCTTTCCCAAAGAAAACCATGATAACCCTATTGAAGAAACTAGAGCTGATGCAGTTTATTCAATGCAGTTTTCGGAATCAGTGCCTAAAGAACCCTAGGAACAGGCCTAAAAACCAAGACACTAAGAAATATATATATACATTGTTGAGCCCTGTAATAGCTGTATGGTACCAAACACATTTCTGTTTTTCTCTTAGAGTCCGAGAATGGAAGCATCAGCGATGAAGACTGTGGTTATATCAGGAGAACGTGGGAGAAATATCAGTCAGATGTCTTACGGGAGTTTGAGTACGATGGCTTGGAAGAGCTGGATTCTGAGTAGTTTGCTCATTCTGTGACAAGACCGCCTCAGATGTTCTAGGCATCACAACTCTGCCAGTAATATTATTTGTATACAGTGAGTACTATATTTCTTTCTCCCATAAGTCTTGATGGCTTAGCTATAGCACTGAGCATGGAGATGGGAAATATTTGGAAAAATATGAGACATCCTTCTGAAGTTAGAAAGGATATTTCAGTCAATTCCTGAAAGACATCTTAAACTTTTCGGATGAACTACAACACAACTAGAAATACTTACAGAGCCAAGGATGTGTGTTTTGACAGACCTTTGTGTTTGGTGACGTAAATTAATCCTTGTAACAAGACCGTTGCTCATTCTGTGTGGACCTTTGCACTTTAGTATTACTGGGTTTCCAAGTAATACACATGTTTTGGACTTTGATATGTAAATAAAAGGTAGTTTTCATTCCGTTGTTTTTGTGATTTCTTCCCCCCCCCCCCCCACAAGGAAAATGCAGGGAACAAAATCAACCTCTGTACGTGGCATTCATTGACCTTGCAAAGGCATTCGACACTGAATCGCAGCGCTCTCTGGACCATCCTCAAAAAAATTTGGTACCCTAACAAATTTGTGAACATCCTGCGGCTCCTCCATGATGACATGATGGCAACAGTCTTGGACAGCAATGGCTCCCAAAGTGACCCACTTAAGGTGGAATCAGGTGTCAAACAGGGATGTGTTATTGCCCCAACTTTATTCTCCATCTTCATCACTATGATACCTCCCTTGTTGATGGGAAGTTTCCCACCGGAGAGGAAATCATCTATCTGACAGATGGCAATCTATTTAACCACAGCAGACTGAAAGCCAAAACCAAGGTTACAACATCTATTATAGAACTCCAGTATGCTGATAACAACATTGTCTGTGCGCATTCAGAAGACGACCTCTAAAGCCACTCTAAACACCTTCGCAGAAGCATATGAGAAGCTCGGCCTGTCATTGAACATTGAGAAAATCAAAGTGCTGTTCCAGGAGTCACCAGCCAGTCCCTCTCCAATGCCAGAAATACAGCTTAATGGTTTAACATTAGAAAATGTTGACCATTTCTGCTACCTTGGCAGCCACCTCTCCACCAAAGTCAACATTGACACAAAAATACAACACCGCCTGAGCTCTGCAAGTGCAGAATTTTTTTGAATGAAGCAGAGACTGTTTGAGGACCAGGACATCCGTAGGGAGACCAAGGTGCTTGTTTATAAAGCTATTGTCCGCCCAACCCTGCTGTATGCCTGCGAGACGTGGACTGTCTACAGACGTCACATGCAACTCCTGCGAGACGTGGGCTGTCTACAGACGTCACATGCAACTCACATCAGCGCTGCCTCCGGAAAATCCTGCAAATCTCTCGGGAAGACAAGCAGACAAATGTCAGCATGCTGGAAGAAGCAAAAACCGCCAGCATTGAAGCGATGATCCTCTGCCATCAACTCCGCTGGACCGGCCACGTTGTCCGGATGCCCGACCACCATCTGCCAAAGCAGTTGCTCTATTCCGAACTCAAGAACGGAAAATGGAATGTTGGAGGACAGGCAAAGAGATTTAAAGATGGGCTCAAAGCCAACCTTAAAAAACTCTTGTATAGACACTGAGAACTGGGAAGCCCTGGCCCTTGAACACTCCACCTGGAGGTCAGCGGTGACCAGCAGTGCTGTAGAATTTGAAGAGGAACGACTGGAGGGAGAAAGAGAGAAACGTGCCAAGAGGAAGGCGCGTCAAGCCAACCCCGACTGGGACTGCCTTCCACCTAGAAACCAATGCCCTCACTGTGGGAGAAGATGCAGATCAAGAATAGAGCTCCACAGTCACCTAGGGGCCCACCGCACTCTGCACACTGACCCTGGTAGACTATCCTACTCAGACAACGGGGGATCGCCTAAGTTTCTGAGACTCCAAGCGGGGAGGGGAGAGCAGATGTGCTTGGCGCATGGCCAAGATGGTGTACTTGGCCATGCCATCTAGTACAACCCTCTTCTTCCATGCAGAAGGGCATCATCAAAACTCTACTAGCAGATGGCCATCCTGCCTCTAAACTAATTAATATGCTTCAATAAATGTTTTTGTTATTTTTATCAACTTATACCAGCCTCAGTGTGAATACCTTTGTGGTCAAACCATTAATCAAGTCAGCTTTTAACAGCCTCTAAGAAAACTACAGTGACACAGAGTGTGTTACTGAACAAACTCTCAATAATACCTCAGCCTGTTTATTAGTAATATGGTGGCAGCGGGAATCTTTTGAAGAATCATTTTAAGTCTCTCAGTTCCTAGCTTTGAAATAAACAGTTGGTTCAACAACCATACTCCCTCTATTTTTTGGTGAGCTAGTCAGTAGCGGTGGTGTCATCGTTGTACTCTGGCTGAACAGTGTTGTGGGATTATTTTATAGGCATTTCCCCGTCTGATAAAATCAAAATTTAAAATCTTCTCTGCTACCCTTCTGCTATTGTTATAATTTTGCTATAACAGTCAGCTTTCGCAAATAAAGGAGCAGCACTGTCAGGTTGTGATTGTTTTATTCCCACACAGTGGAAGTGTAATTTCCTCCCCACATACACCCGAAAGTTCGTATATACACTAAAATGGTATAAAAGCCAACTGGATAGGATCAGGTACTATCCAAAAGTCCTTAAAAAAAGAAAAACACATTTCAACAGTAGTTTGGAGTGTTGCAATATTCAAGAGGGGACAGTTCACAAGAATTGCCACGTCCATAGAGTAAAGTGAAATGACTTAGTTGTTGCTGCAGAGACTGTGTTTGGGAGTCTCCAACGAACCCGAAGCTTTATTGCAGTTTGTAGTAGACTAAAACCTAAGTTGCAAATAGATGGAAGCTGTGATACACATTCAAGAGGCTAGTGTACCGAAGGGTTGCAAATTCCATCTGTCATATATAAACAGCATAAGCCAGGAGTGCATAGATAGAAAACAATTCTTTTTGAATCTCAGAAGATATAAATAGTACACCAATTTATCAACATATGCATCAGACTGTGAGTACGTCTATTACAAAGTACTGAAAACAAACATATGCCAACTTCACCTTTTCTCAAAATCACAGTAGTCTGAACTCCTTTGCTTAAAGGGCTATGCACTACAGTACTTAAACCTGTCATCTACGAGGGTTGAATGAAAAGTAATGCCTCCACCTTCGTTACTTGGGTTTGGATGGGAATGTTTTAATAAATCAAACGCAAAAATAATCCTTAAAATGTGCTCTTTAAACTATTAACTTTTCGACATAATCACCAGACAATTGTGATACATTTCTGCCAACAATTAATGAGTTTTCTGAAGCCGTCACAGAAGAAGTTAACACTTTGTTCCGCAACTAGCATCTCACAGTTCTCTCATCCTAGGTACCCATCGTGCACAGATCTTCCGATAGCCAAGTAAAGAATTAATGTGATCCACACTTTCTTGTGAAATGCTGATGATGCTTGAAAAATTTTTCTGAGTGATACGACGATCGTCCTGAATCAATCTGACAACCGTTTGGATACATTTCTGCCAACAATGAATACATTTTATGAAGCCGTCACAGAAGGAGTTGACATTTTGTTCCGCAACCCGCATCTCACAGTTCTCTCATCCTGGGTACCCATCGTGCACAGATCTTCCGACAGCCAAGTAAAGAATTAATGTGATCCACACTTTCTTGTGAAATGCTGATTATTCTTGAAATTGTTTTCTGAGTGATACGACGATCGTCCTGAATCAATCTGTCAACCGTTTGGATACATTTTTGCCAACAATGAACAAGTTTTCTGAAGCCGTCACTGAAGAAGTCAACACTCTTTTTCCGCAACCAGCGTCTCACAGTTCTCTCAACGTCTTCATCAGAAGCATTATGATGTCCTCACAGATCTTCTTTCATTATCGGGAACAGATGGTGCTAAATCTGGAGGATGCCGTATGGTGGTGAGATCCAGTCTCCGAAGTTTCAAGTCTCTGCGCTTTCATTTCAGGCCACAGCATCCTGGGTACCCATCGTGCACAGATCTTCCGATAGCCAAGCAAAGCAATAATGTGACCCACGTGTTCTTGTGAAATGCCGATTATGCTTGAAATTTCTCTCTGAGTGATACGACGATCGTCCTGAATCAATCTGTCAACCTTTTGCTTGTGAAACTTGGTGGTTGCTGTCACAGGACATCCAACTCTTTGTTTGTCATGCAAGTCAAATGTTCCCACCTCAACATCTTTAAACTTACCTACCTAATGACGCACAGTACTCACACCAACACAATCACCATAAACAGCTTGCATTCTCTGATGAATCTCCTTTGGGGTGACACCTATGCTGTCAAGAATTCAATGATTACACGTTGCTTAAGTCGCATTAACCGACTGTATGCGCAGGGTTCCATACTTCGCACTTTAACAACACAACTGTTCAGTGCTAAGGTTTCCTGCTGAAATGGAACTGTAGAGGAGAGTCTACTGAACAAGCCAGCTTCGTTTATATTCCCTACTCTAGGGAAGAATTGACCGATCGTCTGTGCAGGGTTCCATACTTCACACTTCAACAACACAACTGTTCAATGCTAAGGCTTCTAGCCAAAATGAAATTATAGAGGAGAGTCTACTGAACAAGTCAGTACCTGCCTCATACCAGTACCTGTTGAGGAGTTACGAAGGTGGAGGCACTACTTTTCATTCAACCCTTATAGACAGCTGTGTCAAATCCTGAGTCGAATTTTGTTCCGATTTAACACAGATGTGATTGGTTGGACTAGCCATGCAAAAACGCCTGTGGAAAGAGACATTATGAACGAAGCCCTTCTGGCCTTTGGACTCACCAAAGCAACTTATTGAATGTGAAGGAAGTCCTTTCAGGTACGAAGGTGCAGACAGGTTCAAGGCAGCGGCGTGCAAAGGGACAAGAGGGACGTCCCATCCCAGGGAAAGCAGCAGGCCGTCGGAACGGAGACGGGAGGCACATGGAGATGCAACACTGTCTTTTGAACCAAATTCAAAGTGGGTTGCTGTGCGTTTTTCGGATTGTATGGCCATGTTCCAGTAGCATTCTCTCCTGACGTTTCACCTGCATCTGTGGCTGGCAACTTCGGAAGTTTGTTGGAAGTGAGGCAAGTGGAGTGCACCTATATCGGTGGAACCTCCTGCTTCTTTATTTACTGTCTTGATTCATGAGTGGTCTAGAACACCAATTCTAGACCACTCTTGAAAAGCATTGTGTCACATTACATAGAGAAGCCACAAGCATGCAAACAATTTCAGCAGAAAGGAGGAAACAATGAAAATGAACAAAATCTGGATACCAGTATTTTAAAAAGCTCTAAAATCAGGACAGTAAATAAAGAGCAACACTCTGAAAACTGTGGAATTCCAGACAGGAAACAATCAGGGCCAGCTAACATTCACAACAAAGGATCCCCCTTGCAGGAAGCAGTCAGGCTTTGAAGCTGCAAGTCTATTTGGTGCTAATCAAGGTGGCCAATTGCAACATTCACACTTATCTTCAACATGCAAGAGTTCTTTCTCCCACCCTGGACCTTATTTCACACTTGCCTAGTTTCCAATAAACTTCGCAACCTCCAGCTAACACCTCCCAAAAAAGGAGTCCCCCCAGATAAGAAGCAGCCAGGCTTTGAAGCTGCAAGGTCGTTTAATGCTAACCAAGCTGGCCAATTGCAACATGCACACTTGCCTCAAACAGACAAGCACCAGAATCAAGACAGTAAACAACGAGCACCACTCAAAAATAGGGGAACTCCTGACAGCAAACAATCAAGTGCCAGTTAACAATTCCCAAACAAAGGGTACCTCCAGGCTACCTCTGCACATACCCTCACTTACTGACTTTGCAGCTTCGTGGCTACTCAGTGCTGTGCAAGCTTGCTAATTGCAAGTGCGAATGTTGAAACTGACATCTCCCAAACAGAGGGTGCCTCCAGGCAACAGAGGCCAGGCTACCTCTATGCACATACCCTCGCTGATTGACTTTGCAGCTTCGTGGCTACTCAGTGCTGTTCAAGCTTGCTAATTTAAAGTGCAAATGTTGAAATGGACAACTCCCAAACAGAGGGTGCCTCCAGGCAACAGAGGCCAGGCTACCTCTATGCACATACCCTCACTGATTGAATTTGCAGGTTCGTGGATACTCAGTGCTACTCAAGCTTCCCTATTGGAACATTCACACTTGCTTCAAGGATTCTTTCTCCCCCTCTGGAAATTATTTGACAGGTATATATACATTCCATTTGCTTTACTGCCAACAGAACCTCTGAAGATGCCTGCCACAGATGCAGGAGAAACGTCAGGAGAGAATGCTACTTAAAACATGGACCTACAGCCTGAAAAAATCACAGTAACCCAGTGATCCCGGCCATGAAAGCCTTCGACAACACAAAGTGAGTCATTGCTAGGCACTGCCAATTTTCCCCACCACGTGTGGATATGTTCAACCATGCTGGAAAGGAAACATTACAACATGACAAAGTGGCATTTGTAACAGCAAGTAACATACACAATTTGAATAGCACACCCACACCCACAATATTTTTTTCAAGGCCAAGTTTAAATATGCAAATAATCTTTCACGTTTGCATAGTGTCACTTTTTCTCACGTCTTTGCACCAAAACGGCATGTGCAAATTTTTTTGTTCGTGAACTCAGTACACAGGCGTGGTAAGCAAAGGATGTCTTCACAGGGTTGTTGTGAGTTTTATGGCCATGTTCCAGAAGCATTGTCTCCTGATGTTTCGCCCACATCTATGGCAGGCATCCTCAGAGGTTGTGAGGTGTATTGGAAACTAGGCAAGTGAGGTTTATATATCTGTGGATCTGTTAACTCCTGTATGTTATGTATTCCAATGGTTCGGAACTGAGCATTTGCTGCCTGGGTCCCTGTATGTAATCCACTCAATTTGATACCTGAGTGCTTGTCCTAAGACACTCTTTGTTTCATGGCTGAAAAGCATTTATTGTTTTGGGTCGTGAGTTTTATATGCCTGAGAAGACTGGCCTTTTACAAAAAAAATAAAAAATAAAACCGCCCGAGATCATGACACAGTATGATCCGGCAAGAACCCCAGTCCGACAAGAAGTCCAAAATTCAGCGACGCCTTCCGTCCTCTTTATACAGACTCGGTTTCTCATTTTTCATTGAAACTGTCCATTTCTGTCAAAACGGAGTAACAAAGCAGTTGCGTGGCTCGCGTGACGGCACCTGCAGAAGAGGTCAAACAGAAGCAGAAAGAGACTATTACCCTTTGGAAAATGGAAATCTCCAGATCCTTTTGGGGATTTTATGATCTTTATTTATTTATTTATTTATTTATTTGGTGCATTTATTAACCGCCATTCTCAGCCCTCTCGGGCGACTCATGGCGGTGTACAGCATAAAAAGGCAATATACAAAAAGACAGTTACAAACAACATATTAGCAAAAATAGCAATACAACAATTAAAGTTACAGTTACACTAACTAATCCGCTTTGTCTGATAATAGAATCGTAACCAATCTCGTGTTCCTTGTTCCATTCCAGTCATCTTTACCACATTTTTATAGCACTTAATTGAATGCCCTCTCGAACAGCCATGTCTTAAGGCTTTTCCTGAAGGCCATAAGGGAGGGCGCCTGCCTGATGTCTGTAGGGAGAGTGTTCCACAGCCGGGGGGCCACCACTGAGAAGGCCCTCTCTCTTGTCCCCGCCAGGCGTGCCTGTGAGGCAGGCGGGATCGAGAGAAGGGCCTCCCCAGACGATCTCAAGGTCCTCGTGGGCTCATAGGCCAAGATGCGGTCTGAAAGGTATTTTGGGCCGGAGCCGTTTAGGGCTTTGTAGGCCAACACCAGCACCTTAAATTGGGCCCGGTAGCAAATCGGCAGCCAGTGGAGCTGGGACAACAAGGGCGTTGTGTGCTCCCTGTATCCCGCTCCAGTTAGTAACATGGCTGCCGCGCGCTGAACCAGCTGAAGCTTCCGGGCCGTCTTCAAGGGCAGCCCCACGTAGAGAGCGTTGCAGTAGTCAAGCCGGGATGTGACCAGAGCGTGTACCACCGTGGCCAAGTCAGACTTCCCGAGATACGGGCGCAGCTGGCGCACGAGCCGGCTGTGCAAATGCTCCCCTGGTCACCGCTGAAACCTGGGGATCCAGGCTCAACGATGAATCCAGGGTTACACCCAAGCTGCGAACCTGCGCCTTCAAGGGGAGTGCGACCCCATCCAGCACAGGCTGTAACCCTATATCCCGTTCGGCCTCTTTGGAAAGAGTAACCTTGTTAGAAGTCATAACCTTTTGGAAAATGATGCCATAACCTCTTGGTAAAAAGGTTGATAATATTACAATGTAATACAATATAATACTACTAATAAGATATTATAATTATATATTTTATACTAGCCGTCCCCTGCCACGCGTTACTGTGGCCCTCGTGGGGGGTACTGTGTGGGAGGTTCGGCCCAATTCTATCATTGGTGGGGTTCAGAATGCTCTGTTATTGTAGGTGAACTATAAATCCCAGCAAGTACAACTTGCAAATGTCAAGATTCTATTTTCCCCAAACTCCACCAGTGTTCACATTTGGGCATATTGAGTATTCGTGTAGAGCAGTGTTTCTCAACCTGGGGGTCGGGACCCCTGGAGGGGTCGCAAGGGGGTGTCAGAGGGGTCACCAAAGACCAGCAGAAAACACAGTATTGTCTGTTGGTCATGTGGGGTTCTGTGTGGGAAGTTTGGACCAATTCTATCATTGGTGGGGTTCAGAACATTCTTTGATTGTGAGTGAACTATAAATCCCAGCAACTACAATCCCCAAATGTGAAGGTCTATTTTCCCCAAACTCCACACTGTTCACATTTGGGCATTTTGAGTATTCGTGCCAAGTTTGGTCCATCATTGTTTGAGTCCACAGTGCTCTCTGGATGTAGGTGAACTATAACTCCCAAACTCAAGGTAAATGCCAAATAATCCATCCATTATTTTATGTTGGTCATGGGAGTTCTGTGTGCCATGTTTGGTTCAATTCCATCATTGGTGGAGTTCAGATTGCTCTTTGATTGTAGGTGAACTATAAATCCCAACAACTGCAACTCCCAAAGGACAAAATCAAACCCCCTCAACCCCATCAGTACTCAAATTTGACCGTATTTGTGCCAAATTTGGTCCAGTGAATGAAAATATATCCTGCATATCAGGTATTTACATTACAATTCATAACACAAACAAAGTTGTGAAGTAGCAACAAAAATAATTTTATGGCTTGGGGGTCACCACAACATGAGGAACTGTGTTAAGGGGTCGCGGCATTAGGAAGGTTGAGAACCACTGGTGTAGAGTTTGGTCCAGATCCATCATTGTCCACAGTGATCTCTGGATGTAGGTGAACTACAACTCCAAAACCAAAGGACACTGCCCACCAAACCCTTCCAGTATTTTCTGTTGGTCATGGGAGAACTGTGTGCCAAGTTTGGTTCAATTCCATCGTTGGTGGAGTTTAGAATGCTCTTTGATTGTAGGTGAACTATAAATCCCAGCAACTACAACTCCCAAATGACAAAATCTTTTTTTTTGAGTGGACATACATTGGGTTGTTAGGTGTCTTGTGTCCAAATTTGGTGTCAATTCCCCCAGTGGTTTTTGAGTTCTGTTAATCCCACAAACGAACATTGCATTTTTATTTATATAGATTAAATGTAATATTACTAATAATACTACAGTATAATGTTATAGGACAATGTAATATATAATATTAATATTGTGCTATGCTAATAATATAATACATTGTATTTATTTGTTACTTGTAAGCCGCTCCGAGTCTCCTTCGGGGTAAGAAGGGCGGCATATAAATATTGTAAATAAATAAATGAATAAATAATAAAAGCATGGCCTGTTAAGAGTCATAACTTTTTGGGAAAATGCATTCATGAGCGTTCATACACACACACACACACACACACACACACACACACACACACACTCAGCAGAATTTCAGAAGTTCTTCTAGTTGGTCAAAAAAATCCTTACTCTCCCTCAAAATCTATATATATATATAAATTCTCTGAGCGTAATGAGTACCTTAAAAATAAAAGAACCAATGAACGAAATCACACCAAATTTGGCAATAAAACATCTCACAACACAAGGAGTGACTATTACTCAAAAAAATCATGATTTTGTCATTTGGGAGTTGTAGTTGCTTGAATTTATAGTTCACCTATAATCAAAGAGCATTCTGGGCTCCACCAACGATGGAATTGAACCAAACTTGGCACCCAAGACTCCCCCGACCAACAGAAAACACTAGAAGGGTTTGATGGGTATTGATCCTGAGTTTTAGAGTTGTAGTTCACCTACATCCAGAGAGCACTGTGCACTCAAACATGGCACCGATACTCAATATGCCCAAATATGAACACTGGTGGAGTTTGGGGAAGATAGAGCTTGACATTTGGGAGTTGTAGTAGCTGGGATTTAGAGTTCACCTACAATCAAAGAGCATTCTGAACTTCGCCAACAATGGAATTGAACCAAACTTGGCACCCAAGACTCCCCTGACCAAGAGAAAATACTAGAAGGGTTTGATGGGTATTGAGCTTGAGTTTTAGAGTTGTAGTTCACCTACATCCAGAAAGCACTGTGGACTCAAACAATGATAGATCTGGACCAAACTTGGTATGAATACTCAATATGCCCAAATAAAACACAGATGGAGTTTGGGGAAAATAGACCTTGGAAGTTGTAGTTACTGGGATTTATAGTTCACCTACAATCAAGAACCCTCATGATCAACAGAAAATACTGTGTTTTCTGGTGGTCTTCGGCGACTCGTCTGACACCCCCTTGAAACCCCCTCCAGGGTTGAGAAGGTTGCTATTTCCAACATTACCAATATATTGCCAAGACTATATAGGCAGTCCCCAAGTTATAAACAAGATCGGTTCTTTTGGTTTGTTCTTATGTTAAATTTGTATGTAAGTCAGAACAGTCACTAATGTGCTGATATGAAACTGAACTGATAAAGTGTAAACCGTGCCTGGAAGAATGCACAATATGGGTAAACACAGATATTTCATTACAGATAGCAACAAAGTTCAGATGAGAAATATTCTTTCTTCAAACTATGGTTTATACTTAGTTCTGAATATATGCATAGTGAGAGCCCAATACTATCTGTGGTTTCTAGGCCTGTGCGGTTTCGTTCGTTAATTCGTTAATTCGTTATTAATTCGTTATTTTTGGCATTTCCGAAGCGATATTGAAACATATTTCCAAACCCGGAAGGGTTTTTAAATATCGAACCAGCAACCCCCATAGTTTTAACGAGCCTCCGCTCGTTTCGTTAATGGGGTGGAGGCTGCTGGAGTGCTGGTGCTGGGAGCCAATCCGGCGCTCCCAAGCAGTGCACCATGGGTCCGTGGCTGCCTGTTTTTGATTGGCCGGCGAGCCCTTTCAAAGCGGCTCCGCGCGGCCCGTAGCTTGCTGCAGAGGGCGAGGGAGTTTGCATTGGGTTGGCTTGGCAATGGCTGCTAGCAACTGGGATTGGATTCATTCCTTGCTGCTGTGAGTGCTGCTTGCTTCATTTGCTGTCTCTTGCCTGTGTTTGGTCCACATTTGGGCCATTTTTTGGTTAATTGTCCATTTTAAAATATTTTTAATATTATTTTTTAATATTATTTTTTAATATTATTTTTTAATATTATTTTTAATATTATTTTTTAATATTATTTTTTAATATTATTCTTAAAAAATATTCTAAAAAAGAAAAGACTCTTCTGTTGGTGTGTGCTCTCATTTGCTGTATCCTGCCTGTGTTTGGTCCACATTTGGGCCATTTTTTGGTTAATTTTCCATTTTAAAATATTTTTAATATTATTTTAATATTATTTTTTAATATTATTTTAATATTATTCTTAAAAAATATTCTAAAAAAGAAAAGACTCTTCTGTTGCTGTGTGCTCTCATTTGCTGTCTCCTGCCTGTGTTTGGTCCACATTTGGGCCATTTTTTGGTTAATTTTCCATTTTAAAATAATTTTTAATATTATTTTAATATTATTTTTTAATATTATTTTAATATTATTCTTAAAAAATATTCTAAAAAAGAAAAGACTCTTCTGTTGGTGTGTGCTCTCATTTGCTGTATCCTGCCTGTGTTTGGTCCACATTTGGGCCATTTTTTGGTTAATTTTCCATTTTAAAATATTTTTAATATTATTTTAATATTACTTTTTAATATTATTTTAATATTATTTTTAAAAAATATTCTAAAAAAGAAAAGACTCTTCTGTTGGTGTGTGCTCTCATTTGCTGTATCCTGCCTGTGTTTGGTCACATTTGGGCCATTTTTTGGTTAATTTTCCATTTTAAAATATTTTTTAATATTATTTTAATATTATTCTTAAGAAATACAAAAAATATTCTAAAAATTCGTTAATATTTACAAATTTTCTTAAATACCAAAACTTTTTTGGGGAAAGTTTTGTAATTATTTTAAATATCGAAACAAAAAAACACCCCAATTACAAATCGATTTTAGAAACAAATTTTTTCTTGATCAAACAGGCCTAGTGGTTTCAAGTATCCACTGAGTACCTTCAGTACAAGGACTACTATACTGCAAATAAACATCATTTCCAACGAGATGCGGCTCTTTCTGGATAGCAATGATTTGTAAATATGAGTTTTAAGTCTTTATAGCTGCCTTGACAAAATATTGTTTTTATCAGTACTATTTTTGGGTTTGTCATGTAGGCACACAAATAGGGTCTGCAACTGCAGTTTATGTAAACACTGGTGCATTATTCATTTGGTAACGGAAGCCCTCGAAAATGGTCTTACCTATGATTTTGCTGACAAAAGGAGGTCTTTTGGAAGCAGGCAAGGAGACTCCCATGAAGTAGACTGGGATCCCAGAGAGTGCAATGCCGATGCCGATCAGGGAGTTAATGGTGTCGCTATAGAGTGGCACAACCACCAGAAAAATTGAGCACATACAGAAGACTATTGGGAAAAACAGGCTCAACTGTAAGAGAGGAAAGGCGTACACTGAATGAGAAATTCGGATGAAGAATCGCCAATTTTGATCTAGCGTAAGCTTATTATTATATACTGAATGAGAAATTCGGATGAAGAATCACCAATTTTGCTCTAGCGTAAGCTTATTATTATTAAATGTATAATATCACAAAGGACGACCACCTCACCCGTCTCATAGGAAATCTGCTACAAAACAGGAGCTTCTTTATTGAGTTCCAGGGCCAGAGAAGCAGATGGCGGAAACAGAAGAACGGCCTGCCTCAGGGGAGCGTGCTTGCTCCATCCATGTTCAACATTTACAGAAATGACCAGCCACTGCCAGAAGGAACAGAGAGTTTCATCTATGCTGATGATCGTGCCATCACCGCTCAAGCAGGGAGCTTTGAGATGGTAGAACAGAAGCTCTCTGAAGCTCTAGGTGCTCTAACTGCCTATTACAGGGAAAACCAGCTGATCCCTAATCCATCTAAAACACAGACATGTGCTTTTCACCTTAAGAACAGACAAGCATCTGAGGATTACCTGGGAAGGAATCCCACTGGAGCATTGCAGCACACCCAAATACCTGGGAGTCACCCTGGACCGTGCTCTGACCTACAAGAAGCACTGCCTGAACATCAAGCAAAACGTGGGTACTAGAAACAATCTCTAACAATCGTGTCAGGAGCAACCAGACAGTTGTATTACATTTTTAACAAAACAAACAAACAGACAGACAAAACAAAGTTTGCAACCTTGGTAGTTGATTAAATGTCCTTTGACCAGTATCTGGCCACTTGGAGTGCCTCTGGTGTTGCCGCAAGGAGGTCCTCCATTGTGCATGTGGCAGGGCTCAGGTTGCATTGCAGCAGGTGGTCAGTGGTTTGCTCTTCTCCGCACTCGCATGTCGTGGATTCCACTTTGTAGCCCCATTTCTTAAGGTTGGCTCTGCATCTCGTGGTGCCAGAGCGCAGTCTGTTCAGCGCCTTCCAAGTCACCCAGTTTTCTGTGTGCCCAGGGAGGAGTCTCTCATTTGGCATCAGCCATTGATTGAGGTTCTGGGTTTGAGCCTGCCACTTTTGGACTCTCGCTTGCTGAGGTGTTCCAGTGAGTGTCTCTGTAGATCTTAGAAAACTATTTTGTGATTTAAGTCATGGACATGCTGGCTGATACCCAAACAGGGGATGAGCTGGAGATGTCACTGCCTTGGTCCTTTCACTATTGGCTGCTACTTCCCGGCGGATGTCAGGTGGTGCAATACCGGCTAGGCTGTGTAGTTTCTCCAGTGGTGTAGGGTGCAGGCATCCCGTGATAATGCGGCATGTCTCATTAAGAGTCACATCCACTGTTTTAGCATGGTGAGATGTGTTCCACACTGGGCATGCGTACTCAGCAGCAGAGTAGCATAGCGCAAGGGCAGATGCCTTCACTGTTTCTGGTTGTGATCCCCAGGTTGTGCCAGTCAGCTTTCATATGATATTGTTTCTAGCGCCCACTTTTTGCTTGATATTCAGGCAATGCTTCTTGTAGGTCAGAGCACGGTCCAGAGTGACTCCCAGGCATTTGGTTGTGCTGCAATGCTCCAGTGGGATCCCTACCCAGGTCATCCTCAGAGCTCGGGATGCTTGTCTGTTCTTAAGGCGAAAAGCACATGTCTGTGTTTTAGATGGATTAGGGATCAGTTGGTTTTCCCTGTAATAGGCAGTAAGAGCACCTAGAGCTTCGGAGAGCTTCTGTTCAACCATCATAAAGCTCCCTGCTTGAGCGGTAATGGCACAATCATCAGCATAGATGAAACTCTCTGTCCCTTCTGCCAGAAGGGTGCTATCAATAATCTACATGCTCATCCAACAGTGGCACAATGGGTTAAACACTTGTGTCGGCAGGACTGCTGACCGAAAGATTAGTGGTTTGAATCCAGGAAGTGGGATGAGCTCCTGTCCATCAGCTCCAGCTTCTCATGCAGGGACATGAGAGAGGCCTCCCACAGGATGGTAAAATATCTGGGTGTTCCCTTGGCAACATCCTTGCAGACAACCAATTCTCTCATACCAGAAACAACTCTCAGGTCACTCCTGACACACCAAAAAATTAAGCAGTATTTTTTTAAGATTAGAAATGCCATTTTTATCTAACGATCTCCTCACATCCACAAGTTCATCTAATACACAATGGCATGTGCATGTGCAACTCCTCGTTCCCAAACCTAAATTCAACAAAGGGCAAAAGTGTTAGGAAGTTAATCCATGCATGTGTAAAATGCTAGCAGGACTCCAATCTGAGACCAGATTGTGGCATTTACCTCCCAGATAAGTAATGCAATGCATCTTGAGCTACATTGCTTATATATAAACCACAGGATTGGACTTTTATGCTCACCTTGAGGGGCCGGTGCCGATTTGGTTGTTTCCAGCGGAGGTAGAGTTGCCCAGCAATTGACAGTCCCACAAAGAACCAATAGCTGAAGCTGAAGTAGTTAATAAGCTGGAAGACATCTTCTACAGTCAAGTATATGAGGGTCATCGTACACTGGAAGACAATGGAATGCCATGAAAATCTCCAAGAGGGATTCCCCCCGCCCCACATCTACGTTACTAGCCTTTAATTGTATATATTGTGTGTTTCAATATTTTATTTATTTATTTATTATTCGAACTTATATGCCGCCACTCCCCTGGGGCTCGGAGCGGCTTACAAGAATGACTAAAATCTAACACAATTTTAAAACAATTTTAAACAATTTTAAAACAGCAATATCAAAGGTCAAAGGCCTGTTGAAACAGGTATGTCTTACATGCCCTGTGGAAAGCTGATAAGCCCCGCAAGGCACAGACTTCAGGTGGCAGAGTATTCCAGAGCGATGGTGCCACTGCTGTGAAGGCTCTGTGTCTGGTTGCTGTTAGATGCAAGGCCTTGACATTGGGAATTTCCAACAAATCTTGGTCCTCAGAATGGAGGGATCTCTGGGGTTGGTAGGGGGTGAGGCGGTCCCTCAGATACATCGGCCCCAGACCATGCAAGCCCTTAAAGGTGAGTACCATCCCTTTGAAAGTGATCCGGTGCTCAATTGGTAACCAATGCAGCTGTAGTAAGATTGGGGTTATGTGACATCTCATCAGAATTCCCACAAGAAGCCGAGCAGCTGCGTTTTGTACCAACTTGAGCTTCCGGATCACCGACAGAGGAAGGCCAATGTAGAGGTTATTACAGTAGTCCAGTCTTGAGATGACCGTGGCCTGGATCACCGTAGCTAGGTCGTCCCTGGACAGGGAGGGGGTCAGCTGTCTAGCCTGCCGCAGGTGAAAGAAGGGTGAAAGACCTGGGCCTCCATCATCAGCAGAGGGTCCAAAAGGACTCCCAGACTCTTTACCAATGATGACGGGTGTAGTGCCTCGCCATCCAGGGTAGGCAGCTGGATGTCCCCACTGCCCAGTTGACCCAGCCATGGGATCTCCGTCTTTGCTGGATTCACCCTCAACCTGCTGTCACGCAACCATCCAGTAACGGCCTCAAGGCACTGATGGAAACAATCGGGTACAGAGTCCGGTCGGCCTTCCATCTTCAGCACCAGCTGAGTGTCATCGGCGTACTGATAACACTCCAGCCCAAAACCTCGAGCCAGCTGAGCAAGTGGTCGCATATAGATGTTAAACAACAGAGGGGAGAGAATGGCCCCCTGAGGAACCCCACAAGATAGAGGGGACCTCTCAGAGACCAGGCCTCCCCTCTCCACTCACTGTCCACGGTTGTGAAGAAAGGAGGACAGCCAGTTTAAAGCTCTCCCCCTGACTCCAGCAACAGCAAGGCGGTGGGTCAAAATATTGTGGTCTAAGAATATCATCTCTTAGTAAAGCAGAAGCCCCAAGGGCTCCACAGAGACTCAAAAAGCAGGGGGATTCCTGACAAGAATCCATCAGGGCCAGCTAACACCTGTCAAAAAAGGATTGCCCCAGGCAGGAAGCAGCTAGGCCTTGAAACTGCAAGGCCATTCAAGGTGGCAAACTGCAACATTCACGTGTACCACAAGCAAACGAGTTCTTTCCCACACCCTAGAGCTGATGTGGTCTATCCAATGTAATTTTCTGAATCAGCACTCCCAATAAACAAACCAAATCTAAAGTTGACCAAAAACTGATTCAAAATCCTTTTGGTACCAATGTTGGAGAGTGGTCCCTAGCCAAGTGTTTCCTGGTCAAAGTGGTCCCTGGTCAAAAAAAGGTTGGGAATCACTGACTTACCCTCATTTGCAAATGAAATGACAACTGGTTTTGTTTATGTGTTGACATTACTATTCCATCATTTACATTTCACATTGTATACAATGCCCAGCATTTATATGCTGTGAGAAGGCAGCGTATTGTTTACCTGAATTTAATTTCAACTGCTATTTAATACTTTATATTTTAGGGATAGAACGAGTTGCAAAGAAATCCTATCAGCTTTTTATATCATCCCGTTAAAAAACTTTATGATGCAGGGGAGCAACATCATATGTATAAAACTGACGACTATAAGTAGCCGCAGTGGCGCAATGGGTCAAACCATGGTGCCGGCTGAACTGCTGACCTGAAGGTTGGCAGTTTGAATCTGTGAGACAGGGTGACTTCCCGTCTGTCAGCTCCAGTTTCCCATGAGGGAACATGAGAGAAGCCTCCCACAGGATGGTAACACATCCCCTGGGCAACGTCCTTGCAGACGGCCAATTCCCTCACACCAGAAACAACTTGCAGTTTTTCAAGCCACTTCTGACACACACACATACACACAAAAATCTGATGATTGAAAATGTTTGGTCTGCTTTCCCCATTCAATAGATCCTATGCTGTGGATCTTTGCAAAATAACTTACATTGAAAAGTAGAGCCGGGACAGGTGTAAACCTCCCTATATGGATCATAGATAAGAGATCTGGCAAGTGACCCTCCCGGGATCCTACAAAGAACAGCCTGCAAAAGAGAGATTAAATTAATTAAATTAATTAATATGGTTTTCTGTGAGCAAGCAGATGACGACTACTGGGTGGCATATGCTCGGTATCATAAACTGGAGCTGATGTGGTCTATCCAATGCAATTTTCTGAATTAGCAGCCTAAATAAGCAAACCGAATCGAAAGTTGACCAAAAACCGATTTGTACCCTTTTGGTACTAATGTTGGAGAGTGGTCTGTGGTCAAAGTGGTCCCTGGTCAAAAAAAATTGGGAACCACTGCTGTATACTGACAGCAGACCTGTAAATAGTCGTATGTAGCAACAACTGAAGAATAAGCCTCCAAAAGAGTTTGGATGAAAGTCAGAGCTCAAGTACACTTATAAATGAGGTGAGCTACTTACTGTATACGGTCGAAGGTTGTGCTATAAAATCTCTGCTAACTGTGATCAGGACTCTGCAGTGTTTTGGATCAGAACTAACTCCGTTCCTTTGAGAGAGTCCATTCCATTGAACAGCTGGAGGAGGAGGCCATGAGAGAAGGAATTATCGTGCCTACCTAGTAGGTGATGTTGTGTGTGCTTATGGGGCGAGGGAGGGAGACTATTTCCTTATTAATAAAAATAACCTCTTTACTGCCTTATACTGATTCAGTTTCTTCTTTTATATTGGCTTGGACTTTCTGTGTGCTGTTTTATCTTTGTACTTTATATCACAGGCAATGAGACACTCTTGTGTATAACGAAGTAACACAGTTTATTTATAACTTCTGGCTCCAACACTTGTGGTTACATTTGTATTTTGTTGCAATCTTGAGGCTTACAGTCAGTATCATTTACTTGGTTTACTTTTCTGAATAGACTTTCAATGTTTCACATTCACAAACATGTTACTTGCTTTACACACACTTGGCAGAATTATATTCTGACTAAAGCAACACTGGCTTTCTTTATGTTCCTTAAAACTCGAGCTCTATTTAACTAACTGCTTCTCTATATCAGAAGTCTTTAACACATCTTCATAACTGCTTATTTCTAACAGGCACTCAAAAAAACCCCAACTATCCTTTTCACACACAGATTCCTAACTGTCATTTTCAAACTCTCTCACTCTAACTGCCTCTTTCAAAACCTTGGCTCCGCCCCTTTGGAATGTTCAGCTCTGCTCTCCCCAACTGTCATTTTAGCCTAGCAGCCTTTTCAAATCCTGGGCCTACGCTAATCTGCATATGGCCAATCGGCTTCACATATGCAAATGAATCCTATCTCTGCTGTTGCTACCCTGTCTGTGCCTATTCTTCCCTATCTGCCATATGTAAACATAGAGCTATACACCAAAAATTTAACATAGAGTAGCAATTTCGCTACAGCTTACTCTTCAATAACCCCATGACAACAAGCAGGTAAGACGTAGGCAGTTATTGTTCTTCTAAGAAATATGAAAAATACATTTTGCAACCCATCTATTTTGTTATCAAAACATTATAAAGAATTGATTTGTTTCTTGAACAGCACTCAGAACAAAACTAGAAGGTGAAATACTGAAACCAGATACATATACAAAGACAGAATTTCCATTTTGATTCCTTTCCTCTCCATTGAAAAGTTGCATCCAGGAGCGTGATATTCTGAAATTAGAAATGCTTTACCTGGACGATGCTAAAATAGATGCATTGAGTCCACCGAAACAGGAGAGGGCCACTGCAATTGGAATGGTCCAGCTGAAAATGCCAAATACCTGGTCTGCAAATGTCTGGTGCAGAAAAAAGAGAGGAAAGGTGGAAAATTAGCATGCACCCAAACAAAGAAAGATTGCCTCTGCAAAAGGTTAACGTCCAAGACATCCCCAATCTGTAGTTCTGACTAAGCAAATTAGCAGTTTCTGGAAAACATTTCTGTCTGGTTTAAAGTTCAAATCGGGTCAAATTGCATTTCAGAGCTAAACTCAATTTGATTTGACATTCAGAAAGCCTAAGGTACAGAGAATTACATAGACGCATTATAAAATATATTACTGTATGATTCAACATCTCCGTGTAAACGACATACTGAATTGCAAATGATATATAACTTGTAATAAACTGGCTCCAGGAGAAGATTAAATTCAATGGCATAAAGCTTGACATTTAGATATTTAACATAAGGAAAGAGTGATTTGTCTAATGTATTGTCGAAGGCTTTCATGGCCGGAATCATTGGGTTGTTGTAGGTTTTTTCGGGCTATATGGCCATGGTCTAGAGGCATTCTCGCCTGATGTTTCGCCTGCATCTATGGCAAGCATCCTCAGAGGTAGTGAGGTCTGTTGGAACTAGGAAACTGTGTTTATATATCTGAGGAATGACCAGGGTGGGACAAAGAACTCTTGTCTGTTGCAAGTGTTCTTGCCATACATCAAGGGAACCACTGACCGCATAGGGAAGCCGATGAACATAACATATAAACTATCTATTCACACCTAGCTCCTTTGTCCCACCCTGGTCATTCCACAGATATATAAACCCTTTTTCCTAGTTTCAACACACCTCACTACTTCTGAGGATGTTTGCCATAGACTCAGGCGAAACGTCAGGAGAGAATGCCTCTAGAACATGGCCATATAGCCCGAAAAAACCTACAACAACCCAGTGATTCCGGCCATGAAAGCCTTCGACAATACATTGATCCATACTTTGTTTTTTAACACAATTGTGAGGTCAAGAGTATTATGCTCCAAAACTCTGTCTGTCTGAATCCGGAAGTCCCAGAGTATCTTGACGTGTTCATTTTCTGTAACTTTTTCCGGCTTGTGATCCCACCAGTTCTTTGTCGCAGGCAGATGGGATTTGTGGCACAAGTTCAAATGAATCATCTGAGCAACGGTGTTGTGCCTCTGCTTGTAGTCTGTTTGTGCGATCTTCTTGCAGCAACTCAGGATGTGATCGATTTATTATTATTATTATTATTATTATTATTATTATTATTATTATGGGAATGGTTGATTACATAAAAGCCAAAGTCTCTTCCTAGGAAGTTTGAAGATCAAGAAGCAATTTGTATCATTTACAACATGTTTAACAAGTCCAGAAATCCAATGTTTCCCGAACAGTGACCAGAAAGTCCTTCGAAACGAAGTAAGTGGATTAATATGGAAATCTGATGGCTCAATAGCTCTTCCAATTAGAGAGATTAGATCAGAAATAACCACGTCCATCTGCAAAATCCACTGTAATGGCCGGTGAAACCACTAGACAGGCACTAATGAAATGGGAAAGATTCGGAACGATGCCAGGAGCTTCCAGCTGGGTATCTGAACCCAAAACACTCACTTTCGTGATGCTATGAGCAGATTAATCTTGGGAGAGATATCAAATTACTGCGAAAATGTAGAAAGCTTGTTTTGAGACATAACAAACTGGGATCACTTTCCTAAATTATAATTTTGTACATCATGCTTCTGATTTCCCTGCATTATTGGAATTATTATAGCTGGGTTGCATCTTCAAATTATTTCCAGTTTAAGGTGTCCCTGAGACTAAGTCCTCATCTACACTTCCACATAAAATCCAGATTATCTGCTTTGAACTGTGTAGATTCATATAATCCAGTTCAAAGCAGATTATGTGGATTATCTGCTTTGATGATCTGGATTTGCAAGAGACAGATGTGTTGGAGTGTGTAGAGAAATCAGTGTGTGTGTATGTCAACTGTAAAATTTATATATATAAAAATGCTCATGTCGTAATGAGTGGCTTAAAAACAAAAGAACCACTGGGCCAATACCCACCAAATTTGGCAACAAAACTCCTCACCATACAAGGTGTGACCATCAATAGTAATAATAAAAAAAGAACTTAAAAATCCTAAAAAAGGAGAAGATACCACTGGGCATGCGTACTGGAACGGGGGGTGGGTGGGGTGCGTGCGCACTCGCACACACAGGAGAGCTCCACGTGGCGGAGCCTGTGCCGGCAACGGCCTGGAGTCAGCCGTGGCTCTCTCCCTCCTCCTTCTCTCCCTTCCTTCTCTCTTCCCCCATTTTCTCCCTTCATGCCTTCCCTGCCTCCTCTCCTCCCTCCCTCTTTCCCTCATCCTTCCCCTCTTTCCTTCTCTCTTTCCTCTTTCTTTTCCTCCCTCCCTTCTATCATTCCTCCTTCCCTTCTTCCTCCGTCTTCAGCTCTCCCCTTGGGTGCCGCCATCAAGGGCTCCAGTAAGACCCGCCCCTAATAGAACAGAGTGTGCTGGGGACGAAGGAAGGAAGGAAGGAAGGAAGGAAGGAAGGAAGGAAGGAAGGAAGGAAGGAAGGAAGGAAGGAAGGAAGGAAGAAAGGAAGGAAGGGGTGAGCCCAGTTCAGTTCCAGGTGAGCTGGACATCCAAGCAGCTCCCAAAGTCAAATTTTCCCCAATTTCCACCAGAATTCACCTTTGGGCATATTGAAGATTCCTCCCAAGTTTGGTCCCGATCCATCTTTGTTTGGGTTCACAGTGCTCTCCAGATGAACAATTTCTCCTCCTCCTCATTCTCTCATCCACACCAACGCCCCCTTCCCTCCCTCCACCTTACCTTCCTTTCTGTACTTCCCTTCCTTCTCCTTCCTTTAACTCTTTAATTTAATTTAAGGAGGAAGGATGAAACCAAAGAGTGAAATAAGGAATGAAAGAAAGAGGTAGAGAAGGAAGAAAGGAGAGGAAGGGGAAGGGGAAGAAAAAGAGGGGAAGGAATAGGTAGGTACCTCTCTTTCATAATAGTCCAGATATCTACCTCTACTTCGAAAATTCTTACTATAGGCCACAGCAACGCGTGGCAGGGTACAGCTAGTAAGATGTAAAATAAGATGGGGGAGTTGGCTGAGCCTGGGACTTTTGGATACTGTTACATTTTTCAGGCTTGAGCTATGCAAGTGCTTGCAGAGAGACAGAGAGAGAAGCAGAGTTCGGAGTGTGCTCTTGCTTCACAAATTGCTGAAGGAGTTTATCCAAACGGACAAAGAAAGCCCATTTTTCGATCTCACGTAAAAGGACACTATGTGAGTTGGTGGAAAACATAATGACCATATTAACAAAAACATCACACAAATCGCCCAGAAAGAGAAATGCAAAGCCCAAAGCCCAGGCAAAGCTGCTAAATCTGCACTTGGAGAAATGCCCTTCACTCTCTCGTGCACTTTCAAACGCCCGATTAAGTTGTATATTCAGGTGGCATCCCTATAGAACGCATGGAAAAAATGAGCTCTCAGTTGCAGAAATGAAAATCCAATTGAACTCTTGAGTGCTATATTGATTTTTAGGCCAAACACCTGACAAATGACAGCGGTCTCCAGACTTACCACAGCCACTGCATCGCTGGAGAGCACAGCGTTAATGTCCAGCACCGTATAGTAAGCGATATTGGTCAAGATGTAGATAATGGTCACAATTGGCATAGAAACAGCAATCGCTAGGGGCAGGTTCCTGGTTGGACAAGAGCAAGACAGGCAGACTTAGAAACACTTAAGAGTTCAAAGCAAAAGCATGTACGTTTGCCTGAGTGTTTGCACCACAAAAGGCTGTTGCTAGGTGAAGTGGCCCTCTGTGATGTCACAGGAGTGGCTGTTGCTAGGTGACATGGCCCCATGTGAAGTCAAGGGATTGGATGTTGCTAGGTGAAGTTGTCTTTCATGATGTCACAGGATTGACTGTTGCTAAGTAAAGCAGCCCTCTATGATGTCAAGGAATTGGTAGTGGCTAAGTGAAGTGGCCCTCTGTGATGTCAGAGGACTGGCTGTTGCTAGGTGAAGTGGTCCTCTGATGTCGCAAGATTGGCTGTTGCTAGGTGACTTGGCCCCATGTGATGTCAAGGGATTGGCTGTTGCTAGGTGAAGTTGTCTTCCATGATGTCACGGGATTGGCTGTTGCTAGGTGAAGTGGTCCTCTGTGATATCACAGGATTGGCTATTGCTAAGTGAAGTGGGATTGTCGCAGGATTGGCTGTTGCTTGGTGAAGTGGCCCTCTGTGATGTCACTGGAGTGGCTGCTGCTAGGTGACGTGGTCCTATGTGAAGTCAAGGGATTGGATGTTGCTAGGTGAAGTTGCCCTCTGTGATGTCATGGGATTGTCTATTGCTAGGTAAAGTGGCCCTCTGTGATGTCACAGTATTGGCTATTGCTAAGTGAAGTGGGATTGTCGCAGGATTGGTTGTTGCTTGGTGAAGTGGCCCTCTGTGATGTCAGAAGAGTGGCTGCTGCTAGGTGACGTGGCTCTATGTGAAGTCAAGGGATTGGATGTTGCTAGGTGAAGTTGCCCTCTGGGATGTCACGGGATTGCCTATTGCTAGGTGAAGTTGTCTTCCATGATGTCACGGGATTGGCTGTTGCTAGGTGAAGTGTTCCTCTGTGATATCACAGGATTGGCTATTTCTAAGTGAAGTGGTCCTCTGATGTTGCAGTATTGGCTGTTGCTAGGTGAAGTGGACCTCTGTGATGTCACAGGATTGGCTGTTGCTAGGTGAAGTGGCCCTCCATGATGTCACAGGATTGACTGCTGCTAGGTGACATGGCCCCATGTGATGTCAAGGGATTGGCTGTTGCTAGGCGAAGTGGCCCTGTGTGATGCCACAAGATTGGCTGTTACTAGACAGTGGCCCTCTGTGATGTCACAGGGTTAACTCTTGCTAGATGAAGTGAACCTCTGTGATATCACAGATTGGCTGTTGCTAGGTGAAGTGGTACTCTGATGTCACAGGATTGCCTGTTGAGAAGTGAGGTGGCCCTCTGTGATGTCACAGGGTTGACTCTTGCTAGGTGAAGTCAACCTCTGTGATGTCACAGGATTGGCTATTTCTAGGTGAAGTGGCCCTCTGTGAAGTGTCACAGGATTAGCTGTTGCTAGGTGAAGTGCCTCTCCATCATGTCATTAAGAAAGGTGACATGTGTATGAGGGGAAAGGAGGAAGGAAGGCAATTGTGACAAAGTCCCCTTCTACATTGCCCTGTATCCCAGGTCCTGATCCCAGATTATCTGCATATCCCAAATTATCTGGCAGTGTAGACTCATATAATCCAGTTCAAAACAGATGGAATCAGATCCTGGGATACAGGGCAGTGCAGATCCAGCCAAAGAGAGTTATGTTTCCATGGAGACATTGTGAGGTAGGCATTTCTCAGAGCTGAAGAAGGGAGAAAGTACACAGACAGCAATCCTAATGATATCCATGGAATGCCAGGTACATATGTTAGATATTACTACTATTTATCACAATTGTTATTATTTCCATCATCATCAACAACAACAACAACAACAACAACAACAACAACAACAACAACAACAACAACAACAACAACAACTGTATCCTGCATTTTCCAACAACAACAACAACTGTATCCTGCATTTCCCCCAAAATAGAGACACAGAGATGGCATGATAGCCCTAGTGACTTTCAAGAAACATACCTCTCTGGGTTTTTGATTTCTTCCGTGACAAAATTGAGGGTGTCCCAACCTGAGTATGAGAACAAGGCAGAATAAAGTGCGAGAGAAATGCCCCCGAGGTTCCACGACGATCCCTCAAAGGAGTCCTGAAAGTGTTGCGAGTATCCTGCGGGCAAAAGAAAAGCAGCCACATAAATACACATAAACAAGATCGAAATGGGTACAGTCATCCCTTCGTAACCAAAGATTCTGCAGCCAGTGGTTCAACTATCAATTGCATGAAAAACCACGATTTTGACATTTTACATTAAGGATTACCAGTTTATTACAACATTGTTTATAATGGGGCTTGAGCATTTTCAGGGAGTCCTGGAATTAATGCTGGATTTATACTGTTATATAATCCCGATTGAGTTTTCTGGGCTGTATGGCTGTGTTCCAGCAGCATTCTCTCCTAACGTTTCTTCTGCATCTGTGGCTGGCATCTTCAGAGGATCTGTTGGCTGTGAAGCAAGTGGAGTGTGTATGTGGTGTATACATACGTACATATACATATACATACATAGTAGGCATGGTTAGGTACCATTGGAATCTTCGTAATTCGGAATAAAGTCGGAAAAATTACCTGTTTGAAGCTATTTCAAAGTTTTTAAGAAAAGCAGAAGTCCCTTTGCCCTTCCAAAGCTTTTTCCGTCATTTTTTGTTACTCCAGATGATTCAGCTTTTCCAGCTTCTGGTCCCTGGCCTCAGCTCAAGCCAGAGAAGCCAGTTTTAAACCAGAGAAAGAAGGAATGTCCTGGCCTTGGCTCAAGCCAGAGAAGCCAGTTTTAAACCAGAGAAAGAAGGAATATCCTGGCCTTGGCTCAAGCCAGAGAAGCCAGTTTTAAAGCCAGAGAAGGAGGGAATTTCCTCCGCTTGCTTTTCCCCACTTCTGGTCCCTGGCCTTGGCTTAAGCCAGAGAAGCCAGTTTTAAAGCCAGAGAAGCCAGTTTTAAACCAGAGAAGTAAGAAAATTCATCCGCTTGCTTTTCCCCGATTTGGTCCCTGGCCTCGGCTCAAGCCAGAGAAGCCAGTTATAAAGCCAGAGAAGGAAGGAATTTCCTGGCCTCGGCTCAAACTAGACAGAGAAGACAGTTTTAAAGCCAGAGAAGACAGTTTTAAACCAGAGAAGGAGTTTCCTCCACTTGCTTTTCCTCACTTTTGGTCCCTGGCCTCGGCTCAAGCCAGAGAAGCCAGTTATAAAGCCAGAGAAGGAAGGAATTTCCTGGCCTCGGCTCAAGCCAGAGAAGACAGTTTTACAGCCAGAGAAGCTAGTTTTAAACCAGAGAAGGAAGGAAATTCCTCCGCTTGCTTTTCCCCACTTCTGCAGTAAAACAGCTACTTTCAAAGTAAAGACCACCCAATGAAACAGGAATAACACTTTCAAACCATTAACGAAAAGATTTGGAAGTCTCGGAAGTTTTAAAAAAAATTGATCATTTTTTCTGTGAAAATCAGAATTGACTTTAGAATCAAACCACATTCACAACGAGTTTTGAACCTTTTTTTCTTTGGATCAACCAAGCCTAATACATACATACCTAATGGAATGTCCAGGGTGGGAGAAAAAAACTCTGGTCTGTTTAAGGAAATGGGAATGTTGCAATTAGCAAGCTTGAGTTAGCATTTGCGTAGCCATGAAGTTTGCAAAGTCAATCAGTGAAGGTATCTGCATAGAGGTAGCCTTTGTTGCCTGGACACATCATATTTGGGAGGTGCTAGATGTTCCTGGATGGCTTGTTGTCTGGAATTCTCCTGTTGCTGAATGGGGTTCATTAGTTCAAAGCAGGATATATATATGTGTGTGTGTGTGTGTGTATACACACACACACACCACTTGCTTCACTGCCAAGAGAACCTCTGAAGAATTTTTTTTTTATCAGGAGCAACTTGAGAAACTGCAAGTCGCTTCTGGTATGAGAGAAGTGGCCATCTGCAAGGATGTTGCCCAGGGAACACCCGGATGTTTTGATGTTTTACCATCCTTGTAGGAGGCTTCTCTCATGTCCCTGCATGGGGAGCTGGAGCTGACAGAGGGAGCTCATCCACACTCTCCCCGGATTCGAACCTCTGACCTGTCTGTTTTCAGTCCTGTCGGTACAAGGATTTAACCCATTGTGTCACTTGCTACCTCTGAAGAGGCCAGCCAGAGATGCAGGCGAAACATCAGGAGAGAATGCTACTGGAACATGGCCATACAGACAATCCACATCTGTATGCTTGTCCACTGTGCCCTGCCTCATGTACAGAGGAGGAATTGTTGGAGGTTACAGACAATGCCGTTGATGGGTTGTTGTAGGTTTTTTCGGGCTATATGGCCATGTTCTAGAGGCATTCTCTCCTGATGTTTTGCCTGCATCTATGGCAAGCATCCTCACTACCTCTGAGGATGCTTGCCATAGATGCAGGCGAAACGTCAGGAGAGAATGCCTCTAGAACATGGCCATATAGCCCGAAAAAACCTAGAACAACCCAGTGATTCCGGCCATGAAAGCCTTCGACAATGCCGTTGCTGTTGCCCGTTTTTGAAACAAAATAATAAATAAATAAAAATGACCATGCATCCCAAAAAACTCACAGCAACCCAGTGATTCCGGCCACAAAAACCTTTGGCAACATAGTCTATTTTTTCCTTTCACCCTTCATGTTACATTGCTTCCTCCCAAAGAAGAGTAACAAAATTATAACACATATTATCAGAATTCAGCAAGACTCTTGTTGCCAGGACATTATACCTTTTGTTTTGCCAATATATTATTCTGCAAAGGTCTGGTATAAGAAGAGAGAAAACGTCATATAATCCTTTCCGAAAACAGAAGGAAGAAATGATATTTATTAAAGAAACAAAAACTGCCTTTTCAGCACAGTGGAAACGCGGGCTTCCTATTTTCTCAAGTCAGCATATTAAGAAAGTGTCCAAAACAAACAGGAATCAAAGTGCTTTTCCCCTTGAAAAATAAAAAGGAAAAATACCCTGATAAACTGACAATAGCACCCGATAATATAACTCAAAAGGGAAACAAATCCGCAGGCCCAGCTGTTCAATGAATAATAATCCAAGGAAAGAAAGATCGACGGAGAAAGTGCTGATCTTTGCACAAAGCTGAAACCTTGCCAATACTTTCCGTACTGTGGTCATACAGTGTTAATAGTGGGCTACGAGTTCAAAGTAGCCCACTAGGTCTTCTCACAAAGTATACTAGGTCTTCTCACAAAAAGAAAGTCATCTTCAACCTCAGCAAGATGGAGTGGATGAGGGATTAGAGGATATCCAACCCCAAATTGGGAAACAAATGCAAGAAGGTGGGGTGATCAGAGTGGAGAGAAAGCACACATGCTGTTGTGTGACAGGAGAGTAGGGGGGGAATTATTGTTTATTTCTTTGAATTCTGCCACCAACTGGTATAGTGGAGGCCAATTGTTATATGTAATCTATGGTAACTGCCACCAACGTGAGATATGAGGTATTACTGTGAGATATGGCAATACAGACGCAGAATAGATGAAGATGAGACTGTCTTCAACAAAAGATAACTGGTTTATTGAGTACAAAGTGTGTGGTTGCAAGATTGTAACTTATTTTATAGAACTTTGAATAATACTTGGTTAGTTAAACATTTCACTCTTCCAGGTTACACAGTATCTTACTGAGGTGAAGCTCTTGTTATTAAACCATGTTTCAGTACAGGAATATCTTCCCTATTTGATCTTTCCTTGATCAAATAAATTAACAAGCTTATCCTTTAGCCTTTCCCCTTGACTAAAAAAAACTGGCTATGTTTCTCCTTTCAGCCTCCTTAGACTGAGAAACCTCCAGTAGCTATTCAGGCTTCCCATAGCCACAATAATTTGCTTCACACTTCACTCTCCCACTCTACTCTTCACTTCCACTCTTTTACTCCTCTCAGATACAAAATCAACTCCTAACTGACTCTCAAACTGTCTGTTTTCAAAACTCTCTCCGCTTGGCTCCTCCCACTTCTCCTTCTGCCAGCTTGCCTTGGTCTCCATGGTAACGCTGAGTGAGGATCTCTGAAATAGGCTGCTCCAGTGTTACTGTAGCTAACCCAAACAACATATATATACAGTTTAAAACATGCAAAGTATTAATAACTTCTGCACACAAGTCGTCCAGGAATACCTGGCCGCTCTAAATGAATTAAAGTTCCCTTTCAGGGCCAGATCAACTACACCTAAGAGTATTGAAGGAACTAGCGAAAGTCATCTCAGAACCATTGGCAATAATCTTTGAGAGTTCTTGGAGAACGGGAGAAGTTCCAGCAGATTGGAGGAGGGCCAATGTGGTCCCAATCTTCAAGAAGGGAAAAAAGGATGACCCAGACAATTATCGTCTGGTCAACCTCACATTGATACCAGGCAAGATTCTGGAAAAGATTGTTAAGGAAGTGGTCTGCAAACACTTAGAAACAAATGCGGTCATCGCTAATAGTCAACAAGGATTTATCAAAAACAAGTCATGCCAGACTAACCTGATCTCTTTTTTCGATAGAGTTACAAGCTGGGTAGATGCGGGAAATGCCGTGGATGTAGCGTACCTGGATTTCAGTAAGCCTTCGACAAGGTCCCCCATGACCTTCTGGCAAGGAAACTAGTCCAATGTGGGCTAGGCAAAACTACGGTGAGGTGGATCTGTAATTGGTTAAATGGACGAACCCAGAGGGTGATTCTCCCCAATGCTTCCTCTTCATCCTGGAAAGAAGTGACGAGCGGAGTGCCGCAGGTTCCGTCCTGGGCCCGGTCCTGTTCAACATCTTTATTAATGACTTAGATGAAGGGTTAGAAGGCAGGATCATCAAGTTTGCAGACGACACCAAATTGGGAGGGAGAGCCAATACTCCAGAGGACAGGAGCAGGATTCAAAATGATCTTGACAGATGAGAGAGATGGGCCAAAACTAACAAAATGAAGTTCAACAGTGACAAATGCAAGATACTCCACTTTGGCAGAAAAAATGAAATGCAAAGATACAGAATGGGGGAATGCCTGGGTCGAGAGCAGTACGTGTGAAAAAGATCTTGGAGTCCTCGTGGACAACAAGTTAAACATGAGCCAACAATGTGATATGGCGGCAAAAAAAAAGCCACTGGGATTTTGGCCTGCATCAAGA